TCAAACGAACTTGGTATGAACTCAATCGAACGTCAGGAAGTGGTATCATAATAGTAGAACAATACTTATTATATTGTCGCCGAATTACAATAAAATTCAGGATTCAATTATACAATCAAACGTCAGGAAGTGATTGTAATTTAGCTCATAAGATTTAATTCCAACTAACATGGCAAACTGAAAAAAACAGCTCTGATCTATTTTAATATGTTTAAATGATGTAGCAAATTTGAAGGTATGCTTTATCAGGAAGTATAACGATATGAATTACACAATGAGCAACCTGCACAAAATTCTTTTAAATTTTGTTTGTAGAAAACTGTTTTCTTTTAAATTTATTGCCCTCTATTATGTAGTAGCGAAACTACCACATCAAAATATCTGATTTGGAGACAGGCTTTTAAAGCCTGTCTCCTTTTGCTACCTACAATTTTATACGTGTAACGAGGCTTTTGTTGCGTAGCTAGATATTCTGTGATTATATACATATTTTTATATATTTATTTCAAATTAAAATTTTAATAATTTAGCTACAAACTGTTAAAAAATCATTACAATCGGTCCGCTAGAACACAATATACAAGGTGTCCCAGAAATAAGTGCAAATATTTTAAGGGGTGGTAGATCTCTCTCTAAAAGAAACATATTTTCTCTTTATCGTTTTTGAAATAGGTCCAAAATAACGGAGTTATTTTACTTTGAAAATTTCCAAAAAAAAATATTTTTTGCTAAAATTTTGAGAATCACTGGATTTTCTTCCTTGTAAATTTAATCTACTACCTATGTTGCCATATTATCAAGAAATTATTTTTTTTTAAATAAAAACTAAAAAAATTTCCAAAAAATTTTTCAAAAAATTCCAGATTTACAAAATTTTTTTTCGCGAAAAAAACCTCATAGACTTGTTTCTGGGGTTGAACTATACTACCATTTAAAATATTTGCACATATTTCTGGGACACCCTGTATAAAACTTTAAAATTCATCAATTGTATTAATTTTAATTTGGCCGCTTTTCGTGCCGATCAATGTATAATTGATGTAAATATCAATAAAAAAATTAATAGATAATAACCTATAACAAATTTAGAAGAAAATAAAAACAGGTCACACAATGTTGTATATTAACTTTTAAAAATCCAACAAAAAATAGTTAATTGAATTGGAATGGTTTTTATTAAGCCAAGGATTTATATTTTTTAACATTTTTTTAAATAAATAATATTTTATTATAAATTAATTTTAAAATACTCTTATTAGGTATATCAGAGAGTTTAATCATTGCCCGTACGTTAAAAGCATTGGAGCTCTTATTATGTACATTGGAATGGCAATAGTTCCTTTAGGGACGATATGTACAATAGCTTTTCACAGTGTGAGTATTAAGCTACGTCCACATTGCTCGCGAGCAAGCCGAACGAACACGTGAAACACGAAAAACATGGTAAACAGTCGGAGCGAGATGTTCGCGGTGCTCCACATGCTTCAAACAGGAAGCGCAAGCGACGCAAGCACAATCAGAAGCAAGAACGCGAGCAGAATCACGAGCAACGTGGACGCACCTTTATCTGTTGTTATTTACCACTATAGAAAGCCTCTGTAAAGCCGTATCAAATACTGGCTTTGGCCAAAGCCCTTGGACTGTATTATGAGTTTTTCAGATTCATGGGTATATAATATCAGCAGTCATAGTAATTGCCATTTTGGGCAATACAATTATTATATTTAGCTATGGACAAATAAGGGAAGATCAGGTAGTTCCCGAGATTCGGACCATAAAGGTTTTCATTAATTTATTATATTTTTCTAATTTTAGTTTTCTCATATATACGATTGTTTCCGTAACATGTCATGGTATATATGGAATAAAAAAAATCTTAAAACCTATTTGATATTTTTGACTGAAACACATAGGCCTGTATGTACTCTAATTGCGTTTAATACTCAAGTTAACAGGAAATCTGGTCTCAATGTAAGTACTCAACTAGACTAATATACCATACGATCGAAAAAAAACCGCGATGGCTCAGAAATGAATATCGCTGACATTTTATATGTAAAATTAGATGGGGAATGTCATCGATCGTCATTTCCAAGCCAACTGGACGCCATTTTTTTATCAAACGGTATTAAAACAAACAACATTATTTTAGTGTATTCTTGGTGTACATTGATAATGCCTAAAGAAATAAAGTAATAATTAATTTGTGTTAAAAGTAATAATTATTGATTTTTTTAGTTTATCAAGGTGATTTATGTACTAATTATGTTTATATATCAAGCAGATTTAATAACCAAGTATTAGAGAGAGTATTAAGTAGCAGAGAGGAGAAAAATAGCAGGAGCATTAGTCAAGATTTACTTAACATTATTTATTATTTCATAGCAAAATATAATATAAAGTATACTCTAATATAATATACTAGTACACAAAATATTACTATACTTTTTCCTGCCGTTACTTTTTAGTAAATCAAAAACTAATGGCACATTATCATAGCCACTTTATTAGGGCTATCTGATGGTATTGTTAGATTTTCAAGTTATCTGATAATTCGTGAGATACATAGGCCAACTTAATTTTTTTTTAATACGAACCTGCGTTTTTGATTTCAGATTTTGAAAGAACTCTGTATCTCACAAATTATCAGCTAATTTGAAAATCTAAAAATACTATTAGATAGCCCTGATAAAGTTGCTATGAGATAGTGCAATTAGTTTTTTGATTTTCTAAAAAGTAAAGGCAGAAAAAAATAAAATTGATTTTCAAAAAAATCCGTTTTTTTCCAAAAAACTCAGCAATCCTTGAAATTTTTAAAACTTTTTTGATGGCACCTCGGTGAACATCCAAAGCGCAACTTTGCCCCCAATTTAACTATGTTCGTATCTATTGTGGTTACCGAGATACCAATGCTCGTACCTCGAATTTGTAGCACCCTGTATAGAGTTTAGGTCTTAGAATAAGAAATATAATATATTTTTATGACATATCTGTTTGTAACGCAACTGATTATATTAAAAAAATAAATATTAATAGATTATTAATTTGTATTTTTATTATGCGACAGTTTTTTTGCTAAATTATAGATATTAACACTTATATGTACAGGGTGGTCGAAATTAATCTGTTTTAACAGGGAAAACCTATTTCCTGACTAGATAGAGCAAAACCGACATAGATGTCATGGGCTCAATTTCTGAGACACGTTTAATGGCGTAAACCGCCTGTTGATAGTTTCACTACCAACTGAGATACAGGGTCTTTATGATTTTTTTACCATTTGTGGTAAATGAGTAGACTTTAGTGTTTTAACAAAAACAGTAATTAAAATAACTAAATTTTTTTGTGCTAAAGGCATTTTGTTGCCGTTTTTTGTTGCCTCATTTTTTAAGTAAACTTTTTTAAAATGACTGAAAATCGTTTTTACACATTACATTACTTAGGGTCAGTGGCGGCTCGTCAGGGTAGGCAAGGTAGGTGGCGTCTACCCTATAATTTTGTCAGAATTTAAGCGGTTTATTACATTACATTATTTACTGTTAATGTTGCCAATACATAAAAATACTGTTAATACACGGTAGTGTGTTGTAATAATCAATATTAATTTAATATTTGTGGTCTTGTGTATTAAAATAATCAATACCGCTGGCAAACAAAAACAAACTAATTTTGACCGTTGCACTATATTGCACACGCCCTTGTTCACAGTAGAAAATATAAAATTTCCTATCTACCCAACCCTGTGTGTGGAGCAAAGTAACTGAAGTGTATGGGGGCCCTAACAAATATACACAAGATTCATCAAATAAAATGTTACACTTTCTGTTATAGCGTTTAAATAATAATCGTAATAAAACTAAATAAAAAAATGATTCTTTCGTCAAAAAAACACCTACTTAATATCTATTCATCAATTAAAAAATTGGATCTATTTGAAGCAATTTCGTGTGAATCCATTCGACTTTTACACAGCAGAGACATGTCACTCACCTGTCTGGAAAGACCCAAAAAGGAGATCCTTAATTCCAATCACTTCACAGATAATTTTAATCGCCCTGTGACATTTCAAGCCGTGTCCTTCTGGTTTTTGCCATACGAATATTTTTGTTGCGCCAAACTGAGTGTAGAAATGATGACAAACTATAAAAAAATAAATTTAAAACTTCAAGAATCTATTGTAAAAAGAGAGAATTGTGTATAATACTATACCTATATGATTTTTAAATAGTTTTATATGTACTAGTTTTTGAGCTGCTCTATTTTTGGCTTTGCGCAGTGCATTTCCAGGATCCTGAGTCCTGCCCATTGCAAAACCCGCTAAACCATTCTTGTTTCCAGTTACTACTAGTGCAGCATTTCTTCTAGTCCTTCCAAAACTTCCTCTCATATTCCATACAACCTTCATTTCCAATACTCTAGTATCAAAATCAAAATGATCAAAAGTTTCTAAAAATTTTGTTTATATTAAATGAAATATCTTTATGCTTCGAATTTACCATCTCCTACTGGGCCAGGATGCTTCGACCTGGCATTTTAGATCCAGTCCAGCCTCTCTCGATGTTTTTTTGTTAAATTACAGTTATTAACCTTTAAGGTGCGTTTACACCGGCTGCGCCGCGCCGCGCAAATCATTTTTTAACATATACTTTTGTGCGCGCTTAAAAAATACACTTCAAAAGTACATGATAAAAAATGTTTTGCGCGGCGCGGAGAGGCGCAGCCGGTGTGAACGCACCTTTTAAATGTACCGTATGATCGAAAAAAAAACGGCATCAGAAATATACGAAACTAAACTATGAAATGAAGATCGCTGTCATTTTATATGGACATTTATATGGGAAATGTCATCGATCGTCATTTCCCAGTCAACGACGCCGTTTTTTTTTCGATCATATGGTATATTGTTGACACCATACAATCGCAAAAATTACATTCACGTATATATAGTGTATCTGTTGGGACGCCCTGAACAGATAGAAAAACAGAAATAAAAATAAAAAAAAATCTTAAAAGGATATATTACAAAAATTATAACAACTTATAGTACGAGAGCTAGCAACGTCGGGAAAACAAGTATTTTAAGAAATCTGGCTCTTTGATATATCTTTTACTATGCTCTCTTGAACAGTGTGCGGGCCGTTCGGCTGCCGGTAAACGTTGCGCATCGAAAGAAGATCCTATATTTTTTTTAGAGAGCATAGCAAAAGATGTATGAAAGAGCCATCTTTCTTAAAATACTTTCTCGAAAACGTTGCTAGCTCTTAGACTATAATATATTTACAAATTTCCAAGATATCTATGATCAGGTTTCTTCTTCTTCAACCTCTTTCTTAGGTCTATAATATTGCCTACACTCTGGATACTTATCAGTAAGAAAACTCCTTATTTCTCCATGTTCAGTCAGCATATTCATTTTCACCTCTCTCTGATTCTTCTTTTTGTCAAACTTGGCCAAATATTTCAGATACGAGTCGTACCTACTATAAAACGGGGGTAGCGGTTTCTTCTTTAGTACCACTTTACCACCGAAACAGTACTGATCGTAATCGAAACTTTCGTCCCTCTTTGTTTCCGACTCTTTTTTGCACACCGAAGGTGAAGCTATCACATTCGGGAACTTGTAGGACTCCTCGCAAAGTTCGACTAAATGAAGACCCTGATCTTCCGCCATTTCTTGTGGAGATTTCTATTAAAAAAAAAACACAAATAACGCTTCTATATATCCAGGGTTGTGTAAGTAGAATATTTTACATATTCTCCATATTTTTTACAAGTAGAAAATTAATTTTCTACTCCAACTAATTCTTTACATTTTCTACATATCAACAAAAAAAAAATGATAATGCTTAACGTAATAATAAAAGTAGCACTAGAACCTACAATCATTATTATACCTACATCTAGATGTCCATATGTATGTACAGGGTGGGTCAAATCGGACGCTTTTAAAGAGAAACACCCTTTTCTATAGGAGATAGACGAAAACTAATATCGGTGTCTGGAGCTCAATTTTTATCATAAACATGATGGTGCAAAACGCACATCGATATCTCTTATCGTTTCGGAGTTAGGGGGTGTTTTTCAAAACTGTGCATTTTTAACAAATCACTGTAACTTTTTTTGCTACAAAAAATATTGTATTTTTATGAAAACATTTCCAAAGCACCTTTTTAAGTAGCTCTTTTTACATAGATCTTACTTTTAAGAGGTTTGTAAACTTGGACTATAGTGTGTAACAAATCAAGGAAGATTTTGACAGACATCATCCAGAAAAGGACAGAAGATACGATATGCCTGTGAATTATAATGACACAACAGTCACTGTTCGTTGTACATATCAATTTAAAATAATATGGAAGTTAATAGTTGACATACTATATACCATCAATTTGTTAAATAATAAATAACAATTAGAGATAGAGTTATTAGTTTATTTTTTGTACTAATCATTGTCATTGAAGTATTTGAAACAAATATAAACTCAAAAAAAAGACTTACAATATACAAAACTAATTTTCTACATCTGGGCATGTAAAAAACGTAGAAAATTAGTTGGTGTAGAAAATTTATTTTCTACGTGTAGAAAACACAAAATATAAAATTTTCTATCTACCCAACCCTGTGTGTGGAGCAAAGTAAATGAAGTGTATGAGGACCCTAACAAATATACACAAGATTCATCAAATAAAATGTTACACTTTCTGTTATAGTGTTTAAATAATAATTGTAATAAAACTACATAAAAATGACTCATTCGTCAAAAAAACACCTAAGTACTTGATATCTATTCATCAATTCATCAAAAATTGGATCCATTTGAAGTAATTTTGTGTAAATCCATTCGACTTTTAAACAGCAGAGACATGTCACTCACCTGTCTGGAAAGACCCAAAAAGAAAGCTTTCATCACATGGTTCACATTTGTGGAACCCTCGACTTTAGCATAGAGATCCTTAATTCCAATCACTTCACAGATAGTTTTAATTGCCCTGTGACATTTCAGGCCGTGTCCTTCCGGTTTTTGCCATACGAATATTTTTGTTGCGCCAAACTGAGTGTAGAAATGATGACAAACTATAAAAAAATAAATTTAAAACTTCAAGAATCTATTGTAAAAAGAGAGAATTGTGTATAATACTATACCTGTATGATTTTTAAATAGTTTTATATGTACTAGTTTTTGTGCTGCTCTATTTTTGGCTTTGCGCAGTGCATTTCCAGGTTCCTGAGCCCTGCCCATTGCAAAACCGGCTAAACCATTCTTATTTCCAGTTACTACTATGGCAGCATTTCTTCTTGTCCTTCCAAAACTTCCTTTCATATTCCACACAACCTTCAATTCCAGTACTCTAGTATCAAAATCATCAAATGTTTCTAAAAATTTTGTTTATATTAAATGATATATCTTTATGCTTTGAATTTACCATCTCCTACTGGGTCAGGAGGCCCAATGCTCCGACCTGGCATTTTAGATCCAGTCCAGCCTCTCTCAATGGGACTTAATTTGAGTCGCTTAGAAATACCCATCGCATTTCTCATTTCGATTAGCTTTTGCTCCCTATCTGGGTCTTCTGGTAGTTTTTGTTGTTGAACAAGCTCTTTGCCTCGTATTATTGGAGCTGACAAACCCGGCCATACCATATTTGCTTTTCCTAGAAACGTACAAATTTCAATAAGCGTTATTTTAATATGTTTCAGACCTCAGTTTTAGACCATTCTAAACTTACCAACACCAATCACTTGACCCTTGTTTAAATCCTTAATATTCCTCTTGGAAATGGTTTTTCCTCTACCTCGCTTTTTACCAGCATTACTTACCGAAGTGATACCCTTCCATAATTTATCGGCAGGCACTAAAAATATTCAAACACGTAGAAAAAGAGAGACTTAAAGAGAACCTACTTACATTTTTTGAAATAGTTCGTATTTCGAGTAGAGTTTGTTGTAATAACAGCCGCATTGTTTGTAGTTTGATCTTCCCATTTTAGTAAAGGCGAAATAACCGGTCTTCTTGCATTTATAGTTAATTTTTGAAATATTTTTGTTACATTGAGCAGTTGCTTCGCCATTTTTCAGGTTATATTTGAAATTTTGACAGTTGACAATTCTTATACTTGAGAAATTAGCAGCACATTGTCTTGGAAATATTAAATTTTATATATGATTAAGACTGTTTATTTAAGCTTAGCAGCTGAAAGACATTTTTACAGTTGATTGAAGGATGTAAAACAAACGTGCTAACAGATATTTCTATTTTCAAATAACTACTTTATAGAACTTAACGATCATATACTATGTCGTCAATGGCATCATATTTTAAGGCCTGAGTTTAGAAAAGGAAGATTTTTTGCCACGTTGCCGCTTCATCAAATGTATTGATGATTTTCACTTATTTGTACAAAATGTCCCAAGGAAAGTTATCGTTTTATACCGTTAATGATGCAGTTTCAATTCTATCAACAATAGAATTCTGGGTAGATCTCAATTAACACTAGAATTATTCTGTGTTGTACATATACTGGCTGACCTATAAACCGGTTCTTGAAAAGAAAACGTGTACAGGTCTACGTAACCGTAGGTAATGAGCCGACAACATCGCTTCTTCATTTCTTTTTCCGGCTGCCCGGATCATTTGAAAATTCCGAGTATTTAAACCGGATCATTTACACATTCTTCAGTTCACGCTTCAGTTCTTCCAGGTCTATTGTGGTCTAACACAGACGTTGTAGCTCGTGTATTGTGTGTTTGTTTGGTAGAATTTTAATTTAAAATTATGAGCACCGCAAAAACTCAGTGTCCAGCCAACGGAACAGAGCCGTGTACGAAAAAATTAAAAGTTGAATCTGTTCCAGTGTTCCATTCTCCTATTAATGATGTCATAGCCCCACCAAATAAGCCTTCGAAGTGTACGTGGAATAGAATTAATGATAAAACACAAATTAATCCACATTCGACCCATGAATGGTAAGATTTCTTTATTTATTATCTTTTAGGCAAATAATATTTTGCCACTTTATACAGAGTGTTTCTTAAGTAGTTTCAAAAAAATTATAGGGTGGGATTCCTCATGATTTTTTAGGAAAAAAAGTCTATATGAATATAGGGTATAAAATATACTCCCTTTTTGATCTACAAGTTTTGTTAAAATTTAAAAAAAAATCGAATTTAATTGGTTTAAAATGAATGGTACGCTACTGTGTTTTTTGGAGCAAACGATTTTTTTCTTGATTATCTATACTTTTTAACAAAATTGAAAACCGTTCGGTGCACAAAAAAACTCAAGAGATCAATCTTATTAAAAAAGAATGGACAGAAATACAGAAAAAAATGTTTTCTCTAAAAAAGCAGTGTCGTACCATTTATTTTAATCAAATAATTCAATAATAGGAATCAATAATAGTAGGTAGGTTCAATAGTAGGAAAACAACAGTTAATGGAAAATAAACATACCATTGAAACCTACATACTATTGAACAAAATATTTAAATTTAGATATTTTCTTCTAAGAACCATATATACCTACTTAAATAGGTATTTTCCGATATATTTAGAGAAATTCGATTTTTTTAAGACCCCGTAAATAATACAATTTAAAAATTTACAATTCTAAAAAAGTGCTGTCTACACTTTTTTAGAATTAATTAAAATATAATAGACTTATTTAACCCCCTGTAGGGTATGAAACAAAGCAGAATCGGATCTATATTTATTATATAGAAAATAAATCTTATTTTTACCTGAGGAATCTTCCCACGAGAGATGGCAAATGTTTTTTTTAAAACGCCCTGTATATTATTTTGAACGACTTAAAATTTTATTAGACAAATTGGTTTCTGTATAAGGAAGTCAAGTCATTAAATGAATTTTAACAACTCAAATTGATGTCTGGTAGCAGGCAGTTAATATAAAAATTATTTTCCATAATATGAACTTTGAAGAAAATGTATAGTGTGTTCCCGGATTGTCTTTACAACAGGAAATACTTACTTTTTATTTTTTTATGAAAAAAATTTTGCTTTTTGTTTTAGAGGAAATTAAGAAAGATATGAAAATATATGGTTGATTTTTTTCCTAAAACATTCATAAATATTTATCCTTGTTACAGAAATTTGTTTATATATATATATATATATATATATATATATATATATATATATATATATATATATATATATATATATATATATATATATATATATATATATATATATATATATTTGTTTATATATAAATTAAGAAATATATATATATATATGTTGATTTTATATATATAAACATATATATATATATTTATATATGTTATATAAATATATATATATATATATATATATATATATATATATATATATATATATATATATATATATATATATATATATATATATATATATATATATATATATATATATATATATATATATATATATATATATATATATATATATATATATATATATATATATATATATATATATATATATATATACCTACTTATATATATATATACTGGTTATAATACCTACTTATATATATACTGGTGATCTTACTTATCTTATAGGTATATAATTTGTAAAATAATATTTATTTTTATAAAAAACAGCTTCTGTTAAAGAAATTTTTCTGTTGACTATTTTATGTAAAAATTATTCAGTTTAAAATAGTTTCTATTCTATTTAAAGTTAAATATGTTCAGGTACTTGGCTCTATGTAACCTCTGTGTTAAAAATAGAATAAAAAATGAACTTAAATTACCTAAAGACTGCGCTATGTTTGTATTTGTCAAAATAATTACTATTATAATACCAGAAAGATATTAAACAAGACTAATATTTTCGTTATGTACTGAAAAAAAAACAAAAATAAAGAAATAATGGTTATTTGTCTAGAATTTCACAACATTAAATACTATTTAGGTCTTGGATTAATAAAAGGCAGATGTTGAAACATTGATATAGATCTATACACCCTGTTGAAACAAACCATTTTTGTTCACCCTGTATAATAAGGATATTACCGGATATACCTAATCAAATTCGACCAGCTCTTATGTGGTTTCCTTCATTGACACATTTCGAACAATCTAATATCGTATTTTTACTATAAGAATGCCATCTAATCACAGAAAAATACCACAAATATTTGTTTTTATCGGTTAATTATTTTTATTTTTTCTTCTACTGATAATTACGTACTTTACTATCTTTGTGGGTTTTCTATCTTTCACGTTTTTGCGGTCTCATGAAGATATTGTTTGTTTGTAGGCGTTTCTTTGCTATTCGAAAATTGATAAATAAATTATTAGTGAATGGGAATTGTTAGAAGTTATTAATTATTATTAGAAACCATAATTAAGATAAATTACTTTTTTAATAATTATCTTAAGAATTTCTATGAAGTATTTATTATGAAAATTTTTTCTATTTTCTATTCTATTTTTTTTTCTTAATGGATACTGAGTGTTTTTCAAAATGCCTCACCCTTATAACTTTTTTATTTTATCAGATAAAAACAATCATGAATGAAAATAAATCGGTATCAATTGACATATTCCCCGGAAATGACTACAACTTTTGAAAAACAAAAAATCCGGCGACGACAGTTTTTAGAAGAGCCAATTAGGTATCCTGTGCAGGTATCTTTTAGTAAAAAAAGCAACTTTCTAGAGCAAGTCGTTACTTCAGTAGAGACGACACAGATAAACATTAGCATTTTGTATATGTAGATAAAATTTCAGGAAAATCCTATTAAATATTTTTATTTTACTTTCATTTTATAATATTTTTCTGAACAACTGGAAGAATTAGATAATTGAAAAATTCGTTGTTTTATTACTACCATATATTTTGGTTTACAATGACTATGCAAAAATCGAAAAACATAATTTTTTAGGATTGTAAAGGTCGCAAGATCAGAGCGTATTTAAATTTTGTTTAGTTTTTCACATCATAATGTAAAATAAATCATTAAGAGGTCTTTATTTCAAAAAACTACAGTTTTATAAATATATATATAGCTATGTAAATACCTTGTATTTTCAATAAATATAAGTATTTTAATGGCATTGGTGTATACTATCTTGTTCATGTGGCAACACAGGGCTGTAAATTAAGCTGTTCTCAAAGCGGTAATCCTCAAAATGTTACGCATTATTGTTTATTTTCAAATTTAAAGAACTTTATTTTTTAAATTTATTTTAAATATATGGTAGATAGAAAAGATTACTCTTTTGTCTTGATCTGTCACCCCCTTAAAATACTTACAGTTATTTATGAGACACCTTGTATAACAGAAAAAAACATAGAAAATGATGAGATGAGACGACGAGACCTCTTAAGGCTTGATAACCATTTCAACATTTATTCGGTAAATCACAAGGACCCGTTTCATCACAACATTACGTTCACAAGTTTCCTCAAAAGACGCATATTTAATGATTATGTGATAAAAAGCGATTATACTTTTCCTTGAACTTGACGATATATGCTACTAAACCAAAATAAAATTTAAATGACTAAAAATAATCAAAGAAAGAATATAATATAGACAAAATTTTTAGAAGAAAAATAATGATCTGAGAAAAAGTTTTCAATCTAGTTAAAAAACTCAATATACAGGGTGGTCCGAACTGTATTCCGGAAACTTCAGATAAAAATAAGTAAAACATTTCGTATAAATGTATGTCCTAAAATGCTTAGTTTCGGAGATACAGGGTGTAGAAGTTTCATTTTTATTTCGATTTTTTCCAAAAAGTCTTTTGCCTTTTTTACATTTTTAAAGTCTTTATTTATGGTCAAAATTGTATTTTTAATAATAATAAATTTTAGTTAATATTTTATTTTATTTTAAATGTTTTTTTTTCAGAATTGTGTGTGAAAATATTTTTTAAAGAAAACATTATTTATTTTGTTTATTTTATTATTTTGTAAGCCAGATGTTTATAAATAGATTAGGCATATTTATCTCGACTAATTAATTTAAACTACTGACGTATGGATCGTATCGTATAAAAAACGACGTCATAATAGGCATAGAAACACAACTTTTGTTTGAGATTTACTATGAATATCTATCGCTGAGAAGTCCTTGCCATGAGTTAAAACTGAATTACAAAAAATGTATTAATTGTTGTAAAACATACATACTAGTTATTTCGGAAATGGATTATATTTTTTATATAAAGTTTACAAATTATTGAATCTTTTACAATAAATTAAATATTACACCGAATGTCTAGGAATAGTTCATACAAATTTTTGTTTTATTTCAGGAGAAGAACGTCAAAAATACTACCTGATATTTTGAAAACCATAGGTAACACACCTTTAGTAAAATTGAACAAAATACCCCAACATGAAGGGATCAAAGCAAACGTTTGTGAGTATTAACTTTTATTTTTTTCTGTTCGGTATTAACATACCGTGTGATCGAAAAAAAACGACGTTATAGACGGCTGAGGAACGACAATCGATGATAATTTTGGCGAGGCCAAGCCCTATAGACGTCATTTACCTACTTGGCCTGTATTTTTTTTTAAATCATATACTTGGCCCACAATTTAAAATCATATTTTTTGCCATTGTTTGGATGTCTTTTGTCGAAATCTTTCCCGATTCTTTGGTCAGACTTTAACTTTTTAATGTGTTTTTTTTTTAAATTGGATTAGGATCGAAAGAAATCAACAGAAGTCCTAAATTGGATTAGGATCGAAAGAAATCAACAGAAGTCCTTTGTTTTAAATTTCTCGACGTTTCGCAAAATTTATTTGTATCTTCAGGACAATTTAAGTCCTGTAAAAGACATTATATATTATTGGATCGACAACAATAAAAATTAGATTTAACTTTTTTGCCGACCATAACAATAGGTATGGTAGATAACTCAAAAACCGCTAAAACGATTTTAACCAAATTTGGCACCAAAATACTGTGGCACCCGAGAATCTGGCCATTAGTTTTTGGTGGGGGTGGGGGGTTGGTGGGGGGTATAGGAGAGGGTTAAAAATTTAAAAAAATCGTAACTCCAAAATTACAGTAGCTAGTGAAACGAGGTTTTCAATTTAAGATTAGGAATAATATTTGCAATAACATCAAAATCAGTCAAAGTCGCAGTTTTTGAGATAGAAAAAAAATTGAAAAAATTCCTTTACTTTGAAACTAAAAGAACTGCCTACCAACTCTTTATCAACGTATTTTAATATGGGCGGCTATACGTGACTCCCGGCGCCAATTTTTTTTGTCTTACAGGAATGGCAATAAAAAGAAAATATAATAATTAATTTGTTTCTTGTAGACGTTAAATGCGAGTATTTTAACCCAGGAGGCTCGGTAAAAGACAGGATAGGGTACAGAATGGTCAAGGATGCGGAGGAACAAGGTTTATTAAAACCAGGCTGTACTATTATCGAACCATCATCAGGAAATACCGGTATAGGACTAGCCTTAGCAGCCGCAGTCAAAGGTAAATTAGTAGATTTTAATTATTATTATCTACTTTTAATTATTTTTCGTATACTGTACAGGGTGGTCCCATTTTCTTGTGTTTTACAGGATATCTCGCTTATGAGTAGGGATACAAAGATGCGGTTTTCACATCATGCCACTTTCGCATCAGTAAGGCCGTAAACAAACATATCGTATACAATTTTATATACTAATTCATTATAATAAAATTAAACCATAAAAATATACATATAATAAACGCGATTTTGGCCTCCTTGATGAGATAAACGCAATTTTATTAATTTGCCTTGATCCAAGTCTAATAGCAACCTTTAAAAAAAATTTATATCATTAACTTGCGAAAATTTTAGTAAGTATTTATTGATTACTCATCAAAAAATATGAAAAAAAGTTCATATAAACATGGGTATGGAAATGCATAGTTTTAGAGTTACAGGATGTTAAAACTTTTTAAAATGAGTTTTTTTGTAAGTATCTTAAATACCATTATTTTTAAGATATTTATATTATTTATTTATTTAATAATAAATTAGGTAAAATATATAATTTTTTAATTTTAATTTTATTCAATGTGATTAATAAAATAGCGTTTATCTCATTAGTGGAGTGCCCAGAGACTTTTACCTCGGAATTCAATTACTGTGAATGTATTAATGTCAAACCTTCTGTATTGTGTTTTATAGATAAAATACTAAAATGTTTACCCATTTTTTTTCGTTGCTTTTAACTTTTTATTTTAGTAATTTTAGTAAATTCTTAATTATTTCCTTCTTAATATTTTGATTTTTTTTAATTCTTTTTCTAAGTAAATTTATTGAATTAAATAAATTTAATGCATCCGCTATACCTATTCTGTTTACATTATAATCATTGAAATTTTGATTGAAATCGAATTATACAGGGTGGCGCGCCATATACAACGCGGTTTTTGCAAGGAGAACAAAAATTTGTATTAAAGTGAAATTTTCTGAGCTTATTAAGTCAATTTAAAGCATTTTCTAAAATTATGTAGAGTTCTACAGGGTATCCCCCAAAAAAGTTACACATCAAAGTTATGTTTTTTGTAATGGAACACCCTATATATTAATTGATTTTTGGATTCTAGTAAAAAAATAAAGGTCTGTTTCATTAGGAAAGTATATGACTAAAATGTTTAGTTTTTGAAATACATTCACCGGCATGAAAAATAGGCACCTTATAACTTTGATGTATTTTAAAGGTTAATATATTTTATTTTAATAGGCCGATTTTGATGATTTTTTAAGCAGTGTGTTGCCAAATTATTTGACTTTTTAGTATGTTTTTCTAAATTAAAAGTTAAACTCCCCATCTGTTAATTATACGAGGGAAACAAAATGTTGATATTTTGGTGAAAGTTTGAAACACCCTGTGGAATATGTTAAAACAGCAAGAAATTTAAAAATAATTTTATCATCTAGATACATCCTTTCTCGATGGTTTGTTTTTTGATTCATCTCATTAGCTTTATTTTTGTTGGAAATATTCGGTTTTAAAGAAGGCACTAACATTTTTTCGTAATTTTTACATTAAGACCATGCCTTTGCTTTTGGGCCTAGTCAACACATCTAGTAAGTTCTGGTCCCGAAGCAGGTCTTCTTGATATAGCATTTGCTTCATTTAATCTTCTTCTTGTATTTTGTTAGTTAATATGTACGGTCCTTAAGTGCAATTCATTATCAATTTGAAAAGCTGGTAAACGGCGGTTTCTTAGCGATAAACTTACAATGACTCGATCGTCTCGACTAGAAGTTCTGATACGAAGGTTCCTGAACGTCTAGATTGACGTTCTCATGGACGTGCTCATAATTCAAAGACTATTTAGTATACTCTATGGTCAAATTCGCTTAACTCGAATAAATAAATGATATATATTTGACTCACACTGTATATCTATAAAAATATATGAAATGTGAACTACCATTAAACATATATACCGTCTCCGAGAGATCTTTCCTCCATAAACGTGTCAATCCCTTCCTGCCAACTTCTTCTCGGTCTACCCGGTTTTCTTCTTCCTGCAGGTTTCCAGTTTATAATTTGCTTTGGGATTCTTATTTCTGCCATTCTTTGGACATGCCCGTACCATATGAGTTGACTGTTCTTTATGTCGTCCACTATCGTATGTTTAACTTCCATAATCTCTCTTCTGCGTTCATTAGTTATTCGCTCGAGTCTTATTTGCCTGCTGATCTTCTCCAAAAATCCATCTCTGTAGCTTCCAGCATTCGTTTTGTTGTTTCCTTAATTGGCCACACTTCACAGCTGTACGTGGTTATACTCTTTATGATGGTATTGTATATTAGAGTTTTGTTCTTGTTGTTTATGTTTCTGTCCCACAGTATCCCATTCAATACCGTGATAGCATTCCTTCCAAGTTGGTTTCGTTCTTTAATTGCTGTATCCAACAGTTCATCATTTGTGATTTACATACCCAAATATTTGTATTTTGTGCAGCACTTAATTTTCTTCCCTTCTTCTAGTATTAGATCTTGTTGTTCTCCTCCGATACACATATATTCTATTTTGTTAGTATTGATCTCGAGTCACCATTTCTGATATTCTTCTATAAGCTTACGTGTCATATAATTTATGTCATCGTAATCTTGTGCTATGATCACCTGATCGTCCGCGAAGCAAAGTGTGTAGAGCATGTTATCCCCTATGGGTACTCCCATATTTCGACATTTTTGCTTCCAACCTTTGAGAACTTGTTCCAGATATATCTTGAACAGTGTTGGTGAAATACAGCACCCTTGTTTCAGACCTTTGGTTCCATTTAATCCTGTTATTAACTTTTTGCCGACTTTTATTCTAGTTTTTGTTTGCTTATATAATGATTTTACTGCTTTTATTAGCTCTACATTTATATTGGTTTTTTTCATAGCTTCCCAAAGTCTCACAAGGGGAACGCTGTCGTATGCCTTCTGCAGGTCCACGAACACAAGATGTAGCTCTTGGTTTATATTGCTCTTTTTACTTATTACTTGAGTGACTGTAAATAAGTGGTCCACCGTCGATCTTCCGGCTCTAAATCCTGCTTGTTCTTCGGCTTCTATTTCCTGGTATTCGTTTTCGATCCTATTTCTCAAAATTTTTCCATATATTCTACTCACGGTGGCTGTTACTGATATTCCCCTGTAGTTTTCGCACTTAGTACGATCTCCCTTTTTGTATATAGTTGAGAGGTAAGCCTCATTCCATTCTTGTGATACATCCGTTCCGTTTATGCAGTCCTGGAATATTTTCCTTAAGTGTTTGTACAGTTTTTTCGGTCCTGATTTAATTAACTCTGCCGGTATATTTCCCGGTCCGGGTGCTTTACGATTTTTTAGTGAGGTACATGCCTTAATTACTTCGTCCATTGATATTCTAATCGGGGATCCCATTGTTCTTATATTTGTCGTCACGTCAGGGCAGTCCATAAATTCGACTCTATTTTCCGTCATAAGATTTTCCATGTATTCTTCCCATTTTTGTGGTGTAATCGGGGAGATTGGTGTAATCTTTCTGACATTTTTTATAAATTTCCAACTTATTCCAACCATTAAACATATATTTTGTAAAAGGTTTGGAGAGAAAATCTCAAATAGGAATACTGACACAGAGCTTTTCCGGAATACGGAGCCATCTTGTATGTATGCATTTGTATATGTGTGTTTATTTAAATACTAAAATGAAAGCAACGAATTTAAATAGGTAAACTTTGTAATATATATTATTAACGATACAATGCAAAAAGTTTTATAAAAATTCGTTTACAGTAAATGAATTCCGAGGTTTGTATCCCATAAGGGCTTAAAGCACTTCTACATCAAGGAGGCCGAATTCGACAAAATATCAAGAGAAAACTTGAAACACCCTTGTATTTCAGGCTATCGCTGTATTATTGTAATGTCTGAAAAAATGTCCAACGAGAAGGTATCGACATTGAAAGCCCTGGGCGCGGAAATCGTGAGAACGCCGGTGAATCAGGATTCAAATTCGCCGACAGGTATGTTCGGAACGACGCACAAACTACACGAGCAAATACCGAACTCTGTGATTCTGGACCAGTATTCAAATCCGGGCAACCCGCTGGCTCACTATGACACCACGGCCGAGGAAATCTACGACCAGTGCGACAAAAATGTGGATATGTTGGTGAGTCTAAGAGCTCGAACTCGAACACACTGACGACCAGGTCGCACCGGCCAGGCCGCTGCTACCTCTAAAACCGTTAAATCAAATGATACCGCACACACTAACGTCCTGGCCGTCCGTTGGTCGTTGCGACCAGTAGACTGATGCACTAAAATATTATAGTTTTCTGGCGCTTGTTGTCGGTTTTCTTCCAAATTAATAATTTTTCAGATGAAATCCCTCAAATTCAACGCACAATATTTTATTTTCTATAAGATATAGTGTTTTAGTGTACTTTTTACACATGTGCAGAACATCCAAAGAAATAGTATACAGACTGGATCAAAGGGAAACTTAAATCTAGTCCCTTTTTTATCAAGGGTCGATTCTATTAAAAATTCAAAACATTTTTATATGACATACTGTATTTATGGTTGGTATGATACCTGTTATTATACCTTCGAGTTTCGATGTTAAAAAATAAAAAAAAAATCATATTTAAAGTTTTTCTACAACCACTTGTTTTTTTTTATTAAATTATTTTTTTAGTTGTATTGTAGTCATGTACAAGGAGGACAACTGTATTTTAAATATTATATTTAATTTAACGTTTTTCAAACAGGGTCCATTAGACTATATTTCTACTAGGTACATTATTTTAAAAAAAATTAAGAGTAAAAGTAACTTAAACATTCATAAAAATAGAAGTATTTACTGTTGTAGATTCTCAGTAACAATAAAAAAGAGGAATTTATATTGTAAACATTGAAATAACTGGAAGCTAAACTTTCTACATGCTTATATTTAGAGCCAGTGTCTGACGACCTTTTTTTACGATGGCTCTAATATGTTTACTTCTAAAATCGATAAGAGCTATCAGTAGAAGTCAATATCAGTAGAAAAAAGAAACAGAATATCTCCCTTTTTGTCCATCGCGCGTACACAATGCTTTTTGTTCGGCCTATTTGTTCTGCTTGTTCGTGCGCGCTCGGTTCGTTCGGGCTAAAATATCAAAGTCCGGACGCACCTTTAGGAACAATACTGTTTTTGTCCTTTATTGATATAATGCTGAAAATATCACGAGTTACATGTCTCACTGTACACATATTAAATTACATAGACGTAGGATGTAGAAAATTCTGTTATGAAACGACTGATGGAATAGCAGGCATCGCGGATTTGAAAAATATGGAAATAACGACGTTATCGTATAGTCAGGGTTGGAGATTTTACTTACTCCATTTACCACACCAGTATTTATTAACGAAAAATCCAAGAATATTTTAAATGCATTATTTAATATTAGAACATTTAATAAGCTCATAAATAGCAACTTCGCTTTTTAGTTAACTCGGATATTTTAACATTCCTGAAACAATATTTTCTAATTGATAAAACGTAAAAAATCGTTAGATCTGACAACTCTGTTGAAACTGGTCGTTCATCTGGCCGCAGCTATAAAAGCAATGCATCCGGCCAGGTCGTTGCGACCTGGTCGTCAGTGAGTTCGAGCCCTAAAGCTCCATCAAGACGTAACGTTTTACCTGTCAGTTTTGCGTGTCGGGTAAAACGGAAGACCACCATCTACCGTACGATCGGTTTTTTAAATCTAACCTAACTGATTTGGTCTTGATTTCTTAAGGTTATGGGAGCGGGAACGGGAGGAACTGTCACAGGAATAGGCAGGAAATTCAAGGAAATATCCCCAAAGACTATACTGGTTGGCGCCGACCCTTATGGATCTGTTTTGGCTGTTCCAGACAGCCTGAACAAGACTGACATTGATTTTTACGAAGTCGAAGGCATAGGTACGTTAAATACAGACTGTCTCTTATAATTAGAACAAAAACACTCGAAAATTGTGTGTTTATTGACGGTTTTCTGCTAAGAGATATAAGTATAGAAGTCTTGTAATGTTGCCACTTCCTTCTTTATCTGCATTCTGCATTTATGTGTGTTCTTATACGTTCACAGTAATTATATTTTTCTATACAATAAATTACGAACTATATTATGATTTCAATATTAAATAACTCTATTATTTTCAATTTCTTTTAAAAACAGTTAATAGAAATTTTGTATTTTATAGTTGTTATTTCTGTTTTAGGTTATGATTTCATTCCTACTGTACTAGATAGAGCCGTAGTAGACCGTTGGGTCAAGACGTCTGACAAAGAATCTCTGCTTATGGCCAGAAGGTTGATTCAGGAGGAAGGACTTCTCTGTGGTAGGTTTCGTTGTTTCATCCTGCACACTTGTTTCCCATTTTCATGTCTTTTACGAGGTTTCTACTTTATGAAAAACGTATATTATTTTATATTTTTTACATGTTGCAAAGATGTTGTGGTTTTCATGAATCTAAAGATGCTTCACGCATACAGGGTGTCCCAGGCTGAGCGTGCATTAGAAGTTTCTAGAGAACTACAATATCTAGGTCGGAGATTTTTTGCACGTTATTGTTTCACAACAAGATCTATCGATTAAAAATATTTTCAATGTGGCGGCACTTCCGGAACTACCGGAAGTTGACAACAACTTTCTTATTTTAAATGGGTACCCGAATTTTTTATTACATACTTAAATTCTCTGTAAAATTTCATGAATTTTGATATCAAATACTCTGTATTTAACATTAACCGTTTCGGAGAAAAAAAAATATTAAAAATTTTTGGAGGAAAAAAACTGCCTGTCAAAAAAATCTATATAGCCTAAACGACAAATTTAGTGATTACCACAGCCACTGTGGCATAGAGAAGAGACATGTGGCTATCTATTTCAAAAATTAAATCGTTGGAATGTCATATAATATTGGCAGAAGCTGTCATGGAATTGAGCGATTAAAAAATTATCATAAATCATTTTTTCAGATGGAAACCCACTTTTTTTATTTCACTAATGAAAAGGTTTTTTAATTCGTTACTTTTTGGTTATACATGTTCCTATACCTAAAATAAATCGTTTTTAAGTTATTTAAGATTTAGTTTTAAAGAATATATTTTTTTGTCGTCACGCGATGTAAAACTATATCTGGCCATGTCATATTGACGTTAGCTATCACTAAAATACGATATATATATTTGTATAAATACACTTTATAAAGTTTTACCAGCAGTATTATTTATAATATTTTGAGATTCATTTACACATTTTTGATAAATTAAAAGATAACTGAGATATGAGGGGTATCGAGAAATGCATAATCTCGCCCTGTATTTCAGGAACTAAGAGGATTAAAGACAAACCTGTGTGTAGAAACTCTAGTTTCATTAAAAAGTAGCGGACTGATGTGAAAACCGCATCCTTGTTGATACAAGGAATACTCATAAACGAGAAACCCTGTAAAATACACGAAAATGAGACAGCCCGTACAAATCGTATAACTATTACCATAGGTTCAAGCAGTGGCGCTGCGGTAGTGGCAGGTTTAAAAGCAGCAAAAGCTCTTAAAGAGGGTCAAAACGTCGTGATACTGCTGCCGGACAGCATCAGGAACTACATCACGAAATTCATCAGCGACCAGTGGATGGAAGCTCGAGAATTCGTCCCCAGCGAAAACACAGAGCACCACTGGTGGTGGGACAAAAAAGTGACAGATCTAGAGCTGGCAACCTTGCAAACGGCCTCCGCGGCAACGACTTGCGATCGGGCGCTGCAGTTGATGAAAAAGTTGGCCGTTGATCAAATTCCGGTCGTGGAAAGCAACGGGTGAGTAGAGTTTTGACAGTTTTTCCTTTGACAGGGGCTTTTTTTATCATGGGTCGTTTCTAGTAAAAATTCAAAACATTTTTATATGACATACCTACTCTATTTATGGTTGGTATGATACCTGTTAATATACCTTCGAGTTTCGATGTTAAAAAATAAAAAAAAAATAATATTTAAAGTTTTTCTACAATCACCTGTTTTTTGTTTAATTAAATTAGTTTTTTTAGTTGTATTGTAGTCATCTACAAGGAGGACAACTGTATTTTAAATATTATATTTAATTTAACGTTTTTCATTAGACTATATTTCTACTAGGTACATTATTTAAAAAAAAATTAAGATTAAAAGTAACTTAAACATTCATAAAAATAGAAGTATTTACTGTTGTAGATTCTCAGTAACAATAAAAAAGAAGAATTTATATTGTAAACATTGAAATAACTGGAAGCTAAACTTTCTACCTGCTTATATTTAGAGCCAGTGTCTGACGACCTTTTTTTACGATGGCCCTAATATGTTTACTTCTAAAGTCGATAAGAGACATTAGTAGAAGTCCATATCAGTAGAAAAAAGAAACAGAATATCTCCCTTTTTGTCGGTCGCGCGTACAAAATGCTTTTTGTTCGGCCTATTTGTTCTGCTTGTTCGTGCGCGCTCGGTTCGTTCGGGCTAAAATGCTCAAGTCTAGACGCACCTTTAGGAACAATACTGTTTTTGTCCTTTATTCATATAATGCGCTGAAAATATCTCGAGTTACATGTCTCACTCTACACATATTAAATTACATAGACATAGGATGTAGAATATTCTGTTATGAAACGACTGATGGAATAGCAGGCATCGCGGATTTGAAAAGCATGGAAATAACGGGGTTGGAGATTTTACTTGCTCCATTTACCACACCAGTATTTATTAACGAATTTTACTTAGTCGGGGTTGGAGATTTTACTTACTCCATTTACCACATCAGTATTTATTAACGAAAAATCCAAAGAATATTTTAAATGCATTATTTAATATTAGAACATTTAATAAGCTCATGAATAGCAGCTTCGCTTTTTAGTTAACTCGGATATTTTAACATTTCTGAAACTTAATTCTTTCTGAAACAATATTTTCTAATTGGTAAAACGTAAAAAATCGTTAGATCTGACAACTCTGTTGAAACTGGTCGTTCATCTGGCCGCAGCTATAAAAGCAATGCATCCGGCCAGCCGACGCGACGGCCAGGTCGTTGCGATCTGGTTACCAGAAATTATTTTTCCCGGTATTTTGTGATATTTATTTAAATAAAAATTCATATAAAATATTTTTCTAAAAAGTAATTCAAATGTTCCAGTGAAATCGTCGGCATGATAACCTTGCAACTGTTATTGACTAGGATAGTGGATAAGAAAATCCAGCCCAGCGACCCTATAGACAGCATAGTTATGAGGATTTACCCGAAACTTTACAACACCGCAAATTTGGGACTGGTTTCCAGAGTACTGGAAAAGGAACCTTACGTTTTGATATTAAAAAAAGACGGTAAGGCTTGTTGTTGTTATGGGGCTACTGTGATGCCGTTTCTTTTCTCGATTATATGCTATTTTTATAACATATATTTCATTTTTCAGATGCAAGTAATATTATTAAACCTGTAGCCATAGTCACTCCTATAGATATTCTTCAGTACGTATCGTCAAATAAGTAATTAAACGAAATAAAGTGGAAGAATTTTGTTGAAGATCTGGTTATTTTTATGGTATTTGGCCTAGAATATTATAGTATTTTATATTTATGATATTTATATATGAATCTCAAAACATGTAGTTCAAATATTAAATTTAATTAAGTACTAGTTAAATGCATTTAAATAAAAATATATATTTTAATTTAAAAATATAGTAATACATTTTTTAAGCATATTTTTCGTGTTTTTTTTTCTTCATTTTTTTTTAATTCAGAGCTTTTGATGGTGTATATCAGGTAATAAAGGACGTAAAAGAAGCAACAAAATAAGTTAACAAAAACAATTTAATTTATAATACAAAAAAATACAATTTGGCATATTATATATTATTAAACATTTTTATAAGGTTGGAATAAATTCATGCATTTCTTTAATTGATATACCATTGCATTGGTACATACATTATACCAATTGGTACATACATTAGTATGTACCTAAATAGGTACATATACTACCGTATAATCGCAAAAAAATGGCGTCCAGTTGGCTTGGAAATGACGATCGATGACATTTCCCATATAATTTTACATATAAAATGACAGCAATCTTCATTTCATAGCCATCGCTGACGCCATTTTTATTCGATCATACGGTACTATTTAATAGTTCTTTATTTTGCAAAATAGCCCACTGAAAAAGCATAAACAAAAACGTGGGAGCACATATATCCTAAAATGGCAAAGGACAAAACAAAACACAGTGCTCTAGTAGGCTGGGGAATCACGTAGACGGCGTAAACAAAAGAGTGGAGTGACCTGAGGATCAGGAAGGCGTAGTATAAAATGTGGACGGCCCAGTCAGGAACCGGAACCCAAAGGTACGCCAATGAGATCGCCAGGAAAGCTGGAATGTTCTCTAAGTCGTTTTGAAGAGCCCTAAAAAATAAAATAAGCATGTCAAGTTGTAGATACGTGGATACATTTTATCACACACTAAACCCATGAATACTGAACAAGAAACAAAAAATGTAATATAACATATGAACATAGTGATGTCGTCAATATATATAATAAAAAAATACCGGGTGACCCATTAAAAAATTACCTTTTCACTCTGTCTATATCTTGGTCTGATCCTACCGTTCCTCCTGACATAGCGGTGTCTTCTTCACTGATAAATATCTAAAATTAAAAAGTACAGGGTGGGTCAAATTCGACGCTTTTAAATGGAAACACCCTTTTCTATAAGAGATAGACAAAAACTAATATCGGTGTCTGGAGCTCAATTTTTGTCAAAAATATGATGGTGAAAACCGCATATCTATAAGTATAACTCTTTTATTTTACTTACTTTTTTGGTAATCCGATGATAAATAGTTAAAACTATTAGTCCCATCATTTTCAACACTAGCAATGAGGAAACTATGAGATACGTAGAAAATGTCGGATTTTCCAAACTTAGAATAACTGTATTGTTGTTCATTTTGGGATTATTTCTATTTAATAAAATAAAAATGGCTCACCAAACGTAAGACCAGTACTATAATGATATTTAATAACATTAAATTGTGAAAAATATCAGCTGGTAAATGAATATAAGCAAAACGAAGACCGGGTATCCAAGTTCAAGGAAAACAACAACACCTAATTTAGGTGAAATTGGCTTTAAACGTCCTAGAATGTTAAACTTTAGCATTTCATATTCATTGTGATGCCGTTGCATATATTTTTTAATATTATGGATCAATATTCATCTAGATTATTTAAATTTACTAAATACCTACTTATAAATTTAGAAGTTTATTTGTTAAATTTTGTTTAAAAAATATATTAATAGTTACTATAAGTTAAATAGAGAAATATAATTATAGGTAAAATAAAAAATAGATATTTGAAGCAGTCAGTTTATGTTTTATTATATTACGAATTTTTATAATTGTTGATCTATACAGGGTGGCCCGAATTGTATTAGGGAAAATTATTTTTAATAGTTTATAATAATAATTATATTTATTATATATGTATGTATAAACTCAGTTCAACGCTCGTGGGTTAAAAATTAGGTGAAAAGTTAATCTTTTTTTGGCGCATTCACCATTTTGTCAACATTTTTTAAAATATTTGAAAATTTTTTTCTGCATTGGCCATATTGTCAAAATTTTTTTTGTTATTATTTATACACTAATACCTATAATATTTTCGTTTTAGTTTGGGCTAAAACGCATTAAGTAAAAAGAGATACAACCAGTTTTCGATAAACACATTATTTTGCATTCCAGTGAAAATATAATTAAATTTAAATTAAATATAATAAACATTATATACAGTGTCCACCTTAAAGTTGGATCCATATGGACCTTTTTTTTATATTAGAGTTTTAAAAAATCTTTTTGTGGCAATCACTTCTGCTTTGAAAACAACTTAAAATGCACCAAGTCAAAGTTGACAGCTAACATCTGGGAGCTGTCAAATACAAAATATTTAAAAGAATTTTTAAAAATTGGTTAAATTATTGTTATTTTAAAAAAGGTGACTAACAAAATTATGTTTCAACTTTGACTTGGTGCATTTTAAGTTGTTTTTAAAGCAGAATTGACCCAAGAATCTGAAAAAATATTAAGATAAATAAAATGCAGATATAATAATAAAAACAAAACTTTTATTTGGATCACTTAAGTGTACATGGAGGCTCTAAATACAACGAACGGCTAAGATTACATCTACCCTTTTAAAATACCTCAAAATGACTGTCTATCCATATAAGTTTCTTTATAATATCTTACATCTAATTTTTATATTTTATATAAACGTTATACAAACTCTTAACGCTAAAATCTGTTAGAAACTCGTGTAACTATACAAACGAAGAAAAAACGCTATATTTTAAAAAAATACAAAGGTGGTAAGTACAAAGTCAGCGTCAGCTACAGATTCTTATTTGTACTTTTTTCGAGTCTTGAGCAAGGTTCCCTTATTCTGAGATTTTTTTTCGACAAAATTGACTGGGTTTCGAGTAAAATAGTTTGTTTTTAAAATTAGTACAATTTTTTTATGTATTAGAAAGAGTCTAAATGAATAACATTGACAAAATTCGGGTAGTTACTTTTTGTAAAAATAATAAATTAAAAATTTTCACTAAATAATTTGGTAGAAAAACGCCAATTCGAAGAAATGTATACAAAGTATAAAAATGTATATCATTTACACCCTCTATACCAGATCCAATAATTTAAAGTTTTTCTATAAATTTGTTTGTCTAGACTGGCTTAAAATACTTGTATACTGGCAAAGATTAATATGAAGTAGTTCGATAGCTGTACGGGGTGAGTCAACGATTAGTAAAGTCTATTATCTCATTTGTTTTTCAAAACAAATACGATAATGAACTTTAGACTCACCCTATACAATCATACGTCAAAGACAATCTTCTGAATTAGACGATCTGGCTGATAAATTACAATAAATATATAAAATTACGAAATATATACAGGGGAAGACTTAAATGGGGAATAATCCGAACAATTGGCACCGAAGAATTTCATATAAAATTTAAAATTAATCTTTGCTCGACTTTGGTAAAAAATTGCGAGCATCAAACCATTGGAGAAAATGCACAAAGTAGAATAAATAAAGAGAAAATTATGATTTTAACTCCAAACTTTGTTTTGAATATAAATAAGGATTTTTTAGCCAAAAAAATCCAACAAATAAAAAATGTTTTAATATTATATTACTGTTTCACATGGAGCGGAACATCCTCGAGTTCGAGCAAGTACTCGTCTACTTGGCAAGTACTAAGTATCCCCACTTTGTAAACGACATTGGCAAGTGTGGCGCTCACACAAACTGTCCATTTCAACAACTACGCCAGCACAAACATTGTTTAAATCCTTGGCAAGTAGACAGTATAGTTGCATCTATGGATACCGGTTGTCCCGAAATTGTCGTTGCTAGTGATTCTTTTTTCAAGTTCTTTTACTGTACAGGGTGGATCAAATTCGAGGCTTTTAAATGGAAACACCCTTTTCTATAGGAGATAGACAAAAACTAATATCGGTGTCTGGAGGTCAATTTTTGTCAAAAACACGATGGTGGAAACCGCATATCGATATCTGTTACCGTTTCGGAGTTACGGGGTCTTTTTCAAAAATATACATTTTTAACAAATCGCTGTAACTTTTTTGCTATGAAAAATTTTGTATTTTTATGAAAACACCTACCTAAACTACCGGTTAGGTTGTAGTAACCGGCACCGGCTGTAATGCAAAAAAATTCTAGCTGTGAGCATCAATTAAAACGAAAATAATATTTGCTATGAGAGATGCAGAATTTTATAACTATTTAAAATATATTTAACCAACATCAACACATTTAAACTATATCTATTAACAATAAAAATAAATAGCAAACCAAGACATGAGATTTTGCTACAGGTGTTCGACATATCGATCGTCTTCTGTTATGGACAGACGGGGCAGTTTTTGAACATTTCTCGCGGAATTCATTAACTCAGTAGGGGTGAAAGATACCCTCTCATAACTGCTAAGTATTTCTAATTCTTGTCTAGATTATACGGAAGAATAAAGAACCTTTATTCTTCCGCAAATATATCCATAGGATTAGATCCATGGGCATTAAGTCAGGCGGCCTCGACGGCCAACCGCTGGGATCTTGGTTAGCTATTCAATTATTCTTGAAATTGACTGCAAAAATTTGCTGATAACTTCAGCGTTCAGAGGCGGTGTGTCGTCTTGCTGGAAAAATATGTTTTCGAGTTCCATTAAGGGCATCTCATCAATAAGGGATCCAAAGCCTACTAGTTAAAAGTGGCGAACTTTTAAAAATTCTGTATTTCGAAGAGGGTTATAACAAAATATCAAGTGTGCTATATTTTTGGAAAGGTAATTTTAAATTCTTTTCAGTTAATTAAAAATATAGACGGTGTCCCAAATAAAAAATCAATTTTTCTGTTGATAACTCTTAAATTATTAATTTAAAAAAAAATATGCTTAAACCATTAAATTCTACATAAAAAGGTGCTTTGGAAATGTTTTCATAGAATAAAATGTTCCATAGGAAAAAAGTTACAGCGATTTGTTAAAAATGCACGTTTTTGAAAAACACCCCGTAGCTCCGAAACGGTAACAGATATTGATGTGCGGTTTTTGCCATCATGTTTTTGATGAAAATTGAGCTCCGGACACCGATATTAGTTTTCGTCTATCTCCTATAGAAAAGGGTGTTTTCATTTAAAAGCGTCGAATTTGACCCATCCTGTACACTGCAATACGATTTTTATGTTTGGCCATCCATATGAAAAGCTCATTTTCGTATAAATCCATAAATTTCAAAACAACATCATTTGAAGACTACACGGGAAAACCCAGCTTTATCCATTTTAATTGGAGCCGAGAAAAATGCAATTTAGTGTTTTTTTCGGTTCGGTTGAATAACTAGAAAAATATATATTACTACCAATTCTGAATTATTAATATTGTTAATTATCGTATATGCTAAAATACCGAAATAAAAGTGTCAAAATGCAAAACAAAACAGGGGAAAAACCAGGGATGTCCAATTAAAGGTTGTAGAAAATCTAAATTTACTACATATAATAATAATTGCAAGACGCATGCTTGTCGCCCATGCGTAAGGACATCTCTGGTTTGTGCCATTTACCCTACTCTAGTTTTTCCCTTGTACGGCAAAATAACCAAGCTGTAATATCTCTGGGACTAAGCGTATTATTGCTTTCTTTTTTCTCGAATGAGGTTAACATTTGCCTATAAAATTGTATCGCTATCTTAATTTCTATGTGACATATGTGGTTTTTCCCGTGTAGTCTTCGTTTGTCCACTTCATTTATTGATGAAGGAACGATTTAGGTATGTCGCCAATATTGAAGTTATTAATGTAAATTTGATATTATATAATCCATTATTGTTTTAACGTTTTTAATTACCCGCAATTAACACAACGATCCGGAAATAAACGGGACATACGCAGGAGATCCGCTTCATGTAAAACAGCACTAAGGTAGTATAAATTTGACAAAAAAATTAAACAGGATATACATATAAACTAATATTAAAATTCTACAGACTAGGTAAAACACATCATCCACTATACAGAGTTGGCATTTATTTTGTCCCACTTTGCTTCAGCTTTTTTATTATTTTTTTTTAGCTAGAACATATTTCTTAAAAACGAATTGTAGGGTTTTTAGTCAAATTATAATATGCATTACCCAAAAATAAAAATACATCAATATACATACTAAAATATACTTTTGAAATCTAAAAAATGTGTTATTTAACACACTTCTAACATACAGGGTGTCCCATTTGAAAACTAATTTTAATTTTTAACTTTAATTTTTTACCAAACGTTCTACATAGTTCAAAAATAAAAAAAAAACATGTTAAAATCGGGACCAAATAAAATGCTAACACCGTACATGACCTTTATCCTACTAAATGCTTAACCAGATCAGCACGGATCTGAAAAAATATGATAAATCATAATATTTTACCCGAAAAATGCTATAATCTACTGAGAAAATAAAAAGCATATTCAATTATTGTTTTCATAAAAAATAGAGAGACAAAAAAATATAAAATGTATTGCTGCCATTTTTTGAGCTTTTTTTAATACCTTTTGAACTTTAATGTAAATATTTTGAGTTTTATAAAAAAAAATTTAAAAATTAATTGCTAAAATCAGTAGAATATATTTTTGTAATGATAAACTTATGGTATGATCATGTATGATACAAATATTTCAAATTTTTTTCATCATCCCGAACGATATTTTCAAGATAAACTAAAAAGATTTTTTTTTGCGCACCCTATGTATATTGGGGTGGTTGTTGAAAATTATTTCGCCCCAAAAAATCCTTTTTTTTTTTGACGAAAAACTACAGGGAATTTTTTTTTTTGGTTTTAAACACCTGCCGACGGCCAATTGAAGTGGCTAATTAAAAGACAATTTCAGTTGGCAGTGCCGACGCCTTATTTTTGTTTAAAACAAAAAAAATCCCCGATTCTCGTCAAAATGAAGGATTTTTTGGGGCGCCGGAAAAATAATTTTTAATATCCATCCTTCTTAATATTTTTTTGGATTTATTATAATTTTCTTCCAATTACTTTTAGAGTTTTGAATGAAAATTTTTAGGGTAAAAGTTATTATAAATGCGACATATTTTAATGCTTAAAAAGTGTCGACATATTCACCAGGAACGTGCATATGAGTTATCACTAGAATATTTTTCTAAAAAAAGGCATGTCCGCTACTGACTTTTTTTTTTCTCTTCTTAGCAAAATAGTGTAAGCAGTTTAATTGACTAAAATTTGTCTCTGGATATTTTGTCGACTTCGGCCTCCTTGATGAGCTAAACGCAATTTTATTAATTTGCTTTGATCCAAGTCTAATAGAAACCTTTAAAAAAAATTAATATCATTAACTTGCGAAAATTTTAGTAAGTATTTATTGATTACTCATCAAAAAATATGAAAAAAAGTTCTTATAAACATGGGTATGGAAATGCAATTTTAGTGTTACAGGATGTTAAAACTTTTTAAAATTAGTTTTTTTTAATTATCTTAAATACCATTATTTTTTATTTGAACTTCCTGTAGGCTGGACTAATTGTAATAATATTTAATAATAAATTAGGTAAAATATATAATTGATTAATTTTATTTTTATTTCAATTTTATTAATTGTGATATATTATATTATATTTTTTTTTAGGTTGCACTGTATTTTTTAATATGAATTAGTTGATTTCTAAACTAACACCACTAGTTTTATACACAGTTTTCATATCAAAAGAAAAGTCAGTGGCGCACATGTTTTTTTTGAAAAATATTCCAGTGATAACCCATATGCACGTCCCTGATGAATTTATCTCCACTCTTTCAGCATTAAAATATGTAGCACTTATAGTAACTTTTACCCTCAAAATTTCATTCGAATCCCTAAAAATACTTGGAAGAAAATTATAATAAATCGAAAGAATATATTGAGATTTTAATACTCTATAGTTAATAATTAAAATAAATCTTATTTTTACGTGTTGTTTTTACATGTTTTTTAAAACACCCTGTATAAGTATTAGCTAATCGGAAATGGTCAGTTACAATTACCTGCTGCAATTAAAGAGGTTGCACTGTATTTTTTAATATGAATTAGTTGATTTCTAAACGAACACCATTAGTTTATCATTACAAAAACAAATATTTTTAAACAAATATAAGATCTAGAGTTTTTCTCACTTTAAGGCACTGTCGGTAGTGAATTCATTAAAAAACTAAGTGAACGCTAAATTATCGATATTTACAAAATATATATCGGTTAGCACAGCTTCCCTTATAACCCTTACAGCCCCAAAAGACACTTCAACGTTCAAAACATCTACAAATAACGCAATTATTCTTCGTAATTTCGAAAATTTAACTGAAAATTTAGGTGCAAATAAAAAAAATACATTTTATATCTGTGATATGTATTAAAAAATCTAACCAAAAGCTACTTGTACACATTTCGAACCACGACTAAAAACCCCATTTTGTGAAACTTTACACAACCTGACATCACTGCTGTTCAGTAGTATTCTGTCCTTGTATCACTTTCACGGTTACGTGTTAATAGCCACGCTGTTCTCTATCTCTTTCTGCCTCACTGCGACCGCCGTCTCGACCAGGAGATAGAAACAGTTGAACATATCTTCTTTCTCGCTTGGCACTGAACTCGTGTCCTGGTTCTTATTCGACTTGACGACTTGGGGCATATCGCTGGAGTATTCCTTCAGTTGGGCTTTGGTTGGGGGACATTTCGTTCCTTCGGCGTGTATTAAACTTTCATCGCTACAAAAAAAAAACAGTTATTTATACAGACAGATGCAAAAAAAACGCAACAGAGAAATTTTTGTTCAAATTTAAAGCGTTATGTTTTTGTTATTTATAGCCCTATTTGCGCGAATTTTTTATCAAGCTTATCTTTTGTACTCCTTTACACTCAGGAATTTTTTAGAATTTTTTGAAGTGAACAATATGAAAAAAATTAAAAAACTAATTTTTTTTCTAAAATCTTCTGTTTTAACCAACTTATATATTTTTTAGTTAAAAAAAGTACTTAGAAAATATTTTTTTACTTCAAATTCCCAATGATATTGCTTATTACACATTTTCAATCATATTGCTAGACAATGATTACGTAAAGACTGGGTTTTTTAGAAAAAAGAAAACTATCTAACTAGTTTGCAAACTTCTATCAAAAAATGATAGAAGATTGCTATCATTTTATATGAGAAATGTAATCTATCGTCATTTCCAGTAAGAAATAAAAGCAATAAAAAACTTAAACTTAAAATAACTTAAAAAAAATTATTACTCTCTAACAGCTGGATGGACGACTTCTTTGGCAACTCCATACCGTATAACTGTTTCCCACGGATTGAATTTTTCCTCCTCGCTAGGGCTGGAGCTCTCATACTCCTCCGTAGGGCTGTCTTCTTCCGATTTGTACATCAAAGTCATGCAGTCCTCGTAATCGTGATCTAACCTCACTCTTTTGCTGCCTATGCTCTCCATATCGTCCGGCCAATTTCTGAAAATTAATTGCATTTTAAAATATAAATAATATTATAATGTAAAGGATTTTAAGTTAACGTCTCCTTTTTGTTTGCTTTTTGCTAACAAAATCTGAATTCTCTCAATAGACAGACTATACATCTTACCTGCCATTTTCTCCTCCTAGGCCAGTCAGTTTTTTACCCCTTCTTGATATGGTGTAATGCAAAGGATCGTGGCCTTCTCTGCGTATCATCTCAGGCAAAATTCTTCTTCTGGCATTTATAAACCAGTTACAAACTTGCAACACTGTCAAATTGGCTTCTTTTGACAAAGTCACCTTTTCTGCGTCTGATGGATATGCATTGTACCTTCAAGAAAAAAATTAGTATTTAAAAGAATATTGGGTTTGTTTGACTTTATGGACAGTGGAATTTTAAGAAAACAAAAATTTTCCTACCTGTGCTCATATAACCATCTTTTTAAAATCTTTACAGAGTGTTTGGGTAGATTTCCTCTGCGTTTTCTTACTGGAGTAACCACAGACATCAAGTGCATCTCTCCCAATTCATCTATTGTGGTCAATTCGTGGCTAATTTCTTCATGAATATCAGCCATTTCATCGATTTCCTGTGACTCGTGGTCCATGTTCGATGGCTTGGAAATGTGCCTACCAATCTGAATGGGCTGAATGTGATGGTCATCGTGATCTGAAGCCGAATCAACTTCATCCGTGCTGGAAGATGACTTGAATCTTTCCTGACCTATACAAAAACAATAAAATGTTTACGGAAACAGTTCTGAGACGATAAGCGTCAAAAAATATACGTAATTTGACCTAAAATGTGCATTATGTAAGAGTGTTTACCGAATTTTTATCTATTATTGCATAACTTATTCCTAAATAAAAAATAAATAATAGTAAATCACGTACGCCATATTAAATTACTATTTTTTAAGGGTATTGAATATAAAAAGTTAATTTATAAGATTTTTACCGGTAAAAACAACAATCTCATTCGAAAAGTTTGAATTTCAAATCAAAACAAAAACAACGAAAACACGTTTAATTTTGACGTTTCGATGACATTCGTTGGTATGGCGGACCTCGTGGTTTGATCTGACAGCCCGCTAAACAATTCCAAATTAGGTTTCAAGAAGCTCTCACTCAATATTACTCTCTATTATTATGAAAGGTGGTTTAAAATAAACTTAATTCGAGAAAATAGTCACAGGACATCAAGTAATAAGAATGGTACTTACGTGCTTTCATCTTTGCTTCTTTGACAAACGTCAAAACTCACTGATCACAATTTTACGTAACGATGCTAGAAAAAGCTTAAAAAAGCGCGTCGCGCTTTTAAAAAGTACGCCGGCGAAGCGAGTTTAGAATGTATTTAATTTCCAGATAATCTAATAAAGTCTAATAAGGCATAAAGTTGAAAATGCAGCGCGTTATTATTGAATGTCACTGAATAGTCGGCATGACGCCGTTATATTTTTAAGTCGCGGAGCGAAAAAACACTAAACCCCGGCACTATTTTTAACACGGTTCACGTAGAATACCTTTATTTCGCTATTTTTACCGAACCACCAAGGAATTAACAAATAAAAACTGAAATATAGTCGCTAAAAGCGGCGAAGTTTTCAACTGGCGTGCTTTCTGACAGGTCTGTTTATGGCGGTCAAACTGACAAACGTCAAAATATGCCCTATTTCCGGCAACGGGCCCAACTTTTATATATGATCCGTTACCACAGAAGAGAAATCACTAATATGGCGATCATTTCACGTAAATCTGTGGTCGACAGGAAATGATTTCAAATTCAATTTTAAAAATTAAAGAATTAATGGAAAAAATTAAACATATTTATTTCATTTTTAAAAACGAAGGAATACAGGATATTCTTTAGTGAATTGTTTTAACTAAAAAGCAGCAGAATAACAGAATAACCCACACCCCACCCTAACTTAAAATATTGGAGACACTTACCTCTGTAGGAAAGTAGCTTCTTTATTGTCCTTATTCCTATTTCATATTTGAATAGTCTCTTACTATACGTCGCTAAACATTTTTCATAGTCAATATTTTTGATATTAGACCCCTTATATGCCTATGATCGAAAAAAGAACGGCGTCCAGTTGGCTTGGAAGTTAATTGACGATATTCCCCACATAACTTTGCATACAAACTCACAGCTAACTTAATTTCCAAGCCATCCCTGCCACCGTTTTTTTTTCAATCGTATGGTACATTAAATAATAATCTTCGTATGTATTTTGATCAGGAAACAAAATTAACAATAACTGTGAGGATCATAGAGTTAAAAATTAGCCAGGATAGTTTGCAAAAGGTTGAAATCAGTTGAAATAATAAAGATACTCCATATCACCACCTTTATTAAAAATACATTCCAGCTCAAACGTTTTTTTAGCATATTTTTTATACTACAGTATATAAATATTTTATGGTAATGAAATCAAAGCGAAGAAAAAAGAAATGCGTGTTTCGCAAGTCCTTGGTTTAAGTACAAATCCCGTTGTTTTCTCTCGTCTCGGCCTTTGCGACACTCATTCTTTTTCCTTAAAAAAATCGTACATAATAATAGGAACAAGACTGAAAAATAACCGAAATTCGCGTTGAATTTTGCCTCTTTTCTCTCAACAGAAAAACAGTAAGTAGTACACAACTTCCATTAAAAAATAAATTTTTGTAAGCTTTAACAACCGATTTCTCGTCGTCCAGTTTTTTTTTGTTTGTTAGACACCGTTTTAACCATCTCTCCTTCCGTTTAAACTATTGGAACTCTAGAATTTCTCAATAAACACTACAAAAATATATATAGAGCCTCTTGTTATCGATAACTTTCGCTTAAGGACGCCTTATGTTTTACGTTTTTATTTATTTTGTACCATTCTGCTATCTCTCCCATAAAATTAACATAATTCAACATTTTAACCGTCAAAAATTATCAATATTCAAACATTTTTTCTTCTATGTTAACAAGCCGATCTTTGAATTTTTGCCAATATATATAATATCAAATGTTGAATTTAACTAAATTCAACGTTGTTGAATTTAACTACATTCGACGTTTTCACCACCAAAAATTATAAAAAAAATAATTAAAGCCTTGTTTCTTCTATGTTAACAAATATTAATTTGTTACACGTAGCAAATTACTTTAAAATTCAATCTTTAAGTAAAATGTTAAATTTAATTGAATTCAACATTTTCACCGATGAAAATGATCAATATTGAAGCGTTTTAACAAACTACTTTAGAAATGGATCTTTGAATTTTTGCCAGGTAAAATGTTGAATTAAATTCACGTTTTCTCTTTACCGCGTTGTATTCATTATTTTCATATCTGTAAGCTTCGGTGAATAATATAATAATTGTAGGGTCGATTACAAGAAAAAGAAAAACCGTCTAAAAATGTCCTTTTTTTATTTTATTTTTTTCGCTGGCCTTTGGGATGTGTAAATATATCGAAATTTCAAAATATCGATATCGCATTATTTTCTTAAATATATCAATATTTTAGGCAATATTTTTAGTAAAGATAAGATTGAAATTGTCAATTTTTCCCTTTAAATGTCATAATAGTAAAACTGACATAATAATAATAAGTGCCGTGCAATATAAAAAAAAATTAAAATACTTCAGTCGGTTTTTTATGTATCCGTTATAAACATTCAAACAATATAAAAAAATATATAGTTTCGATGTTTAATGAAAAAAAAAAACTAGTAAACCACAATTTAAACAAGTTTTCCAAAATATTACCTAAATGTCCGACTGCCTTAACATACTACAAGATAAACATCGATACTTCGCGACATCCCTACATATCGATACTAAAAATATCGACTTTTCGCGACATCCCTAGTTCGCTCTGAAAGTAAGACACACACACGTTTCCCTACCGACCATATTATAGAATTATATAAAGTAAAAGATGATTGATTATAAGTGGGCGCGTATTGTGGCGGTGGTGGTGGGCCCCTACACCCCGGGGCTCCGCCCCCTAGACCCGACGGCCGCTCTGCTAGTATAGAACTTAAATTATTAAGAGATATAAGAAGATGATGGGGGGAGCTGCTGCTGCGCCGGCGCCGTAGCGGGACTGCGCAGGGGGGTCACTAGTTCCCGTAGTCCGAGTTCTCGGGACAGTCTCGCTTCAGGTGGCCGGACTTGTGGCACAAGTAGCACGACTTGGAGTTCTCCGGACAGTTGCGGGCGATGTGGCCCGACCGCTGACAGTTGTGACAGGTGTCGTTGTTGCTGCTGCCCTCGGGGCAGTTGCGAGCAATATGACCTGCGAACAAATAATAATATTGTAAGTGAAAAGGTCAGAGAGAAGATTTGTTTGTAGTGTATACCGGGTGCGCTCAAAAGTGGCTCACCCCTATAACTTTTCTATTTTTTCAGATAAAACAATGATATTTGGTATGTTAGTATATGACATAAATTGGGATTGATTGACGTATTTAATTGTTTTCGGTCACTTCCGGTTTCACCGGAAATGACTACAACTTTTGATTTTTAAAAAATTGACATATGATATATCATTCGATTCAGTGTGTCATTGTCTATCGAATAAAGTAAAAAAAGACCGAGGGTGCCATTTAAAAATCAAAAGTTGTAGTCATTTCCGGTGAAACCGGAAGTGACCGAAAACAACTGAATACGTCAATCAATCTCAATTTATGTCATATGCTAACAGACCAAATATCGTTGTTTTATCTGAAAAAATAAAAAAGTTATAGGGGTGAGCCACTGTTGAGACGCACCCGGTATACAGGATTGTTCACCACATACGACACGGAGTATTGTGGCTAAACAATTAGATTTTTACAAATTGTAAGTTTTGGGTTCGTTGAAGGACTATTAGTGCTACAATTTAAAAATATTTTTACAAGATACAGAGTGTCACAAATAAGTAAAAAATATTAGTTGTATTTTTTTAAATGGAACACTCAACTCAATGGAACACATTCTATTTTTAGATTCTACGATTAAAATAAAGGTAAATTTGATTAAGGTTTATCACACTTAAACCTTACCGTTTTTGAAATATTTTCAAATTTTTGAAATTGCAGTAAAAATTTTAAGGCTTCATTTCTCCAAGGGTATCAAAGTTTTTAATACTAAATATTTACTGAAGATTATTTATCGATCAGATATTGTGTTGCAATAATAAAAATTTTACTACCTTACACAGAGTGTCCACAAATTTATATTAAACAATTACAAGCTTTAAACGGCAATAACTTGTTTAATTTAAATGGTACCCCCTATATATTTTACGTGAATCAGATGCATAATGTAATTGTCTATCGAATTGTATTATACCATTTTTACCCGTCTCTTTTTCTTATAATTTAGACCTCATTTATCACTATACCCATAGAATATTCTTTCTTTCCCAGATATTCAACTGTCCTGAAACAACATTTTATAGATTCATAGTTTCGATCAAAACTTCGGGAGAACTTTCGATCACACCGATTTGATCAAAAGCAAAAATGGATTCAAGCAGTTTGACGAAACAAGTGAGTAAACAAAGTGCTCATTACATGATCAAAAAATTAAATAGACATACTATGAGAGAATAAAATATAATTTGCAATATTAATAGTATTTTTTTAATCAACTAGTGATTACATATTTTATGAACATCTTTTAAAACTATAAGTATGTACCTTTGAAAAATTTCCTTATAGCCAAAATAGCCCCAATTATGACCCCACTAGCAAAACCAGTGATTAAATACCGTAGTTGAACTCATCTAACAAGCTTTTTTAGCTGGAATAATAAATTATAATACAAGTTGGACCTTCTGAAGATATTAAAATATTTACTTTTTTATTTGTACTTTTAGAATTTTCACAAATTATAGTTCCTAACACTTTTGGAATAATTATCGATTGTCACTCCCTTGCCGTATTTGACGCCGTTTTTTTTCCCATTACACGGAATAATCAAGATATAACATTATATCATGTAAGAAAGAATATACTGACCAGTCTTTCTACAGTTGTAGCAAGAGGGCATATCCGGACTCTGCAGACAGTCCTTAGCAAAGTGCCCCTCTCCGTAGCAGCGGTAGCATCTAGCCTGCTCCTCCTTGCAGTCGCGGGCGTAGTGGCCCACTTTGTTGCACTTGTGACACTTGTCGCGGCCCCTATTGTAACCGCCACCTCCGTAGCCACCTAACGACAAAAAAAAACATAAAATAAAATAAAATAAAGGCTACTCTTACTTAAATACCAAAAATATTAGAAGTTTTTCATATTAATAGTATACAGGGTGTTTCAAAACAAATGCGAAAAACTTTAGGGGTGATTCCTTGTTCAAAATAAAGGGTAGTTTGCTTTATAAACGTTGGGTCAAAAATCAACCATTAGGGAGATATCGCGGTACAAAGATGGCGAAAAAATAATGTTTTTATTTTTTATCTTGAGAACGAAAAGAGATAGACTATGGAAGCATTACTGTTATGAAATTGAAAAATAATCAATATCAAATACTTTCTGGTAATTTGTTCACTTTTTTAAAATGAGTGGAAGGGGTTGAAATAAACTAACCCTATCATTCTTGTTAACAAAATTTAAAGAAAAATCTTATCAAACACATGCAAAAAAAATAATTTGGATAGTTTAGTTTGTTTAGAAACTTTTTTATCTCTTGTATTTTTTTTATAAAACTCACCGATTTGAAATTAAAAAATAAAATGTAAAGCATTACATGTCAGGACTAAAATATTTTTAGATTAAGAATCTAGTGATAATAATGATAATAATAATAATCTAGATAATAACGTATTGCAGTAGGGTAATGTCAAATAAAACAATAATAGAAACATCCTAAAAAGTGACAGCGGCCGACTAGATTTTTTCCTAAAAAAATTACAGCTGCCCACTAGATTCTTTATCTAAAAATGTTTTTTGTCCTGACATGTAATGCTTTACACTTTATTTTTTAATTTCAAATCGGTGAGTTTTATCAAAAAAACACAAGAGATAAAAGAGTTTCTAAATAAACTAAACTATCAAAATTAATTTCTTTTGCATGTGTTTGATAAGATTTTTCTTTAAAAGTCATTAACAAGAATGATAGGGGTAGTTTATTTCAACCCCTTCCACTCGTTTTAAAAAAGTGAAAAAATTACCAGAAAGTGTGTTTTCATAACAGTAATGCTTCCGTAAAATTTCATTAGTCTATCTCCTTTCGTTTTCAAGATAAAAAATAAAAACATTATTTTTCCGCCATCTTTGTACCGCGATATCTCCCTAATGGTTGACTTTTGACCCAACTTTTATAAAGCAAACTACCCTTTATTTTGAACAAGGAATCACCCCCTGAAGTTTTTCGCATTTGTTTTGAAACACCCTGTAGATATAGATTTCGAAACCAATTTACCCTTTTATTATACAATCAGCAAGAGGTAAATAAAGTCTGTCCAACATGTCAAGGAGTATTTCAAGAGATGACAGAAAATACAATTTACTTATGAGTTAAAATGACAGTCTCAAAACGAATAGCAAAGTTAACATTTAAAAGTGCTTGTTTATGTAGTTATGTTTAGGTTCCTTATCAAATACAGTTGGATTGCCAAACAAAAACATTAAACATTCCTAGATATAGATAGCATACCTAATTCACTCACAATAAAAACAACAGTCCTCCAAATGTATTCTACTACCTTACTTATTTATCTTCTATTTTTTAATTCTAAAAAGTGTTTTGAGTAAATGTAAACAATATCACTTAAATAATACAAATACTAAATAATTAGATCTAATTTTTTTTTAATTTTCAAAATTTATTACTATAGGTATATTTTCAGAAATTATAAGTTATATTATTATCAGCATTATAATAATATAATTTTTATTCAGTTACTACCTCTGGATTTATTCAAACAATGTACCTACCAAACTTTACATAGTGATCCTTTTCTTCAAAACATTGTCACCATTTTGAACATTAATTTTTTAAAATAAAATTTTTTTGTAAAAAGTTGTTTGTTTTATCAAGTTTTGACTATAAATATCTTTAAGGTAAACAAAAAAATACATTACCTCCTGAATCACGACCAGGCTGGGAACATTCCCTGGCAAAGTGTCCCGGCTTGTTACATTTGTAACAGGTGCTCACACCAGAAGACATCTCAGTATATTATTCTTCCTTCTAACTTGTAAATATCTTGTAACTCCTAAACAACGCCACTCAAATTCTGAACCAAAGCCTTGTTGAGTCTGTTATAGTAACAGCTGTAACTGAAGAAAGACTAAAATTAAAATCAATAACTTAAAAGAGATCAGAAGAAGGTTTAAACTTGTATCAACCTGCTGGCTGTTCTTGGAATTTTAACAAAAGAAAGAAGAATAAATGAATATTTAAGACTTGACTCACAGAATGCTGATATGTTTGAACTTGTCTACAGCCGATTTTATAGATTTGATATACCCCAAAATCCCCTTATATATAACATTACGTAATAATACATCAAACCAATTTAATCATAGACTTAGAATAAAATTTAATCATTTGCTAATAAATAAAAACTTAATACCGAGAAATAGAAGGAAAAAAAATGTTTACAAACTATATAACCTCAAAATAGAACAATATTACATGTGCTTCCCGGCTTCTGTAATTTTCAACAACTACTTTATCAGTTTTCAATAAAATAAATTATTTAGTGAAATATCAATAAAAACTTTATATAATCCATTTTAAATAAGAATAATGATTAATTCATTCAATAAACAGAACAAAATTGAAGTAAATTATTCGAATATCAAAAATTAAATTGATTTATTCGAAATTTATTGAACGAGATGTAAAAAATAAAACTTTAGGAAATAAAGTCGCCTATGGCAACGCTGTTCCGTGCATGTTACTAGGCCGTTTTGACCGAGAGAAACTTGCAAATACCTCCAAGAAATGTAGGATGTAGTCACGTGTCGGTAAAACGTGCCTCGAGGGCTAATTTATTCGATTCAATACGAAATCCGATACTTACAACGCAGTTATGAATCGAAATCAATTACATGACACTTTAGAGATAAAAAAAAAATCGTCCAATCTGGATTACAGTCTGCGGGTATACGCAAAACGTGAGTTTTCAGGCATTAGAAACTATGATCACTGCATCTTTTCAATGTGTATAGTAAAATCTATCGATAAACGATGCAAATATGACGAAATATAATGAAAAATTTCAGGTCCACGTGTATAAAAGTTATTCGATTTGCTTAGGCGAAACAAAGGCGGCGTTTTTGCTCACCTTTTCGACGGGTCTTCAAGTAGTCAAATCGGTCCGTATCTGCTCGCACGAAACACCAAGAAAACGCTGAACGTAACTGTGCCACATTCGCCTCGAATGAATTTACGGCAATGGAAAAAACGACGAAAAATATGCAACGTCCGCCAGAAACCGGTACCCACTGTCACAACACACCACGTTAAATGCCAAGAAATGGCGTTTGCGCGCATACTTCCGCGCAATCCCGTCAGAAATGAGGCCGGCGTTTCCGGTTCCGTTTCTACGCGCCCGCGAACTATTTCAAACTCCCATTTAAATTAAAAAATAGATTTATATGTATTGAACACGGGTTAGAAGTAAACATTTTTCGTTTCTAACTTTATTATTCACTATAAACCATAATAATTCATTTAAAATATATAAAACAAATATTATTTGACTTATCATACTAAAAGATCATATATAAATCTTTTATTCTAAGAGATTTATATACGATCGATAGGTTTATCTTATCCGAAATCATAAAAAACAAAATCTCTCATCATATTATTTTCAGGCAAAAGTGATTCTAACCTAAAAGATGATGCCAGTTTTAATACTCAGATAAAAATACGATGTTTCTTTATAATTATTCAATTTTAGCTAGTTTACCTCTACTCATCTTACCAGGGATAGTATGCGTACAAGTAATAAAAACATTTAATTCAATTTTCGAGCGATTTAAGACCATTTCCGTCTCTTTTTTCAGTTGGAGCCCACCTTCGTCGAAAACGCTAAAAAAGGCCATACAAATAACTGGGCAGTACTGGTAGACACTAGCCGTTTTTGGTTTAACTACAGGCATGTAGCTAATGTCCTTTCTATATACCGTAGTGTCAAAAGACTGGGTATTCCAGACAGTCAAATTATCTTAATGATAGCAGACGATATGGCTTGCAATTCGAGGAATCCTAGACCCGCTACGGTATTCAACAACGCTAATCAGCATATTAACGTGTACGGGGACGACGTGGAAGTGGATTACAGGGGCTACGAAGTAATAAAATAAGTGTATAACATGTAAAAAGAGTTCTAATAATTTTATACAGGTTACAGTTGAGAATTTTGTAAGGCTTCTAACAGGGAGGCTACCTCCTGGAACTCCAAGATCTAAGCAACTTCTTTCAGATGAAGGAAGTAATGTTTTGATATATTTAACGGGACATGGAGGAGATGGTTTTTTAAAATTTCAAGATTCAGAGGAAATCACTAGTCAAGAAATGGCTGACGCTTTGGAGCAAATGTGGCAAAAGCAAAGGTATTACAAGGAATATATATATTTTATATTAACTACATGTAGAATTTTAAAGGTATCATGAAGTATTCTTTATGATTGATACATGCCAAGCAGCCTCCATGTACGAGAGGTTTTATTCCCCTAATATTTTAGCTGTGGGAAGCTCAATGGTCGGTGAAGACTCTTTATCTGTGAGTGTTTAACCAGATTTAAAGCTTTCTGTTAATATTTCTTAAAACTTATTTTTAGCATCACGTAGACCCAGCTATCGGTGTTTATATTATTGATAGATACACATATTATGCACTGGAATTCCTGGAGAATGTAAATCCTGAGAGTAAAAGGACTTTAGGAGAATTTGTTAGTATAAATTGATCAAAATCCTCAGTTTTTTTAATCATCTTTGAATGTTTTTTAGTTGAAAGTCTGTCCAAAAAGTGCTTGTATTTCTACTGTAGGAGTTAGAACTGATTTGTTCCTAAGGGATCCAGATAAAGTCCCTGTTACTGATTTCTTTGGATCAGTAAGGCCTGTAAAATTACTGAGCAGTATCCGTATGGATACTGAGTTTAATTTTACTGATTCACCTCTAAGGAACAATGTAGAAAGTGAGAGTAAACCAAACAAATATCGGTATGTGCCGCCGTTAAATAAATTTAGTCAGAATAGTGTTTAAATTTTTTTTATTATTATTAAAAGATACACAAAAAATATATAGTCTTTTTTTAAACCTTTAAAGGTAAAAGGTATACATATAATAGCGTTAAAATTTGAAAAACATTGCAAAAAATCTGCAATGTCTTGTATCTTTATTGTTATAAACTTTTCAAGTTACCCTCGTATCCTCTATATTCTAGTAGTTCATTTGTAGAAGCCTCTAGTTAATGAAAAGTTCATGGTTTTATTTGTTTTGAGAATTATTACATAAAATAAATGTTAATTCAGAATTTAATATTACCTTGAGTATACGGGGTGCTTCAAAAAATTGTATTACCTTATTTTATAAGTGATAATTTTTTGTTAATAATATTAAATGCTCAAGAAAACTAGTAGTTTTCCAAACATTTGTTTTTTTTTAAATATTTACAAATATGTGGTGAATATCTTTTTCAAAGTCACATTCTTGATATGAAAATTCATATCATTTTTGTATAAAAAAAATAAGTAATTATAAGAAAAACACCAAAACTTAAACCAGTGCAAAAATCTTTATTTATTTTCCAGTTATCTGACACTATCACATAGTGAACTATAGAACAAATATATGAATACTTAAATTGAATTATTATATAGGTACGAAATGAAAGAAATATATATTTTTAAAAAATTAAACACAACCATTTCAATTTATTTACTTCGAAATTTAGTGAGATTTTGATTTTATCTATAGAAGGAAAAATTAAATATGAACACGAGTTTTTGGACACGAAGAAAATAACGACTTTATTTTTTACAGAAAAGAATTATTTAAATTAATAAAATGTTTCTTCTTAGAAAAAAAGACATTACCAAAACAGCTTAAAGAAATCAGCATTGTACAGGGTGGTGTACACCCTGTATATTTTTAGTTAATCAAATTATAGTAAAACACAATTGTTAGAAGTGATAATCTGGTTGAGATTGCAGATTTCTTTATGCTGTTCCAAGTAAAATTATGCTTGAAATATTTAAGAAAATAAAATGGAGGTTTTAGTGAACTTACACTCAAATATAATGTAACAAAAATTAAGAGAGTTTTACATAAAATCAGTACATTTTTTCAGTTTCTTCCGAACAAGTGTCTTTATATAAACAATAACAACAAAATATTAGTTTTTTTCTTATTTCTTTTTGTATTGTACTTTCTTATTTCGATCTCCTTTGACGACTCTACTGTGTTTTTACTGCCGGTTTTTTGCCTTTCACTATGACAGGTTTATTCTTGATGACGCCCTTCTTACGTTTGGAGTTCTAAAAATACAAAAAAAAACACTATATCATAAATTTTAGTATCATTTTGCAAAAAAAAAGGAATATACTACAAAAATATCAAACTGCAACATATAGCACATATTTTCAGTACAAAATATCTGTGTTTTATTTACCTTTTTTGAAACAAACGTAGACTTAATAACTCTATTTGCGACTGGTATCCTAGGTCTATTAAATTCATCTGGCTTTTTAACCCTAAAAAATACAAAAATGGCTATTTAATATCAATATTCCCTTCTTTTTATTTCAATATATTTAGTAATGAAGTCCTTAAGAGAAATATTAGAGAAAATTCAGTATAAATGTACAGTAGTTCAAATGTACCATCAAATTATTTTATATAAATGGTAATATTTTTGAATTTAAAAAATAAATTAATATTGACTCCAAAAAACCACCAAATTATTGAGCATGCCCTAATTTTATATTTTAATACGTTTTAAATAAAATTAGAACGTTGCTGATACAATAAATGGTCTAGCTCTCCATCCTTCTATTTAATCAAAGTATAATTCCTCTCTTAAACGTAAGTATTATTACTCATTTCTTGAGGAGGAAACTTGGAAATCAGGAATTCAAACCGCAGTAGTTCAAATGACCCACATTTTAAAAAACAAACTTACCTGTATATTCTCACTAGCCAATGTTCAGTTGTGTAAGCCTCCTCCAGATAAGTCAATTGAATGTCCTTATTTCCTATGACAGCATTTCTGGTCCTGTCATAACCACTAGCGGTACGATAATCTAACCTAAAAAATAAATAACATTAAATTACAGAAAAATAAAATTAGTTATTTTTTATACAAGACGATAATGCAATTTTATCGTCGTGTATAAAACAATATTTTTTTTCCATAGCGAGTTACGTTTTAAAAAATATTCGGAAATTATTGTTTCAAGGAATTTATTACGAGTAGAAAAAATATTGTGCTGGGTTGGCGTTGGTTTCTATGTAATTTGACAAATAAATAAAGCTGTCTCTTTAGTTGTCAGTTTTGAGCACAAAACATCCCCCTTTAGAACTTCATCTGTCATGTGTCAAATGAAAGTAAATAATAAAGCGCCTCTAGTGTTTGTTCGCACTCTAAAAATTTCAATTAATGCCTGTATATATTTTAATATATTTTTTAAATTTACATTTTTTTAATTGTAAAGTAATATATTACATTTATATGGAATATATTACATTACAATTATGTCAATTACAGGATTACAGGCTTGTTTTCCAACATTTTTTAAATAAAACGAATTGTTAAATTTCAATATATGTATATTTGTCGTAGGTATGAAAAAAGTAAATATAAAATGGACAAACGCTTACTTATATTGCAATAAAATTTCCACTTTTAGTTTTGCAATCCAAACGCAATATTTAATCAATCACAAATAAATAAAAATATCCGATAACACTAAAATCACTGAAACTTCCGCGGCTGACAACGAAAACTGAAAAATGTAACGGCACTTTTTGTTTTATATCTAATATATCTAATTATAACTTGTAAATTTGAATATTTTAACGTGATTTTAACTATTTCTGACAATAGCTAACTTTTTGTTTTCAAGAATTTGATCAAGATGACATTTTAGACGGCAACTGACATATATGTCATAATATTTGAATTTTAAATATGTATGTAATATAATTTAAATTAATATAATGCAACTTTATACTAAGAAAACATCTATACACATAATACAGTTTGAAAACAATGAATATCGAAATAAAATTAAAAAAGTTAAGCGCGACCCCTTGTGTCAAAATTAGATGATTAAATTTTTGCAATTTTTACACCATTTAATGACCGGTGGCGCCTCTAGTGTTTGTTCGGGCGGTTGGTCTTTTACTCCCACTTATGGCCATTAAAGAAAAAGTTCTAAAGGGGGATGGATGTTTTGTGGTTTTGAGTCAATATTTTTTAATTCTCTTTCGTGTCGATTGCTGATTGAATTGGAGCCAGAAATGGCTCAAAACGAAATAAGTAAATTACCAACAGATATTCAGGCTGAGGCGACAAACGCCATATCCAAACTACTTCCATTTAAATCCCGAATAACTTATGAAAAGGAACACAAAAATTTTCAAAAATGGAAGCAATTAAAAAACGTGCGTGAAGAAATAAAGTTTTTAACCTATCCTCGATGTTAAAGTATCATTTAATCTACCCTTGCGGTTAAAGTACTGTTTTGTCTACTATTTTTGATAGATATAAGGCAATTTTAACAGTTGCTATGGAAAAAAATAAATTAAACATCTAATCTATACTCACTTCAGTTCTCCAAATTTGTAGTAACTCAATTTATACATCAGACAGTTTAACAGGGTTGGTGAACCTTCAGCGTCTACGCGGAATTCGCCATGTTCTGTAAAATAATCGCTTTCCTGTAACAAAAGGACAAATAAAACTGTTAAAACTGTAGAAAGATCATCTGGCAGCTGCGAAGTAAGAAAATAATTAGAAATAACATTAACCCATTAACTATTGCTGTAATACTTTCTTCTATACTAAGTGTGGATTGCATCGACTTACTATAATCGTAACTGGAGATTTTGACAATCAATAACCAGCCGTGGAGGCTTCACCAGCGAACGCCGAGCTCATGATCTACCAAAGTATAAAGATATGCTTTGCCATAGGTAGGATTTCAGAGGGGCCCCACGTTTTTATTTTAGTCTAATATGCCTAAAAGCTATTCTGCCTAGTACTAAGATATTTCTGAACTAGAAGTTCAAAATACCTAATTGTTATTATTATTTTCTAGTTTACAGTGCACATAAGATAAAACCGTTTAACTTAAAAGTTTTTTTACCGATTTTTTATTTCTAATATAGTATTTAACGGAAATGCCTACCAAATATTCCTCATTCTATTTAATTCATTTAGTGCATCATTATTACATGGTTTTTTTACCTGATAATTTATTACAATCTAATTCCTCAATACATAGCCCTTCCAGAGACTTGACTCGACTTAGAGCCACGTATGCTTGCCCTTCCTCAAACAATTTTGAGCCCAAATACACTACTGCATGGTCGACTGTGCTGTCATGCATTTTATGGACGGTGGATGCCCATGACAAAATTAAGGGTAACATCCTTCTTTCAGCCGTACCATAATTGAATTTTGCTGGAAACTGTATGGCTTTCGGGTGTATAACGTGTATGCCGTCTCTGCCAAAGTGAATCCAAACTGATGGTACATCTGTTTCGTACATTTGGGTTCGACGGAACTGAGGCCAAACCAATATAGCACCATTTACCAATCCTTTTGTAACGTCAATGTTGGACCGCAACATTTTCACAAATTCATCACCTATTTTTTTTTATCTGTCCTTCTAACGTCACACAATCTTGGACACAACTGTTCTGGACACGACTACTCATGCCCTCACCTAATACGCCATTTTGTAACGACGTCCATCTTGGATTTTAAATTTTGTCATAATCACAGTATTCTACTAGTGTAGCCCTTTCATTTGATACCCATATTGAGGGGGTTGTGGAAAAATATGAAATCCGCCATTTTGTACCGGCGGCCATCTTAGATTTACAATGTTTATTTATTATTAATTTACTATATTGTATTGTCATCGGAACTAAAGGTGTGTACCAAATTTCAGATCAATCTGACAACAGGAAGGTACTTAAATTTCAATTTCTAATTTTGACCCAAACAAATAAATAAATACCGTACGGGTCGAGCTAAATAAAACCGTTTAATAATAGATTTTGTAATAATTCAATTTGTTTAAAGAAATGTTAGATTTCAGTACGGTAAAAAGTGTCAGTGATGCAAAATTTGTAAATTCTATTAAAAAAATGATAATACATACGGTGTTCCATTTAAAAAAATTGAAATTATTTAATTTTAAATAGTCGAAATTCATAAATATAATATGTTGAACACACTGTAGCATGTAACTCAAATGTCTTTACCTATATCTTTTTCTTCGTCCCTATAAAACTATCCTTAACAAATTTTAGAACTCCAATTTCAGAAACAATAGCATGACTGACAATTTTTTACGACACTGAAATCTAACATTTTTTATTTAATCAAATTGAAATATTACAAAAACTATTAGTTTTAGGGGTATACCGTTTTAGGTACATTATACTTGGCATTATACATAAAAAAAGTTATAAAATTTTACGCAGAATCTAAAAATAAAATAAAAAATAGGGTATTACATTTAAAAAACCATGTTATATCCGTAACACTATTTTGAACCACCCTGTATACTCTATAATAATTTTAAAATGTGTACCTTAACTTTCTCTACAGTTTTTCTATTTCTTTAATAATTCTTAAACACTTTTTAATAATTCTCTCTTATTACACTTTTTAATAATTCTCGACTCCTCAGGTCTGGACGCACCATTAGACATAATACATATAAAATTTATTTTATATCTACATTATTACTTTCTCTATGATTATTAAACAAACAGATTGTAATTAAATGAACTTATTATCTAGTTTTATGGATGAAACCTAATAAAAATCCTAAAACCTAAGCTTACCTTGATATCTTTGGGATGCTCCCCTTCGGCGATACGAACCATCCACAGGAATTTGTTAATATCATCACCGGAATATCCTATGACACCTCCGAAAATGACCAGAACATAATCCACGTCCAGCGCCGTCATGATTTCGTAAGCCGCGCTCTCATTGGACGACATTGCTTTACCCACCAGAGCTATGTGACTGTTATTCCAAGTGTTATTATCCACCAAGGTAGTTCTGTTAGCCATCCCGGCTATTTGGTAACCGTAATCCCACCTAAGAAACAGTTATATTTGGTTTCAGATTCAGTTACTAGTTAAAGAATGATTTAGATTTATTTCATTATTATATTTTTAGGAAAACAAATCGAGTCTTTAAGCTATAAAAATTAAAAAACCCCAGATATAACTCATTACTGGAAAATCTCAAATATGACATAACCTTCTTGAATAAAGGTCCAAGCTAACAATTTCTGACGTCACAAAAGTAGTCAGGCGTATTTTGTTAGTGCAGTATGGTTTTGACATGAATATTAATGTTTATTATTAATTTTTCTAGTCATAAAGTGGAAATATTACCCTAAAATTATCAAATATCGTTAATATTCGGCCCTATAAGAATCTATACTGATTTGAAATAAATGTACTTAACAGAATTCCTTTTTACCTATTATGTTATTATTGAAAGTGAGGCGAATGAGGTGCGTCACCCCGTATATAAAAATTTTGTGGAGGTAAATGCAGTACTTTAAAATATCTAGACTCAGGAAAAAGACTGCGACATTGCCAAATGTCTATATACGTTTGTTGAATCAAGGATAACTTACCAACTCATAACTCTAGCGTCATCCGCAGTATTTTGAGATAACCAGAAGTAGGCTTCCCTGAAATCGTCTAAAATTTGCCTGGTACCGTCGCTTCCGTAGCTCGCTAGTACTATACTGGGACTCGAGTAAGCATTGCTGGTTACCCAAGTGCAATGCACTGCGAACAGCATCAGTAAAAGAACAAAGACTACCGCAGCTATACTACGGAGGTTAGGACCAATGGCGTCTTGTTCTTTCGACTCGTGCTTGATGATTTTGGGTACTTTACCAGCCTAGAAGAGAATATTATTAACACTATAATATTGTGAAAAAAATACAGAATTATTTGTTTTTAATTTTTAAAAACATCGTTTAAATGGTATAACGTAATGTTATAATGGTAAGTAAAAAACTTCGTATGCATGTACATATGTCCTAAAATACTCAGTTTCGAAGATACAGGGTGTCCGGAAATTAATGCAACAAAATTTGGTCATAGATTCTCGAAAAAAAAATAGGTGACCCGTATTTTTTATTTTTGACGAGTGGCCCCCCTTTTCGGATTTACAGCCCCCTGAATTTCGCTCCTAAAAAGATTTTTTTTTAATATCTCAGGCCCCTGTTGGACGAAAATCACTAAATTTGGTATTCGTTGTTTTACCATAAAATTACATTTTTTGATGCTTTTAACTTTAATTTATTTTCAGCAATGGCGTCCCTACGGTATTTAAACTAAATATTATTGAAGAAAAAAATGGTACGCCACTGTTTTTTTTAAATAAAAATTATTTTTAAAATTTACATTAAATTTAGAACAAATTTGATCTCTTGACTTTTTTTTTGGTACGACGCACCGTTTTCAAGTAAAAAAATAAAAACCATTTTCATACATGACTAAATCGCTAAAATTTTACCGTAAATTTCAATGGCAACATTTTTAAAACGGCAAACTTAAGTTTGAAATAATTTTTCATTTTCAAAAGTCTTGTTTTTATTATCTAAGTGCGAACCAAAATGTCCAAAAACCTAACTTGCCTTTTTTAAATTTTTTTATGAAAATTTACATTAAAATTTTAGCGATTTAGTCATGTATGAAAATGGTTTTTATTTTTTTACGCGAAAACGGTGCGTCGTTCGAAAAAAAGTCAAGAGATCAAATTTGTTCTAAATTTAATGTAGATTTCAAAAATAATTTTTATTTAAAAAAAAACAGTGGCGTACCATTTTTTTCTTCAATAATATTTTGTTTAAATACCGTAGGGACGCCACTGATGAAAATAAAAAAAGGTAATAGCATCAAAAAATGTCATTTTATGGTCAAACAACGTGTACCAAATTTAGTGATTTTCGTCCAACAGGGCCCTGAGATATTAAAAAAAACTCTTTTTAGTGGCGAAATTCAGGGGGCTGTAAATCCGAAAAGGGGGGGCCACTTAGAGGTGTGTAGTTCGTGAACGAACTAGTTCCAATGAACTATTCCGGCCCCGGAATGAAAGGAACTAGTTCCTCAGGACCTATTCCGGGATCGAGACTGTGACCGATATAGAATGATATGAGACGGCGACGGATTGGCTAGCGCGCGTAGCCAGATGGTAGGCCGGAGTGGGGAGTGCCAGCCGCACGTTGTCGGATCCGGACCTAGAGGAACTAAACTAAATAAAAGACTAGTTTACGTACGTACGAATCGGGCCAGCGCGATCGATGCTAGGCAGGAGTGGGGAGTGCCAGCCATATGCCGTATGTTATCGGATCCGGACCTAAAGGAACTAGAGGAACTAAATAAAAGACTAGTTTACGTATGGATCAGCCAGCGCGATTGATGCTAGGCAGGCGTGGGGAGTGCCAGCCGTATGTTATCGGATCCGGACATAGAGGAACTATTAAAAGACTAGTTCACGGGAATCTATTCAGTAGACAGATCCGAGATATAATACAAGGCGACGACGATGGATTCGGCCTTGTCTATTGCCACAGCCGGCGCGGCGTAATTACAACAGAAAATTGTCGTGAATATTGTTTTTGATTTTTAGTTTGTTTTTTAAATATTTTATGGGAATGTTTCACTTTAAGTCCCTAAAATTAAGAAATATCTTATAAAACGAAGTTGATATTCTGAATTTTTAGAATATTTTAAAATTTTTGTAATATTTGCTCTAATTGATTTGTGATATAGTTTTTTAAACTCTGATTTGAGTTTCTTTTTTATATTTTTTTATCTGCAATAAAACTTCCTTATAAGGGAAATTAAAATAACTTTCGTTGCACATTATGATACGACCACCAGCAAATTCCATAAGACGACGCATGGTGTCATTAATGATGTGCAACGAAAGTTCTTCCAATTTCCCTATTACACGTCTCGTTATATCTCCGTACATTATAAAAATTATACAGATCATACTGTGAATAATTCTGACTGGCAACGAAACGCATTAGCAAGCAAGGGGGATGTCAATGTTAGTCGGGAACTATTGTGAACTAAAGACCTAGTTCAAGGAACTATTCCTCTGGAGGAACTAGAACTAAGGAACTAGTTCCTCCCAAGGAACTAGAATTCCCACCTCTAGGGCCACTTGCCAAAAATAAAAAATACGGGTCACCTAATTTGTTTCAAGAATCTATGACCAAATTAATTCCGGACACCCTGTATACTAAATAAAAAAAATCAATAAAGTTGTTAAAAGGCTCACCTTATCATATAGACGTTTCCCACCATGCGACGTTTCATCGTTTTCAGTATCAGGATGCGAATTACTGTCCTCATCTTTCACAAACAATTCTAGTATGACGGAAAACGCTACCCCACTTAGCATGCACACCACTGGAGTCAACGTTAACATTAACCTAACCATCACGCCAGCAAAATATACAGCGCTCAGGGCGTATAATATCACTACAAAAAATAATACAATAATTTTATCGTTGAATCGGTACTTGAAACTCACCAAAGACTCTCTCGTCGTTGACGTTCTTGATGCAGTACCACAGACCAGCTGGAAAAGTGGGGATTAGTACGTGCAGATCGAAGAAAAACGAGAACCACGTTGTAGGCTGATGTTCAGACACTGAGGCGATGATAGGAATATGAATTTTTGCGTAGCCAGTGTCCCACAACGAGTAGAACCTTAAAACCAAAGTCAAAATTAATTTCTAGGACTATACAGGGTTGTTCACCACATACGACACGGAGTATTGTAGCTAAACGATTAGATTTTTACAAATTGTAAGTTTTGGTTTCGTTGAAGGACTATTAGAGCTAAAATTTAAAAATATTTTTACAAGATACAGAGTGTCCCAAATAAATAAAAAATATCAAAGCTGTATTTTTTTAAATGGAACACCCTGTATATTATTGCATTTTTAGTTTCTACGATTAAAATAAAGGTAAATTTGATTAAGGTTTATTACACTTAAACCTTACCGTTTTTGAAATATTTTCAATTTTGTAAAATTGCAGTATAAATTTTAAGGCTTCATTTCTCCGAGGGTATCAAAGTTTTTAATACTAAATATTTACTGAAGTTTATTTATTGATCAGTTATTGTGTTGCAATAATAAAAATTATACTACCTTATACAGAGTGTCTAAAAATTTATTTTAAATAATTACTAGCTTTAAACGGCAATAACTTGTTTAATTTAAATGGAATACCCTGTATATTTTATGAGAATCAGATGCACAATTTAATTGTCTATCAAATTGTATTATACCACTTTTTACCTATCCCTTCAAGTTTTCTTAGAAAATGCTTTTTCTTGTAATTTAGAACTCATTTGTCAATATACCCATGGAATACTGACATTTTAGATTATTTTTAAAGATGTATCAAATTTTTAAAGAGTACAGATACAAATAATGTCAATATAGTCCGTTTATTTCATAGACAGGACCATTTTCACAGACACTCTGTATAAGGTAGTAAAATTTTTATTATTGCAACACAATAACTGATCAATAAATAAACTTCAGTAAATATTTGGTATTAAAAACTTTGATACTCTGGGAGAAATGAAGCCTTAAAATTTTTACTGCAATTTCAAAAATTTGAAAATATTTCAAAAACGGTAAGGTTTAAGTGTGATAAACCTTAATCAAATTTACCTTCATTTTAATCGTAGAAACTAAAAATGTTATAAAATACAGGGTGTTCCATTTAAAAAAATACAACTTTGATATTTTTTATTTATTTGGGACACTCTGTAACTTGTAAAAATATTTTTAAATTGTAGCTCTAATAGTCCTTCAACGAACCCAAAACTTACACTTTGTAAAAATCTAATCGTTTAGCTACAATATTCCGTGTCGTATGTGGTGAACAACCATGTATAGTAACCCTTTTATAATATAAAAAATATCGATACACTCTGTATCGATATGAACGAAGCGATCTACAAGGATCTAAATAGTTGGCAGCACATTCTTAGAGGATTTTTTCCTACCACCGGTTCTCCATAAACGTCTAACCATATAAGAAATACTCCTACAAGGCTAGATTTTGATTTTGATTTAAATATTATACAGGATGGCTGAACGATTATGAAGAGGAAAATTAATTTAGAAATATTTTGAAAAAGGTGATTATTACAAATCTTAATTCTTATGTAAAATCTGGTAGCTAATGTAAGTACATTTTTGTTCTGACATATTTGAACATCCCTATTTCTCTCTCTCTCTCCATTTTATTCTTATTTCCTTACCTTCCACTCCAAGGAGCTATGTACCCGGCATACGTCAAGAGAACCACAGTTACAAACACAACCGCAGCCGCTATAAGGCCTCCGAATATGACCAAAGATTTAAACTCGGACTTGGACAGCATCGACTGGAGGTACTTCAAAACGGCGACGGCGAAGAGCAGCGCGAACACCCCCGCAGCGGCCATGTGTTCGCTCGTTCTGATCGGCTGGAACCCTACAAACGGTATCTGCATGGACATTACCAAGCCCAAAATGTAGAACGTCGTGTAGCTGGTGAACAGTCTGTTCGAGAATCTTCCCATCAAGAGCAAGACAAAAACGTGGAGAGGTATTAGGTTGATTATAAATACGTAACCGCCCCATGCTGACACCTAAAAAATGCATCAATATACAGGGCGTGAAACTTTAAGAGTCCATTTCACTAGTCCAAAAAAGGCTACGTCTTTTTATACAGATGAAGAAGTAAATTAAAGATAAAGGATTATACTATATCCATATTGTAGCACATTTTTAGACAACTTACCATGTAAAAATATGAAAGTGATGCTGCAACTGCCCAGAACACCGACCCAGTCTTCACAGATTTAATCCACAAAAAATACGTAAACTGGAGGGCAAATATCGCTATGCCTTCGTTATCATATGACCCAGCTACTGATCTACTTATGTACCCTGGTACGATTGCTATAAAACAGGCTGCAAACAGTCCAGCTCCAGTAGACCATAATTCTTTCGTTAAAAAATACGTTGAAATAGCTGTTAAACCACTAAAAGATAAAAAAAATAGTATTTTTATTACTGATTTCTTTAAAGCAAATAAAATACTTGAGAATGTTTTTCCTATCACTTTACAAACCTAAATAACATTATCTTATCTATAAAGTGCACTAAAATTAAGTAATTTTTACTGAACCACGTTTCTTAAGCACAAAACGCGGCATTTTCTTCGTACCTACCTAAAAATAGGAGCTAAAAAGACGCATATATCTCTAATATGTACATTAATATGTAACAAGTGCAGAATGTAATGTATACTGCCCGATGTTAACATAAGGCCTGGATAAACGGTACCCCCGACTATACGGCCCAGAGGGTACCACGCTCTCTCATCGAACCAATTTAAAAAATTGTAAAACCCATGTTTTACCATATAGGCTGTGGCCCTGTAGTTAAACCTGAAACATATAATATTTTGTTTACTAGTTCTCTAAATAGAATTATTCTGTTATTTTAAGCTAAAGTTTCGTTTATTTGTTAGGAGAAGTACTAGTAAGTAAGATTTAAGTGAAAAATTATAGAATTAGAAGATAGTTCTTGGTGAAGAGTTAAAAAAAATGTACGTACCACGGGTCGAATTCATGGATAATACTTTCAAACCGTATAACGGCGAAAAGTCTGGAGGCGAAGCCCGCCACCCACGCTAATAATAAAACTACGAAAACTATAAGACTATTTATGGCTACATTTTTGTTAATTTTCGAAACAGCCCCTTTTTTCGTGCCGGCCTGAGACATTTTTGACAACTAAAAACATGACACGCACACACGAAGAGGTTACCAACTCGTCCAGTCGGCCGGCTCTGATTGGCTGACGGCCAACGGGTGACAACACGGCATGTCATCCATTTGAGATAAAAAAAATCAATTTTAATCGAAATCTTTATGATATATTTTGATATTTACTTTATAAAACTGTATTTTTTCAGTTCTCTGTATTATTATATCCAACTGTATTAATTCTTAGGATTAATAACGAAAATTATTCTTCACATTTGAATTTCTTTAAAGCTTTTAGTGCCATCTATTAACTAGTAGATGTAACATGGATTATCACTTTAGAGTTAACTGTAATTAATCGGTAGCGGTGATTTTCTTTAATTTAGTTAATTTTATTCAAAAATATAACTATTTCATAAATTTAAAAGTATATATTACAGCTAATACTAGATATAAGTACAAACACTCAAAACTTTCGTAATTTTAACAATTGATTTTGTCTTTGAATGCCCATTTTTCGTATCCTTTTCCAGTATTGTTTCGAATTTGGATCCAAATCTTCTAAGGGAGGTGGCCCCTCTGTCCTAAGGGACCACAACCAGTCCGGGTAATCACTATCAGGTCCTAGTTTAACATCTTCACCTGTCTTATAGATGTTTGAGCCACATACGTAGTTCACTAGTTTTACAGGGTCTGTTTCGACAGGAAGAATTCTTTTTTCACTTAGGGCTGAGGCTTTGCCTACGGTTTTCTTTTTCTTCATACCTAACATACTAACACCTGAAAATAATCATTAAAATTCGAAAAGAAACACTGGATTAAAATAACATACTGCTGCTGGCTTTGGCATAACTATTCCTAGGAAAATTTAACTGAAAACTTAAAACTATTATTGTTTTGAGAGGTTGCTGAGTGTATATACTTGCAAGACTCATTTTTGCTTTATAATATCATAAAATAACTGAAAAAATAAATAACTTTTAAATCCAAGGAAATATTTCTTTAAAAATTGAGGTTAGTGCGATTGTCAAACTGAGAAAATTTTGGTTATTCTGTTTTTAGTTCAAAATTTTCTCGCTTTTTCCACAATGGCACCATCAGCGTTCTTCTTCTTTACCGTATTTCAGTACTTAAGAGAACAAAACCAACTAATATTCTTCTTCTCTTTATATTTATTTCCTCGAACCATAGTCAACCACAGATACAGATTCGATATAGATTTTTTCTTCTTTCCTTTTAATGGCTTGAATTTATATTGGCAGTTAAGCCCAGTTCATGCACTTGCGAAATGCGATTTACGAATTGCAATTGGTCGCTTTCAAGGTCTTCCTTGAAGGTAGCCAATCTGAACGCAAACAGGACGTATTTCGCAATTCGTAAATCGCAATTCGCAAGTGCATAAACTAGGTTTTATCCAGCTTTCGAAAAAAATCAAAACGGGAGAGTCCAAATTATAATCTATGGCTAACTCAAGGATATATAGAATTCTATAAAAACTCCCAACTTGCTTTTAGTGACTTTTGGTACTTTTGAGTTTGTCACTTCCCAACATAACCTCAATAAACAAAGTGATTTAAAATTGGGTTAAAAATGTCAAACTTTTGTGCCTTTTTATTGAAAAAAAGAACATAAGAACATGATTAGATAAGAAAGAATTATACTTAAATATTCCTTTATGGAATATAAATGCCCACAAGTAGCTCTGCGGCTGTCACTGTAAATATTCCCCTGGTATTGCATTGAAATGATTAACCCTTCTATTATTCTAGGATAAAAAGAGGAATTTCAAGTTCTTAGCGCAAAAAAGCACCGACCAGAATGGCACAGAACCGCCCGATAATGCCGAAAAACATCTACTCAAAATCGCCCCGGCTTTACCCTTAAATAACCGTCGGAATATTTACGTAAGGTCTCACAGCACTCTAAATGTTGCCAGTTTATCTAAAACCAATCAGGATCAATCTAGTTATGATTGTGTCCCGATACAGACGGGCCCCGATGGGATAGCACGCGTTTCCCGATCACCAGTCGAAAAAGAAAAACATCCCGACAGAATTAGTTTAGATAGGAGAGGACTGACACATGTTCCTTTAATAGAGGGGGAACCTAAGTAAGTTTTCTTCATTTTAATTTTGATTATAACGACTGTACAGGCCGTTCTTCCTGTTTTAGATTAAGATTACTGTCCTTGCAACACAATTTGTTGACTGATTTAGAAATGCTCAGCAAACAAATGTTTCCCACACTTGTTTTTCTAGATGTATATGATAATCAGTTGGATAAAATTAATTTTGTAGAGTTTTTAGAGAATCTAAGAGTATTGCTTATGGGAAAGAACAGGTATGTGTATACAGGGAGACCCAGTGTTTTTATTGATTAATCTTTTTATAGAATCAAGAAAATTGACGGTTTAGAAAATCTAAAAAAACTCGAGGTACTTGATTTGCATGGTAACCAAATAGGGCAAGTGGGAGGTCTTGCAAACCTTTCCGAATTGAAGGTTTTGAATTTGGCGGGAAACCAAATCAAGATTATTGGATCCAAGGATTTGCAGGGGCTGGAATCACTGCAGGAATTGAATTTGAGAAGGAACCGATTGAAAAAAATTCACGGTTGCAGTGAAATGAACAATTTACTGAAACTATTCCTAAGCAACAATGATTTGCAAAGGTATTTAGCCGTTATTAATTGATCTGAAGCAATGTTTCATAATTTATTAAACATTCAGTATCATCTTAAGCATTTTTACATCTATCTGGAATTTTCTCTGTAATATTTATATTAATTTTAATTGCAGCGTTGAAGACATAAGCAGTGTTGCTAAATCGCAAAATATCAAAGAAATATCAATTGACAATAATCCAGTGTTTCTAAATGGAGATTGTGTGTCCTTTTTGGTGTCATATTTGCCTCAATTGAGTAAATTGAACGCGATGCAGATAACTGATCAAGTAAGAGCTTATTATTTTATTTTATTTCTTTTTAATACAATTATCACAGACAAATGACTATAGAATAAGTTTGTACCAATATTGTGACCAGGATTATCATAGTTAATAATTGATTTGTTTTTAAAATTCATTTTAAAATTGTTTATATTATATAGTTTACCGGTTATACAACTTCAGTGTTAATTTGGTTGCCTTTTAACTGATTTTTATTAGGTTAGGAAAGCTGCAATGGCTTGGAGAAGAAATAAAGAAGCCACAAATGCAGCATTTATGGATCTCACTAGCGAAACTACTATGAATTATAGAAGAGAAGAAGTTATATCTAATGCCAGAACAAATTGGGAATTATTAAGGTGATTATAATGATTTTTTAATGGAAAATATAATATACAGGGTAGTCCGGGGGCACTGTATTCCGGAAACTTCGGCAGCATATTTTACTGATAAAAATAAGTAAAAAAGTTCATATAAATGTACGTCCTTAAATGCTTAGTTTCAGAGATACAGGGTGTAGAAGTTTCATTTTTATTTAATTTTTTTTTTCAAATAATTTCTGAACTAATGTCAATATTTGGATGAAAATTGGTGTCTGGGAGTTTTTTGACGTGATTAGTTTATTTTTTTGTCAATATGACTCCTATTTGTAGAGGGCGCCACCTACATGTGTTTTAACTGTTTTGAAGAGTAATAACTTTTTGTCCATACCTGTATAAAACTGTTGAGTGAAAAAATATACATTTCCGTGATTTTCTACGTAAAAAATGTCCCGTGGTAAAAATAGCTACGAGCAACCGTTTTTAAGATATTTAGAATGGAAATAGTCAATACATGTCATTATTGACTAAAAATAATAAAACAAAATATCGAAAAAAATGATGATAAAACAGTTTCTGTTGAATTTTTGGCACAAAAACATTTCAAATTTATGATTTCAGTTTCATTTCGATTCCAAATATCTCTAGAACCATTACTCGTAGCGATTTTTACCAAGAGACCTTTTTTACGTAAAAAACGTCGTAAATGTATATTTTTTAACCCACTAGTTTTATACAGGCACGGACGAAAAGTTATTACTCTTCAAACCAGTTAAAAAATATGTAGGTGGCGCCCTCTACAAGTAGGAGTCATATTGACATCAAAATCAAATTTCTCATGTCAAAAAACTCCCAGACACCAATTTTCATCGAAAAAAAATCAAAATAAAATTGAAACTTCTACACCCTGTATCTCCGAAACTAAGCATTTTAGTACATACATTTATACGCACTTTTTTACTTATTTCTACCTGCAGAATATGCTGCTAAAGTTTCCGGAATACAGTTCGGACCACCCTGTATATTGAAAGAATTTTATAAAATCTTATGTACGCTGAAAAAAAAGAATTAAAAATATAATACACAGGGTCCTGCAACAGTGTTTCTTGGGATTATGTAAAGTGATCAGAAGAAAAAAACAATGATGCAATAACATACAGTGCCATTTAAATAAAATCATCCTGATCAACTTACACTTTTTTGTGCCTTCCTGTAGAAGTTAAAATATTTTCCTGAAATATATCCTAATATGTACCTACTGTAGATATGCACTTAAACGAAATTCTTAAGTTTTTCATTATAGGAGCTATTATACAGATGCCCGACTCACTGTAGCTTGACCTCACGTGCGGCTTACTAATTATTTCTATAAAAAAAATACATTCCAGATCTCAAACTAAGTGCCTGACAAACAGCGTAAACGCTGTTGACAAATCTCTGAAAGATCTGAAGCCTGACTCAGACTTTATACTGACTTCTCTAGCAAAACCGCAAGTTAAATCTTCGTGTAAACCTCAAAGAACGAAACTATACACGAAATTTTCATCGAAAGTGCCTATACTGCCCGACAAAAAACTGAAAATGGTCAGGACCGGATCACAAGAGACTGAAACGTCACAGAACTTGTCGAATACGTCATCGGTAAACTCGAGCGAGTTGTTGAAACTTCCGCCTATTTTGGTGCCTATAATTAGCAAGCTAGAGAAAAATGACGAAGGTGATTATTATGCTAAGTTTTATTATTTTAAGAAAGAAATAAGTAAATGTAGAGAAAGTTTCTGATAAAAAAAAAATTCGAGTTGTTCTTTTTTGAAATTGTGTGTTGAAAATATGCCAAAGCATTTAAACACTCGAAGCAAAGAGCCTGTAGCTTTTCTGATAAACTATTGTTACGGATTCCGTGGGTCCACTAATTTAAACTCACGATAAAATACTTAACGATTTAGTTGTTTCACTCTGTACACACAACTTATACTATTTACAACACAATTTATGCAACTACTATTACTCTAACGGTACTGACACCTTCGCCAATTAATTCACAATTTAAAACGCGGTATTATCAAACTTCCAATTGTTCCAGTTGTCGATTAAGCCGGCTTATATACTCTATTGACTGCTTCTCGAACCTTCTACAATTTTCGGAGAGCGTTCTACTCTTTGAATAAGAAGACTAAGGAGAAGGAGCATATCAAAAATCTTAGGTACACCGCGATGGGCCTCAAATATGGCCGACTTAAATTCCGGTTTATCAGTGTCGTTCTAATTTTATTTAAAAAATGTAAAACTATGATGTAGGGTAGACGTGGGGTAGACTCAATAATTTGTTGTTTTATTTTACGTTGTGAATAAATGTTGGTAGTTATTAAAATTGTTATAAAAATATATAATTCTAATAAAAATAGATAAGTTATAATAAGTATTTATTACCACAAGCATCCGATACGCTACTGAAGCAGGTAAGTCAAATTAACGTATCTAAATTCTTTGACATCTAATGGACATCTAATCTTTGACAAGTAATAAATAAAAGCTAAAATGCAAGAAAAATATATAATTTAGTTAATTTAAGTGAATTTCATAAATGATCGGTTTACTACACGTATCTATATTATACAGTCACTTACTAGCGAAAAGTTGTTCCATTATTTCACTCAATTTTTGCCGAGATCTACCGCACGCTACACAACCAACTAATTTAGAGTCTTTTTCGATAAATCGCGATAGTGTCACTGTTAATTTAAGTGCTGCCACAATTTCCATCTAGATTTACTACCTTTATACAACTATCAGTAGTAGAATAAATAATAAATAACATAAAATAAGCTCCGTAAAGACTGACAAATCCACAAAATTTCAAATCAAATTCAAATGTGTCAAATGAATCGTCAAACAGAACTGTCAAGGATCTCCACCCTAGAGTGCTTTTATGGTGCTTTTTCCGTCCACCATGCATGAATACATGGATAGCATTATGCTCCTTCCTTAGTCTTCTTATTTAAAGGTTCTACTTCATACTGGACAATTCCATTGTCTTACTGTCGCTTACTTGTCGACTTGATTAAGAGATGGCGCCTGAAAAAGTCTTTTACTTTCTGGCGGATGCGCCATTTTTCTTGACACGTTGCTATAGTGTAGGCAACCAGTAATACATTTTAGCGCTACATACAACTTGACCTTGACACTATTTTGAACGAGAATGTGACAATAAAGGTCTTTTATCAGCTTCTCTATGTTTACTTACCTCTATGACAAAAAGACCTGTTATTATTAATTGGTTAAAATTTTTATTTAGGCGGATTAAAACATTCTGGAAGTGTATCAAGTCTCGGTCCAAACATTGACAGCTCAAGCTCGGTAGCCAGTGGCAGCGAACTGGCACAATCCAGCTCATCAGAGAGCTCAAATACATCGACAAGCTCCGATTCAGAGCCCGACGAGGATGTTAAAGTAGAACAACCAAAAGAACAGGAAGAAGCTAAACAAAAATGCGTGTTAGAAGAAAAACCACTATTGCCACCCACAGAACTGCCTAAACTGGGACAGGTTGAGACAGAAGACACTTCAAGCAACCTGTCGATGACTACAAATAACAGTTCTTCTGTTTTGAGCGGTCCTAGTACTTCAGAGAGCGAAAAATGTAGCGGGAAGTCGCAGAATAATAGTACTAGTAGCGGTACCAGAAGCGTTAAAAGCGCTATAAGCGGGAGGTCTATGAGTATTAAGTCTTCAAATAATAGGGCTGCCACTGCCAAGCCTAAGAAACAACAAGGATCGCCCAATTTGCCAAAGGATAGGTACGTAAATCTACGTATTTCACCGGTTTCTTTTTTAAATTTTAATTCTTTCTTTGACTTTAGTTCATTTGTACCAATCAAAAGGGTATAGTCGAATCAAAATAATTCACCTAAATTTTTAGCTCTTCAACTCAAACGATTTTCGAGATTTTCAAAAAAATCTGTTTTTTTTTCAATTTTATTTTTATAGTAAAACTAGCGTGTACCAGCGACTTCTTAAGGGATAGTTTCACCCCCTTAGAATTCGAGTTTCGAAAAATCCCTTCTTATCTCTACACCCTAAAGTCAATCTGTTTTCCAAAAATCAGCTTTTTACGTCAAGCGCTTTAAGCAGGATCGTGATTAATCAATGACCAGATTTTTCGAAACACCCTGTATACATTTTTAAAAAATCTTAATATATGTAAAAAAACAAAATAAAATATACGTGTTTAAGCGTTTTTTCGGAAACTTGACCGTTTTTTAAATAAAAAATGTTGTAAAATTTGAGGGGTGGTTTCACCCTCTTGGAACTGGAATTTCGAAAAATCCCTTCTTATCGAACCTCTACACCCTAGAATCAACCTGTATGCCAAAATTGAGCTTCTTACGTGGAGTGGTTTGAGCAGGATCGTGATTAATCAGTATGTCAGTCACTTAAGGATTTTATATATTAGTATAGATTTAAAATTAATTAATGATGATTTTTTTCTAATTCTTAGAAATCTAGGACATGAAAAAATAATATGATCATGAGTCTTAAACGAAAAGCCGATTAAAAATTATCATTTTTCAACCTTTGTAAAAATGTCACTCACTAAAAATCGTCAGAAAATGTCTTTTATACTTCTTTACACTCAGGAATTTTTTAGAATTTTTTTAAGTGGTGGAACGATATGAAAAAAATTAAAAACTCATTTTTTTTTCTAAAATCTTCTGTTTTAACTATATTATATTTTTGTTTTGTTTAAAAAAGTGCGTAGAAAATATTTTTTCATTAAAAATACATCCTTGCCAAACATAAGCATAAGATTATTATAAAAAAAGAGTCCAAGAAGATTTTAGAAAAAAATCAGTATTTAATTTTTTTCATATTGTTTCACCATTTCAAAAAATTCTAAAAAATTCCTGAGTGTAAAGAAGTATAAAAGACATTTTCTGCCGATTTTTAGTGAGTGACATATTTCACGAAGGTTAAAAAAATGAAGATTTTTATTTTCTTTCCTCCGCCAAAAATCGGCTTTTCGTTTAAAGCCGCTACTCGAACAAAACGTTCGCGAACATATATAATTCACACTATATACTCGTAGCAGCAGGTCGTAAACGACGGCACAGCCCATCGCATCGGTCCCGAGGACTGAGGTGCGGGGAAGAATGCGACAACCAGTTGGCTCTATAGATCTAGGGTGCGTTTAGTTAGTCGCTGCTTTTTCGAGTGCCCGGATTTCGAGTGCAAGCATTTTATTAAATAAATTAACCGGTAAACAGTTTAAGAACTTTTGTCGTTGAAGAATCAGTATTTAGCAGGCGGAGGGTCACAGGAGTCTTTTGGTAGATTATTCGTTATAGTGTATTTTTAAGACCTGTATTCAGTTTCAGCCGATTCTACCAGGTGTTTCTCAAAAGGGGCTCTCTTTTTTACTTTTTTATTTTTTTCAGATAATACAACGAAATTTGGTTTGTTAGTATATGACATAAATCGGGATTGATTGACGTATTCAATTACCTTCGGTCGCTTCCTGTTTCACCGGAAATGACTACAACTTTGTATTTTTAGATTGTATCCTAAGTACTTTTTTACTTTATTTGATAGAAAATGACATTCTGAATAGAATGACATACCATACGTCAATTTTAGACATTTCCAATTAAATAAAAATAGCATTTTAAATTTCAGTCTAGAGTGCCAAGACTGAGTTAAAACTATTAATTTGTAATCAAAGAACTTTGGAAACATATATTTGATCGTGTAATTTTTTTTCGTATCTTTTCATGACCGCTTAAAAGATGCCCAAATCGTATTTTTAATGATAACTCAAATTTTTCAAATGGTACTAGGCTGGTTCAGCCTATTTGAAAAAAGCATTTTTTATGAATAATTTGGTACCACATACTTGGTATTTGGAGTAAAATTGTCGTTACGTTTATTTATGGCCATTTTCAAATTGAAAATGTCAAAAGTTGACATATAATATATCATTCTATTTAGAATGTCATTTTCTATCATATACGGTAAAAAATACCGAGGGTACCATTTAAATCAAAAGTTGTTGTCATTTCCGGTGAAATAGGTAGTGACCGAAAATAAATGAAAGCGTCGATCAATCCTGATTTATGTCCTATACCAACATACCAAATCTCGTTTTTTATCTAAAAAATTAATAAAGTTATAGAAGTGACCCACTTTTCAGAAACACCCGGTATATTTATTTCTAAAAATGTAATGTTAAAATTTAATTTCCGGTGTCAAACTTCCTATTAAGTAGAAATTTTTAATTTCAGAATCCCATAATAATTCCGGTTTTTAATAAAAATAATCATAAAGGTCTTTATTAACAAAAATGAAATTATATGGACGAAGTCTAGCTACATAGCTATTCACACTCAACCAACAATAAAATTAAAATTATAAAATCTTTTCTTTGTGTAAACAAATTAGTTGTAAATGTTTTTCACGATCCCAGTCAATAACTGCGTCCCCCATTGTCGAATACTCGGTAAAAAATAAAAATCACAGAATGGACGCCCGAAATTAAATGAGACCCTTCCAAGTGTCCGGTAGGATGTCCGCCGAAATGCTCGCCGTTCGCTCCTTTTGATTTACCGACACCCGTCGGAAAAAGAACGCGCGCGCTCTAGCATAGGCAGACGCACGCTCTGGCATACAAGCTAGCCGTTCGGCGCGCCGCGCTCCTTAATAGGCCTAGGCTAGCTGTACTTGTTGGCTTTATTATTTATAAATCTACCTATCTCACAATTTTCACTTAGTATCTGCTTAATTATATATGTTCGCGAACATTTTGTTCGAGTAGCTTGGACGCGGCTTTAGGTTTCTAAGAATTAGAAAAAAAATTATCATTAATTAATTTTGAATTTTACTATAAAAATAAAAATTGAAAAAAACAGATTTTTTTGAAAATCTCAAAAACCATTTGAGTTAAAGAGCTAAAAATTTAGGTGAACTATTTTGATTCGACGCCAGATCCATATTAATCCGGCTATATCCTTTGAGGTCATTCTATATTTTTATGTTGTAGAGAACAAGGTGGAGACTATCTAATAGAGATTTGCGGAAGATATTTGAATATATATGGTCAGGGAGCTCTTAGGTTCATAGACAAACCATGGAATTCGACGAAAGCCAGTGACGTCACTACGGTTAAGTTTAATTACGTAAACTTTAACTGTATCACTGGCTACTTAAACAAAGTGAAGCACAGGTAAGTGTCTGATCTCAGAGAAAGAACGTAAACCTAGATTAGATTTTAGAGGTGGCTATTTCTTATGTCTGTTTCCCCTCGGCCTTTGCAGATCTGTTGTTGTCCTCTTTTGAACTTTAGGTCTTAGGGCTCGAACTCACTGATGACCAGGTCGCAACGACCTGGCCGTCGGCTGGCCGGATGTGTTGCGTTTATAGCCGCGGCCAGATGAACGACCAGTTTCAACAGAGTTGTCAGATCTAACGATTTTTTACGTTTTACCAATTAGAAAATATTGTTTCAGAAAGAATTAAGTTTCAGAAATGTTAAAATATCCGAGTTAACTAAAAAGCGAAGTTGCTATTCATGGGCTTATTAAATGTTCTAATATTAAATAATGCATTTAAAATATTCTTGGATTTTTCGTTAATAAATACTTGTGTGGTAAATGGAGTAAGTAAAATATCCAACCCCGACTACACGATAACGTTGTTATTTCCATGTTTTTCAAATCCGCGATGCTATTCCACCAGTCGTTTCATAACAGAATATTCTACATCCTACGTCTATGTAATTTAATATGTGTAGAGTGAGACATGTAACTCGTGAGATTTTCAGCATTATATCAATAAAGGACAAAAACGGTATTGTTCCTAAAGGTGCGTCCAGACTTGGGTATTTTAGCCCGAACGAACCGAGCGCGCACGAACAAGCAGAACAAATAGGCCGAACAAAAAGCATTGTGTACGCGCGACCGACAAAAAGGGAGATATTCTGTTTCTTTTTTCTACTAATATGGACTTCTACTGATGGCTCTTATCGACTTTAGAAGTAAACATATTAGGGCCATCGTAAAAAAAGGTCGTCAGACACTGGCTCTAAATATAAGCAGGTAGAAAGTTTAGCTTCCAGTTATTTCAATGTTTACAATATAAATTCCTCTTTTTTATTGTTACTGTGAATCTACAACTGTAAATACTTCTATTTTTACGAATGTTTAAGTTACTTTTACTATTATTTTTTTTTTAAATAATGTACCTAGTAGAAATATAGTCAAATGGACCCTGTTTGAAAAACGTTAAATGAAATATAATATTTAAAATACAGTTGTCCTCCTTGTACATGACTACAATACAACTAAAAAAACTAATTTAATAAAAAAAAACAAGTGGTTGTAGAAGAACTTTAAATATGATTTTTTTATTTTTTAACATCGAAACTCGAAGGTATACCTAATAACAGGTATCATACCAACCATAAATAGAGTATGTCATATAAAAATGTTTTGAACTTTTAGTAGAATCGACCCTTGATAAAAGGGACTAGATTTAAGTTTCCCTTTGATCCAGTCTGCATACTATTTCTTTGGAATTTCTGCACGTGTGCAAAAACTACACTAAAACACTATATCTTATATAAAATAAAATATTGTGCGTTGAATTTGTGGGATTTCATCTGAAAAATTATTAATTTGGAAGAAAACCTACAACAAGCGGCAGAAAATAATAATATTTTAGTGCAGTCTACTGGTCGCAACGACCAACGGACGGCCAGGACGTTAGTGTGCGCGGTATCATTTGATTTAATGGTTTTAGAGGTAGCAGCGTCCTGGCCGGTGCGACCTGGTCGTCAGTGTGTTCGAGCCCTTAGGTCTCGTTCTCCAGTCCTCTTCTTTTCAAAAAGTCTAGCAACTTGGTAACTAAACCCTCCATATAGCCCTTTGTCAATGGCATATCATTGCCTAGTAGGTAAAGTCCAAAGCTCCTTGATTAAAAATTAGTGTTTCTAACACAGCCATGGCACTCTAGATTGAAATTTAACATCTATCAAATAAAGTAGAAATATACCGAGGGTACCGTTTAAAAATCAAAAGTTATAGTCATTTCCGGTGAAACAGGAAGTGACCAAACACAAAAATTTAATACGTCAATCGATCCTAATTTATGTCAAATACTAACACACCAAATCTTGTTTTTTTATCTAAAAAAATAAAAAAGTTAATGTACAATAAATATTAAAAATTTATAGTTAAGACAAATTATAATGAAAAATATTTTCTTTTCACGTAGGTTTCCTAATGCAGACAATTTTGTGTTCAAAGAAACCAACATAACTTGTCTGGGACAACTAAACGCTATATCAGAAATTCAAGGTTTAGTATCACTTACTATCGATCCAGAGGGCAATCCTATTTGTGAAAAAACTTGGCAGAGCTACGCAATCTATCGTCTGTCGCACTGGGGTTTAAAAAATATTAATACTAAAGAGGTACAATTCTTATATTATGTATAACTGCTATAATTTAATAACCTACGTGGATTTAGGATCTAAGATTGTAATACTTTTAGAACTACTATGCAAATTTAATGATAAAATTATAGATAACCGATGACGACATTAAGAGAGCCAACATAGAGTACCAGAGCCTGAACGACTTGGTACTTTGGTCACTGCCAGACGTTCTTTTACAACCCTTATTGGTACGACTTAGAATTGACGTAAATCAGGGCGTAAGCGAACAAAACGCAAAAAAGTGGTTGCTCAAAGCCGATCAACAGTTACAGGGTGTCGTTTGTAAGGAGGCCTTACAGTGGAAAAAGGGTTCTGTAAGTCAGGTAAGTACAGATTAAAACTAATTGTTTTTTTTTTCATTGTATAATTTTTTTTCGTGAATTTTTATTTTATATTAGAAAGTTTGATGTAGAGTTTTGAACATGCTGTGTGATTTACAATTACCATATTTTTAGCAAAGACATACCATCTAAAGTAAATACCTAATATAGTTTTGATTTCAGGACAGTTTTTTTAATTTATTTATTAATACCTATATCTGAAACTATCGAAATATATTTACTCATATCTTAGGATTATATAAAGTGATCGTAAAGGAAGCCAAAAATGCAATAATATGCAGGGTGTTCCTGCATATTATGAAAATGAAATTATCCCGATCCACTCATAATACTTTTTTGAACCACCCTATAGAAGTTAAAATATTTTTCTGAAATACATCCTTGTAGATACTTTAGGTTTATACTTAAACAAAATTCTTAAGTATAAATTTCCTGTATAAAAGTCAGCCATACACATTTAAGTTAAGTAACTCTTATTTTTAGTTACCTTTCTCACCTGGTATCTGTCAAGGTGTCACAGGACGAAACTCACAAACACGCCGGTATTCAAAGAAACATGAGAGCACTACTGACAGCCTAAAATTTCACCCTTGTGAAAATAAATTATGTCTGATCGCTCTGGGATCCCCTAATTTATATTTTAACTAAAGCTAAAAAAATTGTGGATGCACTTTTTCCTTATACTTTTTATTTAATATCTGTGGAGTGATTCATTAAAATTATTTTCTTTTATTTAGGATGACTTGGCAATGCGACAAAAAGCGAAAATTCACATCTCAGGTCTTTTGGAAGAAATGACCAACTCCATGAACAAATTAAGAATTTTAGATGATCAGTGGCCTCAATTAATGCAAGAATTTGTTCAGAATACTCTGTCAGATTATTCAGACTTGGACGGATACATGAAACAGAAAATGCAAGAGTTAGATAAGTAAAATATTCATACAAAACAGAAAGATAATGAAGATGTACAAGTTCCAAATTGAAAACAGGTTTACACTGCCCAAATCACATTTATAGCGCACAATAATATTATTTTGTGTTTTTGTCTAGTCATTTACATCTAATTGTTAACTTGTTGAATCGAACATTTAATAAATAGAGGTTTTGTAAATTTTTGCGGTTTTGTTTCACCTTGATTAATTTTTAAGTAATCTACGTTATAAAACAGCACTAAGGAGTATCGATATTTTTTTTATTTATGCCCATCCCTACTAAGTACATTTCGCCTACTTTTTGACGTTTTTACAGATTTATGACAGACGGCAAACTTTTCTGTGTTGATTTTCTGATGTATTTTTCATCTTCAAGATTTTTCCAATAAAAACGAAACGACTTAAACGAATATTTAATCTATTTCATCATTTTCTTCACGTTAAACGTTAAACCACGAAAGTGTGTCACGCCAACGGTTCTATGATCTCAAACGCCGAAAACAGGTAAAAAAATTAGGGAGAGGTGACGTTTTTTTTTTAGTTCAGGACACGTATATGCTTATGTGATAAGGAAAAGCGGCGATTGTGATGATTTTCGAAAGACCGTGAGTGAAAATGAACGGAAAACTGTTGCTTGTGCTGTTTCTCGCGCTCGTGTGCTGCGAGTTTTCAGAAGAGTCGGTGCAGGGACCGCCCGAATTCAAAAAATCCACCGAAAGCGATGAAGAAACGTCGGAATCAACCAAGACTGAGCCCCAAAGAGAACAATTTGTAGCCTCGATTGAGGAACGAGACGGTACGACTGCCATACGCATCGAACCAGCACCCGATCTCACCAAGCAAAAAGAAAATGAAAAAGGTATCGATACAAATATATCACCCTTTAAATTTACATGTATATTTACTTCAAAAAAATGTTTAAACCAGTTTAAACTGTAATATAGATAAAATCAATTTGTTTTCTAAATTCTCTAGAAAACCGACTACCTTCAACCAACTTTATAATGATCGACCAAGTCAAGGTGATCGAAGATATAGTCAAAGACATTGACGCCCTAAATAAAAGGGAAGACCCCGATGATGAAGAACTGCCCCCGATACCTGAGTCAGCTTTAATCCAAACAGAACTGGGCCCCGAGGAATTGGAAGGAAAAAAAATCTACGAAGCAGCTGCTGGTAGGTTTTTTTTAAGTAATTTACAAGGCTGGGGTTAGTAATGTCTTAAAATTTTACAGCTATTCTTAATAAAATACGGCCTGATAAAGCTAAGGCTTATGAAATGCTAATGGACGCTTCCAATAAGGGAAATTTGGAAGCTAAGGCTTTGGTGGCCTGGGCCAAACTGTTTGGAAGTCCCTTAAAACAAGATATTCTCGTAGCCAAAGAGATGTTCAGCGAATTGGCTGAAAAGGGTAATCCCGATGGTCATATGGGCATGGGTAAGCCTAATTTTTTAATTGAAAATCAATTTTTTACCACATGTTATTTAATATTAATTTTCGGTTTATATCAGGATTTTTGTATGCCTCTGGATTGACTGTAAACGTGAGCCAAGCCAAGGCTTTGGTTCATTATACTTTTGGGGCCCTCGGTGGCAATACGTGGGCCCAAATGGCACTGGGTTATAGATATTTGTCCGGGATAAGTATGGGTCCCACTTGTGAGAAAGCACTTGATTTTTACAGAACTGTTGCCGATAAAGGTATGTAAATATATTGTTTCCCAATTTTACATTAAGATTCATCTCATAAATCCATCGCAATCTGGCAGCCCTGTCGCTATCGCTTGTCACCCAAAGTTGATCACGTGCATCGGAAATTGTTTTGCTATTACCGTAGCTGTTTTATTTTTCAATAACAACTTGACATTGTTTTTTTTTTAATAATACGGTACTTTAATAATTCTAATATTTTAGTCAGCCAAGGAGTGTCATTTAGTGGTGGTGCTGCCATACAAAGAATCCGGCTTTTAGATGAACTGGAGAATGGTTACACTTCGGGAATTTTGGACAATGATCTGTTTGAATATTATCAACTTTTAGCTGAGAAAGGGGATGTACAAGCCCAAGTAAATAATAGTTGTATTTATACCAATTTTTATCAGATAATTTAAATATATTTATTAGGTTGGACTAGGTCAGCTTCATTATCAAGGTGGCAGAGGAATAGACTTAGACTATCAGAAAGCTATGCATTACTTCACACAGGCGGCAGACGCGGGGAACCCCATGGCTATGGCATATTTAGGAAAGGTATTGTTACAGCAGTTACAGATTCTTTGCATCCTCATACTCTAGCCACAGATTAATCTGTGGTGTTTGATACTTTAACCTTCAAAATGTTTAGTAGCAGACCTTGCAGTTGAACATTGTTGTATTTCTGGGACAGCCTGTATATTCTTTTTTTTTCAGATATATCTTGATGGAAGCGATGAAGTTGAAGCAAACAATGACACCGCTTTTAAATACTTTAAAAAAGCTTCAGATTTAAACAACCCCGTCGGTCTGAGCGGTTTAGGCCTCATGTACCTTTACGGTAAAGGAGTAGAAAAAGATTATGATAAAGCTTACAAGTATTTCTTAGCCGCTGCTGACCAGGGTTGGGTAGACGGACAATTACAGCTGGGAAATATGCATTTTGGTAAGTTTTTATCAGTTCCAGGGTTGGTCCAAATCGGTATAATTGTACCAACTTTGTTACAATTTAAAAATTTTAATTTTCTATCACCTACATCTAATAATCTGAGAGTGTATATTATATTTTAATCACTTTTTTAGGTGGTTTAGGTGTGAAGAAAGACTACAAACTGGCCAATAAGTATTTTTCTTTGGCTTCGCAGTCTGGACATGTTTTGGCTTATTACAATTTAGGCCAAATGCATGCTAAGGGTACTGGAATGCTTAGATCGTGTACTACTGCTGTGGAACTGTTTAAAAACGTCGCTGAACGAGGTAGATGGGGAGAACTTCTTATGCAGGTAAAACTATTTATATACTTTATTTGTGTAATTGTACTCAGATATAAATGAAATGCAAGTATATGCAAATAGCAATAAGAATTACAAAGTTCAGAAGAAAATTCAGAAATAAAAAAAATATAAAAGAAATATATTAAATTTAATCGATATATACATTTTTCTTCTTATTAAATTAATAAAATATCAGTTAAGATTAAAATATATTAAAATTATTTATAAATAAAAGTAAAATCAGTTTTATATTTTTCCTTTTATTTTGAACTTGTTAATTTTAATCTTTGTACCATTTGTGGAAAATCCTCGTGAGACTTATATGTTATTAAATAAACAAATCAAGTAATCAACTATTATTAAAATGTTATTCTGTCTGGAATTTAAATAAAAATTATTGTTTTTACATTAATTGTATGTTAATTGAGTGCAATTTACTGGGTTTGGAAACATTTTATCGATGATACATTTGAACTACTATACTAAAATTTGATTCTATTAATCTTAAACGTATTAAAATAATGTTTAAAGTTAAATAGCATAAAAATACATGGTAAACTAGCAATTATTGTAGGTATATTATGGTTTAAATAAATAAGGACAAAAAATCAGAGAGTGATTACTTTGAAAAATAACTTTTATCGCAATATTTTTTTCAAAATCGTTTCATACAAAAAAATATCTTTTTTAAACCAAAAAAAAACTTAAATGTTTTGGTACATATTTATTTATACCCTGTATATATGCAGTAATAGTAGCACTGTATATTTTTTGGCAATATTTTTATATCCAGTTCTATTTTTAAAAACCGCTAAACCGATTTTAACCAAATTTGGCACAAAAATACTGTGCAGGGGCACTGGAAGATGGTGAGGCACATTAGAAGAGAATTTTTATTAGTATGTATATAGGGTGACCATTAGTACGAGGAAGTCCAATATCTTCGTAGTTGACAAATATATGAAAAAAAAGTTCTATATAAAAAAGTGCATATTCTAAAAATTTTTTTTTTGTTTAAAATTGCAATCGCATTACCATTTTTCTGTACAGAATTGGGTTCAGCATAAAATTCAGCATACATCACACTATTGATTTATTTGAAACACTATATATGCGGGATTTCCATGATAATTCATATTTGAAAATTTTCATTTTTTAAAAAGTGGTAAAAACCTGGAGTGAATTTAACTTATTGATATATTATTGCTTAAGTATGTATATAGCGAGGTATGTAGAAATCCGAGAAAAATTCACATTATTTAATACAGGGATTTTTTTTTATGGCACGGCCAATATTGCAATATTATAATGCTATATCTCAATTTTTTTAAATGCAATGCACACTGTATATTATTTTTAGTATTTTAGATACCTACAAACTTAAAAAGCGCACATTTTTGTATTTAAAATATTTCTAAATTTTTAGCCGTTGCGGAAATAGCCTTATGTAATATAATTCGCAGTATTATACTGTATGATCGAAAAAAAAAAACGGCGTCCAGTTGGCTGGGAAATGACGATCGATGACATTTCCCATATAAATTTACATATAAAATGACAGCGATCTTCATTTCATAGCCAACGCGGACGCCGTTTTTTCTCGATCATACGGTACCTATTACATAGGGCTATTGCAACAGTAAATTTTTATCAAAGCGACCTCAGGATATTTTCTCTTATATTTTACTCTGTATGGTAAAATTTTGTGTTTCTACCCATCCTATAAAAATAAAACAAAACGAAATCTGTAACAGGTCGCTTTACTTTTTGACTATACACAATTTATCTAGAAATGATTCGAAAAACTTTACCTGGGGAAGTCCTCTGATGATGCATGGTCCCTCTAAATCATCATATCTATCAACAATAAGTCACTGCCCACTTTTTAGGTATTTACTTTATATCTACAATAATCAGTAAAAAGAGTAATTAAACATGCAATTCACATTAAAAAACGTAGACAAAACAGTGTAATAACCTGCAGAATTAATTAAAACTCTGATTCAAACTAAGCCAAATTCCCAAATAATGCAATTCTGCATTTTCAGCCTGTCGCCTAAAATCTCTCGGGCTGATGGGAAGTGATACATATTTTTAACGAACGGCTTTAAGGTTCAAATTTACATTTGAGGCCCGCCTCAATACGGTCTTTTTACGCGCTACTACTCCATACATTTTATCTCTCTTCAACTAAAGGTTTTGCCTATGCTTTTTCTTTTCATTCTATGGAGTTAAGATTCCAGTGAACGCTGTCGCTCCGTCAGTGCGATATACCACAATACGCTAGACAAGGAAAGGCGAGAGGCAAACCTCTGCACATATACCTTTTAAAGAACAAATGAGATGGATATACATCGTCGAGTTTGTCGCATATGGGACGCGCTTTCTGCGTTTAAAGGAATACCATCGACGTAATTTATTGTAGAATGACGGTTAAAAAATACAATTATTATTAATGCAAATAGGGAAAAAAATATATAATTGTGATTAAAGATGTATCGATTAATAAGTGTAATTTTTCAAATGTATTGGTGAGGCACTGCCTCATCTGCCTCATAGGACAAGCCGCCCCTGATACTGTGGTACCCGAGAATCTGGCCATTAGTTTTTGGTGGGGGTAGGGGGTTGGTAAGGGGGTATGGGAGGGAGAGACAAATTTTAAAAAATCGTAACTCCAAAATTACAGAAGCTAGCGAAACGCGGTTTTCAATTTAAGATTAGGAATAATATTTGGAAAAAAAATTGTAATAACATCAAAATTAGTCAAAGTCGCAGTTTTTAAGATAAAAAAAATTGGAAAAATTCATTTACTTTGAAACTAAAAGAATTGCCTACCAACTTTTTATTAACATATTTTAGTATGGGCGGCTATACGTGCCTCCCGGCGCCAATTTTTTTCTCACTGATTTATATATACTCAGTATATTTACATATAGGATTACTTTTTCTACTTTTAAGGCCCATTCAGACTACAGGGACGGGTTACCAGACCAGGCCTTCATCCAATACGCCCTCCTGTCTGAACTTGGCTACGAGGTGGCGCAAAGTAACGCGGCTTTCATGCTTGACAGACAGGAAGTACCTATGCTGGACACTCACGAGGCTTTGGTTAGGGCTCTGTTGTACTGGTCCAGGGCTGCTGCTCAAGGATATTCAGCTGCGCAGGTCAGTAAAAATTAGCTAAAATGATCTACCCTCGCTATTTTACTTTATTTTTATTTCCTCAATGATTTTTTTTAGGTTAAATTGGGCGATTACTATTACTACGGTTTAGGCACTTCAGTAGACTACGAAACGGCAGCGTCTCAGTACAGGATTGCAGCAGAACAACAGCATAATGCTCAGGCGATGTTTAATTTGGGCTATATGCACGAGCAAGGGTTGGGATTAGAGAAAGATGTGCATTTAGCGAAAAGGTACTTATTAAAAATTATTTTTTATTTTTGGATAACATTTGTTTGTTTGCAGGTGTTATGATCTGGCAGCTGACACGAGCGGTGACGCAAAAGTTCCAGTAGCTCTGGCCTTGTTTAAATTAAGCTTCATGTTCAGTTTTGAAAGAATTAAAGAGGTAAGTTGGAGTTATTAATTTTTTTACCATTTTCTGCAAAATATTTTCGATTTTTTTGACTCGCCCTGTATACAGGGTGGTCCGAATTGTATTCCGGAATCTTTCATTTATATGGTTTGATCTTTATTATTTGATAAAATCTAGATGGCTGTGATATGTCTGACGTTACTTCAATATAGCTGTCTAATTAGTCCAACTTTAACAACTAGTTATCATTTTGTGACAGTTAAAACAAAAAAATTTCCCAGGAATTTGCCGAAAATGCAAACGTCCTACATCAGATAGAATTGATATGATTCTATTAGTTGGTGGATGCAGTGTGCATTCACCAATTAATAGAATACTTAAATGCTCCTGATTTTATCTAGTCTGTTTTTTTATGGGGATATGTTAAATACAGTGTTTACAAAACTCGACCAACTATTGTCGACAACATGAGAGAAATTATTGTAGCTTCTTTTCGAGGGAGAACTAACTCCCCATATGCCTTTTAAAATGAAAATATCCCTTTGAAAAGACAATCATTTTATGCAGTTAACAGGAAAGGAAGCATTTTGAGCATTTGATTTCATCTAGCTAATTTTTGTCACATAATTTTATATGTTTATGTCTAGTTTTAATTCTGTAATAATTAAAATGTTTTAAACGTGTATCTTTTTATTACCGTTGAGTATTTTACACTACAATCTTTAATTTTTGTTAAATTAACAAAAGGTATATCACACCCCCTAGATTGTTTCAAACAATAAAGATCTACTGATGCAAAATCAAAAATTAAAATATATAGGAAAATCTTTGTCTGAGGGGTAGGCAACCTTAATAATATTTTGAAGATATATAAATTCCCCATTGAACACTGGAAAAATATACTGGGTATTTCCATTTAAAATAACGGTGTAACTTGCTTTTAAAAGTGGCTAATATTCCATATTAATTTTGTCTCACCCTGTATAATTTTTCGGGTCAAATTCCAATTTGTTTTAACATACAATGGTTACTGTAATTAAATATCAGGCTATACAAGGTCAACTAAAATTTAGGTAGCTGTTATCGAAATTTAAAATTTACTCTTTATTTTCACAAAATGTGAAATATGTCAAAATCCTTAGATTTTAGTATATGCTTCTTTAATAAAACTCACCTTTATTTTTTTCCTAGAATCCGAAAATCGATTAATATATAGGGTGTTCCATTACAAAAAACATAACTTTGATATGTAAGTTTTTTTGGGGACACTCTGTATAATTCTATATATTTTTATAAAATGCTTTCAGTTAACCTACATATGCTGCCAAAATTTCATTTCGATATAAACTACCGTTCTTGAAGCAAAAGTTCCTACCGTTCTTGAAGCTTCCGCGGCGTATGAGAGGCGTCACCCTGTATAATACACTTTTTAAAAAAAAATAGAACGGCACTTCTTGTAAATCTGAAAATACGTCAACCATAGTAAAGTATATTCCTTTTTTTATATACTCCCTTCTTGGTCTTTTTGTTCAGTGATAAACTTACTATTTGTTGATTGAACTTTTTGCAGAACTCTGTAAACGATTTTAAACGAATTATATTTTTTAGAGCCCATTCAATCACTTGGTAAATGTAACGGAATCACTTGGAGCCGACTGGGACTTATACCTACTCTCTACGCTTCTAGCTCTGTTAGCGACCATCGTGTATTTCAGGCGACCCCAAAATCAAGCGGTAATCAACATTTTGTTCTTCTAAACAACACGCACCCTGTATATGTTCAACTAACGCCTCAAGCTTGCGCCATCTTTCCCGAAATAAATACCAGTCATTATTTCGACTAGTAATAAATAATAATAATATGTTGGAATGATGTTCTGTATGCGCCACAATATTTGGATGCTTATACGGGGGTAGTCTGAAAGTTTCCGACGTCGACTCACTCAAGCGACTGTCAAATCAACAACCAAGCATCGAAAATGGGCAAAAGATGCGTAAAGTTGCAATTTTTTTCAGACTACCCCTGTATAGTATAATATGGCTAATAAGACTTTAGTGACATTCATTGATATTTAGTGTCATTTTAAAATGCGTCACTATACACGGTGTAATGACATGCTAATACCGGATAATCGAATAAAAACGGCGTCAGCGATGGCTATGAAATGAAGATCGCTGTCATTTTATATGTAAATTTATATAGGAAATGCCATCGATCGTCATTTCCAAGCCAACTGGACGTCGTTTTTATTCGATCATACGGTATTTATGGGTGTGATTTTTGGACCTATTTTAAGAAAAAAGCTTCATATGAATGTATGTCCTAAACATCTTGACTTTTGAGATACAGGGTGGTAAAATTTTCTAAAAAAAGTATAGAAAACGTGTACCAAGTTTAATAAAGATGATAATAAAATCGGAGTGACTATGAAAAAAAGTAATTTTTTACAAAAATTTACCACCCTGTATCTCGAAAGTTAAGACGTTTAGGACGCACATTCCTATGAAGTTTTTATCTTAGAATATGTTCAGGAATCACCCCCTTAAATATGTATTAGCATGTAATTAAGGAACACCCTGTAGAAAGAGAAATTCTTCGGTTTTATAAACTGAACTACCTAAAAACTTATACCAGTAAAAATAAATTATATGTATATCTCATAGAAAACATAGTTGATCACCACTCAGCATTTTTTTTGCATCTATATTGTATAAAAAACTTTATTTTATCAAATAAATTTTTTGTGCTAAAGGAAATATTCTAAATAAATCAAATAAAACTTAAATCAATTAATTGAAACAACTCATTATATGAGTGTTCAGCAAAGAATGACCATATATTAATTTAGTTTCCTTAAGTCATTTTTAAATAATTTATTTTTGTAAATAGAATTTTGTTAAGAGGTATAACCCTTTTTAGTGCTATGTATATTTCTGTTTTCCAATGTAATAAATTGTTTTACAAATGTTCTGTCATTTTATTTTAACGCCTATACAACTACTAAAAGTGTCAAAAATTAATTTGAATCACCCAGTATATTATCTGAAAATATTTTTAAGATATGCGCTTAAGGGTTCCATTTTTTAAAATGAAATATTCTATTAAAAAAAGGATTTATTATTTGACAAACGTTATTTATAGCTAGGATGTTTTTTCATTATAATTTAAAAAAATTAAGCATAATAATTAAGATTGGCTTTCTTTTTCGCTTGCACTTCCATTATAGCGTCCATGTAGTCTTCGTGCGTCACTACAGTAGCGTTCCTTCTCAAAGCTATCATACCAGCCTCCACACATACAGCTTTACACTAAAAAACAATAAAATAAATAAAATGACAATTTAACGGTAATAATTTCTAACCTGGGCTCCATTAAAATCATCCGTTGATCTAGCCAATTCCTCAAAGTTTACGTCAGGGTTTACTGTCATTTTTCTCGAATGAATCTGCATAATTCTCGCTCTGGCTTCTTCATTCGGATGAGGGAATTCAATTTTACGATCCAATCTGCCGGATCGCAACAATGCTGGATCGAGAATGTCAACACGATTAGTTGCTGCTATAACCTAAAAATTGAATATTTTTGAACGATTTTTTTAAAGAATGTTGAAAAAATAAATTGTAGGATTTTTAGTCAAGTTTTAATTAAAACTAAAACTGTACATCACCAATAAACGTTATTATTAGGATTTTACCTTAATATCTGCTGTCGAACTGAAACCATCTAACTGATTCAATAATTCCAACATAGTTCTCTGTACTTCTCGATCACCAGCCTTTTCAGAATCGAATCTTTTAGTACCTAAAAATATAATAGACTTAAAATAAAGGTAGACCATCTTTAAATAAAAAAATCTCCATTTTAAACTATAAAGTTTTACAAGAAAGTATAATGACTAAAAATACATGGACACGTACCAATTGCATCCAGTTCATCGACAAAAATAATAGCAGGTGCTTTCTCTTTGGCCAATGCAAAAGCATCTCTAACTAGTTTTGCACCGTCACCAATAAACATCTGAACCAACTGGGGCCCTGCCAATTTCAAGAAAGTTGATTTGGTTTGGGCAGCACAAGCCCTAGCCAGCAGAGTCTTTCCTGTTCCTGGAGGTCCATACAACAATACCCCTAAAATCAAAAGATTTTAAAACAAACTTTTTAAAGAAAAAAATATTGATTTACCTTTAGGAGGTTGTATTCCTAAATTGACAAATTTATCTTTGTGTGTCATTGGGAGGACTACAGCCTCTATGAGCTCTTGAATTTGTTTGTCCAAGCCACCAATATCTGAGTATTGTTCTGTTGGTCTTTCATCAACCTTTATAAAAAAAAAAATTATAATAAAAACCATTATAAATTATAAGTTTTTTTGTACCTCCATAGCTTTAACTCTGGCATCGTATTCAGCAGGAAGGGTCTCCAAAATTAGGTATGAATCCTTATTCACACCGACCAAATCACCTGGTTTTAATTTTTCTTCATCAACAAGTCCGATAACAGGAAGAAAGTAGGTTTGGCGTGTTGATGTTTTTACAACTGCACATTTTCCTGAATAAAAAACACACAAAATAATACCAAATTCCCTTCCAAGTAATACACAAACAAAACAAACCTTTTCTTTGAGAATCTAAATCAACAACAGCCCCATCCTCTTCCTCTTCTTGTGGATCCACATCGAGCAATTCAATAACATTTGAAACTAAATATGGTAAGGTTTTATTAACTTTAATTTTCTCCGTGTTCTCCTTAATCTTTTCGTTTTGGGCTTGCAGCTCGTGGTTTATTCTCATCACTTCGCTTTTCATTATTTTAATTTCGTTGTCCAACAGTCTAGTTCTGCTTATAATCTCGTCGTTAGACATTCTCAGTACTTCTTCGCCGAGTGCTTCTTCTCCGTCGTCCCATATCGCCTTATCTTCTAGCGTAGCCATTCTTTAGAGTACTTATTCACTGAATTATGATTTTCTTTGGAGAAAATGTCCAGGAAAATATGACTACAGCAAAACAAAACTGTCCAAATTTAATTCAAGTCATGCTGCATGCTGTCAATTTCAACTGTCAAATTGGTGTTTCTTCTCCGTTTTATTCATGGCTTTTGCTACACAAAATATATGTTTTTATATATGATCATACTTTTGTTTTATGCGTTACGTCTACATCGAACTAGATTTTATAAACGGATTTTTTCTAACTTTCTAGGCAAAAATCCTTTGGACAATAGTGAATGTTTTAGACAAATATGAATAGTACGTTTAGCATTGTTCCAATTTTAATAGATTAGTGTCTGTGGTATCACACAGCAAGAGTCAGTAAATTTTAAAAGAAGAAATTCCTCATCGGTCACAAATGACACTAATGACAGTTTAAAAACAGATGTTTTGGATGTAAATAACCCATGTAAATAACGGAATAATTAAAAGAAAAAGTTAATTATTATGTCTGTAGAAGAGGCCCAGAGAAAATTAGCCGAGTATAGAGCTAAAAAACAACGTGAAGCTGCCCTGAATCGTTATAAAGCTCAAATTAAAATTATGTTTTCAAAGTTCTTCCCAAAGAAACCTGAAAAGACTAGTGACACCAATTGTGACACAAATACAGTAAAGTATTAAAACTTTCTATTTAATTAGACAATATTAATATTTAATTCAAACAGGATAAAAAAGAAGTATTAGAGCCCTTGATAGTGGAAGATATAAATTCTGAATGTGAATCGGCATCTGCATTATCGGATGAAGAAGAAAACTTATCTTGTACAATCTACGATTACATTTACTATTTCTTATGGTTTGTTTTATGGGTATCCCTTTACATAGTTTTTGTTAGGCTACAATTCGGGACTGTCTACTTCATAGTGTCCTTACTGTTGGCCATATATTTCAACACTCGAACAGGTCCCAAGAAAGTAAACGAAGTTAGTGCTTATTCAGTGTTTAATAGGAATTGTGAAAGCATAGATGGAACGCTTAATGCTGAACAACTAACAAGAGAAATGATTTATGGTGGATTTAGATAGTATGATAAAATGGAAAATATAATAATCATTGTGATATTTTTTATAAATTAGATCTTATATACCTAAAAAAATATATTTATTACTTAGATTATATTTTAATTATGTTTGTATTAGATATGGTACAGGGATTGGAATGAATATACAAAAAAATAATGTGAATCATCAACTTATATCTATCTTAAAACTTGATAATTAACTATACCAACAATATTTTATTTTATATATTTGTAATTTTTAAGTAAATCATTTTTGCAATTATATTGTATTTTAATTGACCTAAATAAATTTATTGATTACTAAATAATACTGTTTTAAATAAAATTTGCTATTGATTTTGCACAGGATACCGGAAAAGTTAAAAATATTAAATAATGTCAAGAAAATAACTGGACACAAAAAACGTCGCATTCTTAATGAGATTTTAACGTGTTTATTATTGATTGTTGGGATGTTTGTATTAGTTTCTATCAATATAAAACTCCAAAAAAGTAATACAATAAAAGTAAATAAAACATAAACTTTTGAAGGCTGTTAGAGGTAAAAATAGGTAGTTATATTGTGAAATAGTACTCAGTCTGTTTTAGATAAAAATATATAGCTCATATCTTTTTCTGAAATTACTTGAGTATAATATATTTTTTCATTTTGTAGTAAACTATCTGACAAAAATGAGCGAAAATAATACTTCTTTCATATCTAAAATAAAATCAAATGATATACTTTGGGTTACGACATTGGAAAATCCAAAATTCGTTACTTATATGGTTGTATGTGCCCTATTGGTATTAAAAATGTGGTGGTTAACGGTTTTAACAGTGATGAAAAGAGTGAAACACAAGGTATTTACAAGTCTATTTTGTGTTAAATATTAAATTTTGACGACGAAAAAAACATTTTAGGTGGTAATGAATGAAGAGGATACCAAGGTGGGTGGTACTACGGTTGGTAGTCATCCAGATGTTGAAAGAGTACGGAGGTAGGTACCTATTGGTTTCTATACAGGGCGGTCCACTTTTTAATAGCTCTAAGAATGTTAAAGTGGATAAAAGATTGTGTTATCAAAGTTTCAAAAATAAAAATCGATTATTTTGGACAGTATCAGAACATCTGCAGATTCACGAACCAAATAAGTTTGTTATGTTGAAGAATAGTTATACAAAAATAGGATGGTCGTTATATCGAAAATTTGAAAAAAAAAAATTACTTACAGGGTGAGTCTTAAATAAGAGAATTTTTTTCAGGGCTGGTAGATCTCGATAAAAGAAACATATTTTCTCTTTACCGTTTTTCAAATAAGTCCAAAATAAACGAGTTATTTTACTTTGAGAAATTAAAAAAAATGTTTTTTGCTAAAATTTTGAGAACCACTGGATCTTTTCTGGGTTTTATTTCTTGTAAATTTAATCTATTATATGTTGTCAAATTATCTATAAATTATGTTTTTAACTACAAATATTTCCGAAAAAAATTTTCAAAGAAATTCCGAATTTTTTATTTTTTTTTTCGAAAAAAGAACTCATAGTCGTGTTTCTGGGATCCAAATATACTGCCCCTAAACCTTAAAAATATTTACACTTATTTAAGACTCATCGTGTATATAAAAAAGAGCGCATTTCAACCAGAGGTTATTAAAAATAACATAAAATAAATTTTATTTAGCGTTAATAAATACAGTGCGTCTCTTAAATAAGCCCAATTATTTTATCTGGTGGTATATTTAGGCCCTAGAAACACGCCAATACGTTTTTTTTGCGAAGAAAGTTGCGTTGAATTTTTTTTTACATTTTCTGGGAAGTTTAAAATTATAGTACAGGGTGTCCCAGAAATAAGTGCAAGTATTTTAAGTGATAGTATAGCCCAACCCCAGAAACACGCCTATAAGGTTTTTTTCGCGAAAAAAAAATTGAAAATTCGAAATTTTTTGAAAAATTATTTGGATATTTTTTTAGTTTTTAGTTAAAAACCATAATTTCTTGATAATATGGCAACATAGGTTATTTACATAGAGCTATTTACAAGAAAGAAAATCCAGAAAAGATCCAGTGATTCTCAAAATTTTAACAAAAAATATTTTTTTTTGGAAATTTTCAAAGTAAAATAACTTCGTTATTTTGGACTTATTTGAAAAACGATAAAGAGAAAATATGTTTCTTTTATCGAGATCTATCAGCCCTTAAAATACTTGCACTTATTTCTGGGACACCCTGTATATTGTTTTATTAGCGTAGACGAGGCTTCGAAAAAAAAGTTTTTAGTACCACAGGTTCATTCTCATGAATTTTTTTGACGCTGTATAGAAGCCTTGCAATGTTGCCACTTCTTACATTAGAGCATGAACCAAAAAGTGTCACACGAAGAAAAAAGAGCATATATATGATTCAAAAATAGACAAAAAATTACTCAAACATAGATCATAGAAAAGGAGTTTTTCAATTAAACATATATGTATTTATTTTTCAGAGCTTTTCAAAACGATTTGGAGAACATACCAGCATTCCTGTTTATAGCGTTTGCCTACCTGTGGGTGTCGGTACCATCTTGGGTAGTGCATTTCCTCTACTATCTATTCTTTGTCGCAAGACTTGGACACTCCGTCGTTTATGCTGTGGTTCCCATAAGGCCGCCTGCAAGGGGCATATGTTTTGTTACGGGTTTTCTCATTGTGACGTACATGAGTATACACGTGTTGATTGCTGGCATAATAGCTTATTGTAAGAAGTAGTTTGATTTAAATAAGTATGATATATAATTCAGTGGCGGCTCGTCAGGTTAGGCAAGGTAGGCGGCGCCTACCCTAAGATTTTGGCAGAATTTAAGTGGTTTATTACATGTAGTTAATGTAGTTTATGTAGAGGGTGTAGTTTATGTAACCTATGTATGTAACTTTCAAACATCAAAGGTTTGAGCTGAGATTATAATAAGTTGAAGCTTTAAAAACACATAATGTATTTACGAATACATCATATTATCTCTATTTCACCTCATACAAAGGAAAATTATTCAGAATATCAATACATAGTTTATTAATGTAGTTTTCATGTAGTTAATGAACGGGAAAAGCCGTAGTTTTTGAAAAAAAACTACACGTAGTTAATCAGGTAAATTACGTCTTAATTAACTACTTCCGAACCCTGGTCACGAGTCACGAGTCACGAGCTGTCACTGATATAATTACAAGCACTCGAAAAGGCACTTAAGTTGTTACCTACTTGACACGACAATACTATGGACGAGACAAGGACACATCAAATGAATTATAAAAAATTATTGTGGATGATTTTATATGATTACTTTATGTATTGAGTAAATAAAGAAACAAAATTGTTTATTAAGACTGTTATTATTTTATATTTAACATTTTAAAGAAACTTGTTTTGATAATTTTAGAATATAATACATCGAACTATGTTCCGGAAACTTCGGCACCATATTCTGCAGATAAAAATAAGTAAAAAAATTCGTATAAATGTATGTCCTAAAATGCTTAGTTTCGGAGATACAGGGTGTAGAAGTTTCATTTTTGTTTGAATTTTTTCCTTATAATTTCTGAACTAAATTCGGCATTTGGAATGAAAATTGTATTGAAATAAAATTTTCTGAGCATATGTAGGTTAATTCAGAGTAATTTTTAAAAATACAGAGTTCTACTAAAAAATGCCATATCAAAGTTATATATTGATTTTCGAATTCTGGGAGAAAAATAAAGGTGAGTTTTATTCTTAGATCTTATAAAGTTTTATTAGAGAAGTATATGACTAAAATGTAAGGTTTTTGACATATTTAACATTTTTTAAAAATTAAGAACAGTTTTTAAATTACAGTAAAAGCTACTTAAATTGGATTTTCCTTGTTATGGCCTAATATCTAGTTAATATTGTACTTTTTTAAATCAAAATTATACAGGGTGAGACAAAATTAATATGGAACATTGGTCACCTCTAAAATCAAGTTATTCTTTTATTTTAAATAAAAAATTATTTTAAATGGAACACCCTTGCTAATCCTAACGGGAAACAACTTTCGAACAGTGGTGGCGGTAAAAAGAAAATTCAGAAAAGGAATAGAAGAAAATGGTGCAATATGCCTAAAAAATATACAGGGTGTCCCAGAAATAAGTGCAAGTATTTGAAGGGGTGGTAGATTTCGATAAAAGAAACGTGTTTTCTCTTTATCGTTTTTCAAATAAGTAAAAAATAACGGAGTTATTTTACCAAAAAAATGATCTTTTGCTAAAATTTTGAGAACCAATGGATCTTTTCTGCATTTTCTTTCTTGTAAATTTAATCAAATACCTATGTTGCCATATTATCAAAAAAAATATGTTTTTAACTAAAAACAAAAAAAAATAATTATAATAAAATAAAATTTCAAAAAATTTCGCGAAAAAAACCTCATAGGCGTGTTTTTGGGGTTGAATTATACTACCAGTTAAATACTTGCACTTATTTCTGGGATACCCTGTATAAAGAACTGCTCGCGCTACTGGCTAGAATAAAATTGTCCTACCCGTTCGGTTAAAACCGTGCAAAATAACCGAAGTGTATGGGAACCCTTAAATCTTTCTATAATTTTTGCCCTATATTATACTTGGTTTTTTTTTGTATAGTTTTCAAATTGGATAGGTCAAAGATTGATTATATTTTATCGGTTACATTTCTTGTATACCGAGATAATATATATGTACTTAAGAATCAATTAGGAATACATAAACAAGTATATTATCAGTTAAAGTAATGATGCGTTCTGAATTGTTCTATAAATTGATTTTAAATACACGTGCTTTAATTGAAAAAAGTGATCAAAATGTATGAAAATAATGTTAATCTTACGCTAGACGATACGAAATTTGCCACTTATATGATAGTTTCTTCATTGCTAGTTTTGAAAACTATGTGCCTTATAGTTTTAACTATTTACCATCGGATCAGAAAAAATGTAAGTATACTAAATATACAGTATACACACTGCATATTTGTACCAGTAATTTTTACTTCTATATGATACATTGTGTTAATTCGATTTCAGATACATATTAGCGAAGAAGATATTGGTTTGTCAGGTGGGACCGTAGAATTAGATCCAGAAATTGAGCGAGTAAGAAGGTAAAAAACCCCCATGCTTATTTTTTAATATAGATTAATACTAATGCGCTTACTTAAGAGACACCCTGTGTATATAAGTACATATTATATTTTTTTTTGTTTTCAGGTCTGTCCAAAATGATCTAGAGAATATACCAGCTTTTTTAGTGATATCATTCGTATACCTATGGGTTCCTGTACCTGCCTGGACTGTCCAAGTATTATATTACACTTTCCTGGTATTCAGAGTTCTGCATTCCATTGTTTACGCCATTTACGTGGTACCCCAACCAGCCAGAGGCTTGTGTTTTGCAATCCCTTTTGCGATTTTGTTCTATATGTGCTGCCATGTTTTTGTTTATGCATTTTCTTCAGTTATTAGTAAAAACGAAATGTCAACAGATAAATATGATTTATAAGTAATACCCTTTTTGTGTTGTGAGTATATTTCGACCGCAGAAATACGATTATGGGAATTATTATTTTTTGAAAACTTTTTTTAAATTTTTTTTAGTTTTTAGTTGAAGAACATAATTTCTTGATAATATGGTAACATAGATAGAAGATTAAAATTTCAGGAAAGAAAACCCATTAAAACAAAAACCGTTGAAAAAAATTAAAAATAAAAAAAAAAGTAAAAAATGTCTATACCTCTGTGGATTCATCTTTTCAAAAAAGTCCTATGGGTATTTCAATATAGATACAGAACAACAAACAAAAAATGTAATATACCAAATACCACCAAACCAGACCCTTAAATGTTCGAATTAAAGAATATTTTTTCCATCTCTGCATCTATTTGATTTAAGGACATAATTTGATTGACTTTAAAACAATATTACACATGAATATACAGAAAATAAAAAACAATAACACTTAAAACATTCATTTTTTCAACAACATATTCCGGAAGTCCGTATTTTTCATCATTTTCCCGCCAGTGCCGTTCGTCTCTTCCTTTTTCGTCTCCGCCCCGCTGCTTCCGGCCTTAACCTGCAACGACCTCGGCAACAGCGACGTCTGCAGCCGACTTCGGGCGTGTCTCGACGGCTCCTCCCCCTCTTCTCTCCGCCCAAACGTCACCCTTCCAGCCTTCTCCTTCTTGGGAGGTGGCGCGCTGATCGCTACGGATATGACGTGCCCGTCTACGTCCAGCTGATCGGTCTCTTTGATTGCTTTCAGAGCCTGCTCTTCGTTCTCGAATTCCACATACGCCAGGCCTTTGGGTTGGCCGCTCCGGTGCAAAACGAGCCTCACGTCTCTGGCTCCGTGCGGTTTGAACAGTTCTTCCACTTGTTCTTTGGTCTTGGAAATGGGAAGACCCTTGACGAACAGTTTATTTTTCTCCGCGTTGGTTGCGTACTTGAAGACCTGTTTCTTTTCGGCACGGTCCGTTTTAATTTCGGAGATAAAAACGGGTCGGCCGTCTAGAGGTTCGCGGTCGCGTGCTAGCGCAACCATAACCTAAAAAGAATTATTTTTTATTAGTTTAGCCCTTTGAATAAGAAGACTAAGGAAGGAGCATAATGCTATCCATGTATTCATGCATGGTGGGCGGAAAAAGGACTCTAGGGTGGGGATCCTTGACAGTTCTGTTTGACGATTCATTTGACACATTTGAATTTGATTTGAAATTTTGTGGATTTATCAGTGTTTACGGAGCTTATTTTATGTTATTTATTATTTATTCTACTACTGATAGTTGTATAAAGGTAGTAAATCTAGATGGAAATTTTGGCAGAACTTAAATTAACGGTGACACCATCGCGATTTATCGAAAAAGACTCTTAAAATAGTTGGTTGTGTAGCGTGCGGTAGATCTCGGCAAAAATCGAGTGAAATAATGGAACAACTTTTCGCTAGTAAGTGACTATTATAATATACATACGTGTAGTAAACCGATCATTTATGAAATTCACTTAAATTAACTAATTATATATTTTTTCTTGCATTTTTGCTTTTATTTACTACTTGTCAAAGATTATATGTCAAAGAATTTAGATACGTCAGTTTGACTTACCTGCTTCAGTAGCGTATCGGATGTTTATCGTTATAAATAATTATTATAACTTATCTATTTTTATTAGAATTTTATATTTTTATAACAATTTTAATAACTACTAACATTTATTCACAACGTAAAATAAAAAAAAAAATATTGAGTCTACCTCACGTCTACCCTACTTCATAGTTTTACATTTTTTAAATAAAATTAGAACGGCACTGATAAACCGGAATTTAAGTCGGCCATATTTGAGGCCCATCGCGGTGGACCTAAGATTTTTGATATGCTCCTTCCTTAGTCTTCTTATTCAAAGGTTTAGCCAATGTTTAAAGAATCCAAGGACAAATAACACCTGAGAGCAAATTGTGACGATATCACCAAACAGTGCCGTGGCACATATTTTTCTTAACCTAGCTGTTTGAAGAGATATATTTATATTTTTTGATAAATGGTTTGACTACGCCTAATTACAAAAAAAAAATAAAATGTTAACAAAAGGTACAAAACTAGTACCAAAAAACGTATAGCACACATCAAGTACAGGGTGGCTCGAATTCGACTCTCATCATTGGGATTTCGGAAACCGTAAGAGATACATACGTGTGTTGCATCGTCGAGCGGGACATAGGAAATCCCATGTAAATTTTAATGGGTTCAATTATTGGCTTCCCTAATTATTTTAGAGAATAATTCTATTTAGATTTATTGAAGAGCACTAAACCCCACATTCAAAAGAATAACTTTAGATATTTTTAATTAGTCCGTTTACGAGTTATCGCTGATTTCTTTTTAAATATTTCTCCTTTCTTATGGCCCTGTATTTACTTATGAGCACCAGTCAAGGTAAAAGATAACTGTCAAATGAAGTTGTCATTCAGAAATTTATCTATTAAGTGCTTTATTATTATCATTAAAAACTCATACCTACATCGAAAATATTAGCCATGAATTACACTACCGAAGAAAATGTATTGATGATTAAATGGTATTATCAAGGAAATAGTTATCAAAAGGTGTCGGACATGTTTGCTGCTCTGTATCCGAATAGACCGATACCTGGAAAATCTACAATACTGATGGAAAGATCAGCACAAGGAAACTTGAGGATGAAATAGGAATAGATCACACTACAGCGTTTCGAATTTTGAAACGACATAAATGCTATTCCTTCAAGATGGGGACGAAATACGGCGGCAGGCGCTGTTTTGATATGATGGAAAGAGCAAACACGGATAGGAAATTTTTTAAAAACATATATGTTTCACTGACGAATGCACGTTTACCTTAAATAATGAACCCAATGTTCAAAATTATCGATATTGGAACAAAGAAAACCAACACAGGTTTGTCGAAACAAGGACGCAATATCCACAGAAAGTAAAATTTTGGGCAGGGATATTCGGACACAATATTATCGGGCCATTATTTCTTACGCGAAATTTAAATGCAGAATATTATTTGGAACTACTCGAAAATCATATTTTACCTGCTTTACATGATGCCGCTAGGGAAAATCAGGAAGTTTGGTACCAAATGGATGGCTGCCCGGCACATAGTACCCTGGCTGTTCGGGAATATTTAGACACTAGTTTTAACGGAAACGTTATTGGCCTAAATCATACAGTAAATTGGCCAGCAAGGTCTCCTGATATTTCGCCATATGATTTCTTTCTCTGGGGCCATTTAAAAAACAGGATATACAAGGATAAAAAATACCTAAATATAGTTGAGTTAAAAAATGCTATTTCTGCCGAATGCAATAGAATTTCAGTTTACCAACTAGCGAATGTAAGAAGAGAATTTTATGATCGCCTGGGTTCTTGTCTAGCAGTCGAAGGAGGAATATTTGAACATCTTAAATCCTAAAGTTCTAACAATTTAATAGTACCTAAATTAATAAGATATTGAATATTGTAATAATACTATAATTAACCTTGTAATTGATTACTTTATTTTACTTTAATTCATATTAATTTGTATTTATAAATACATCTTTAAGATTTCCGATATATGAATGAGTTTTCAATAATAATAAAGCACTAAATAGGTAAATTTCCGAAATGACAACTTCATTTGACAGTTATCTTTTACCTTGACTGGTGTTCATAAGTAAATACAGGGCCATAAGAAAGGAGAAATATTTAAAAAGAAATCGGCGATAACTCGTAAACAAGCTAATCAAAAATATCTAAAGTTATTCTTTTGAATGTGGGCTTTAGTGCTCTTCAATAAACCTAAATAGAATTGTTCTCTAAAATAATTAGGGAAGCCAATAATTGAACCCATTAAAATTTACATGGGATTTCCTATGTCCTGTCCGACGATGCAACACCCGGTATATAGTCACTTTGATATTTACCGACGTTTGGTACAGAAAATTCCATCACCAGAATATGTTATGCAAAAAAAATAAAAATGCAATACGGCATTTTATTGAGCATCAAATTGCGCAACTTTGCCTCAATTTACCCGATCCTGTATCTCTTACGGTTTCCGAAATCCCAATGATGAGCGTCGAATTCGAGCCACCCTGTACAAGAAAGCTTAATAGGCGCTGCACAAAACTCATTGTAACCTTATTAGAATATTTTGAACGGAAAAGCGGTAGTAATGGCCGTTTATGTCCCTTAAATAAGCGCTGTTAAGGATGTGAGTTTTATTGATGTAAATAATAACTGTTTATAAATTTATAATTAATTTATTTTTGTTTTCTAAAATATTTTGATTAAAAGAAAATATGTAAAAACGAGGGCCTATTTAACCATAAGACCTGGGACTTGGGCCCGGTGGTCTGGGGGGTCCGTTAAAGGTTGTAAAATATTAATAATTTCTTGAATTTTTGAATTTTATTGGAAAAGAGGGCCCGAATTTTTGCTTGGGCCTTAGGGCCCTTAATCACGTGACTGAAAGTTTAATTTGGTATGAATTAAAAAATACTCTGATCTCACCTCTTCAGCAGTCTTAAATTGGACATATCCAAAACATCTGGACTTTCCTTTACGATCCAGAACTATTTCCAGTTTAAGACAATTAGGAAAAAGTTCTCTAAGTTTGTTCTCATCAATTGAAGGATGCAAATTACTGATAAATACTGTAGTTTCCGGATTCTTCTCAATAGGTACTCGATTTCTCACAACTGGCTTACTAACTTCTTCTTTTTTCTCTTCCCTAAACCTTTTTGGAGGAACCTGTTTACTACTAGTGTTTGGCTCCTGGTTATATTTCCTTTTAGTGCCTTTGTTTTGATGGTCTTGATTTTGTGAAGTGGTATCAGTTTGATATTGATAGTTTTCCGTTAGATTTGCGCTGGCCTGGAAATAAACAATAAATAAAACGGCTTGTTATAAAAATATATTTATAAAAAAAAGTAATCAAAGTTTTTTCAAGTAAATCTATGGTATCTAACTACAGACCTATCTCTTTAATCTCGAATATTGCAAAAATTTTTGAAAAAATTGTTCATTCAAGAATTTATAAATTTATTATAAATTGTAATATTTTATCTAAAAAACAATTTGGTTTTATTAAAAGAATAGGAACTGCAGACGCTTTAAATCATATAACTAACATCATTTATAACAAATTAGACAAAAGCAAACCAGTATTAATAACTTTTTTAGATCTGGCAAAAGCCTTTGACACGGTAGATCATGGTATATTATTGGATAAGCTTTCATTTATGGGAATTAGAGGCAAGGCCAATGATCTAATGAAAAGTTATCTTGAGCATAGAAAGCAGAGAGTTAAAATTAATGATTATATAAGCGAGAATAAAGATGTAACTATTGGAGTGCCTCAAGGAACTATCCTTGGGCCATTGATGTTTATTTTATATGTAAATGATTTATTAATTGGCATACAGGATGGTTGTATAATATCGTATGCAGATGATACTGCAATCATTGCTACTGAGGACACTTGGGAGCAAAGTATTAAAAAATGAATGAACTACTAGATAAGGTTGCAAATTGGCTTGCACTTAATAAACTGTCTTTAAATATTGATAAGACTGTTTTCATGACTTTTGGAAATTACTCAGATAGTGTTCCTAAATTAGTTGAAATAAAAATTAAAGACATATATGTAAAAAAGAGTTGATTGTTGTAAATATTTGGGTATTATTTTTGACTCTAATGTAAAATGGGATAAACAAATTGAATATCTGATTAGCAAGACTAAATATTTAATTTTTGTTTTCTATAAACTAAGAAAATACATGGATGTTGAAATGCTTAGAACAATTTATTATGCCTTCTTTCAAAGTGTTATTAGTTATGGTATTATAGCATGGGGTGGTGCTTATGATAACTATTTTACGCTATTAAATACATTACAGAGAAGAATACTGAAAGTAATCAACAACAACTCTTTTGTAATAGACAAAAATCCATTAAGTATTGAACAAATTTATAACTTAGAAGCAATAACTTTTCACTATGAGATCTTAAAAAACAAATATATAAACTCCAAAAGTATTACAAGAAACAAAAACATAATTATACCAAAAAATAGCAAAAGAATAAGTGATAAAGACAGTTACATTAAAGCGATAAAAATTTTCAATCTCTTACCAACTGAATTGAAAAATTTAACAGTGGAAAAGAAAAATTTGAAGAGAACTATCAGGTTTTGGCTAAAGCGGAATACTGTAGCTTAAGTTATAAGTAATTGATCTTTATTTTTGTTTGTATTTATATTTATTTTTGTTTCATACTTCTTAGTTTTTTAGTTTTTAGTTGTTAATTTTTAAGTTAAACCGGTCCGCGTACAGAGCTCTGTCTCTCTGCGGTTTATCATGTATTTCTACATTGTAAATTAACTGGTATTAATAAATAAATAAAATTACCTCTCTACATTTTTGTACACATTTCATAACATCGTCAAGTGTGCCAAAATGTCGTTCATACACTAACCATTCCTCCATAATATACTGAGGCCAGTCTTTTACAGAATTAAGTGCTTTTTGGAACAGGTTTCTTACGGAATTCGCGTCTCCATATTGTTTTTCCAAATTTATAGATTCAAGCCATAACGCATAAGATCCTAAAAATACGGTATATACAGGGTGTCTCAGAAATAAGTGCAAATTTTTATTTTTATTTTCAAAGTTAAATAATTCTGTTATTTCCAGTTATTTTGGAAAATGCTAAATGAAAATATGTTTTTTTATCCAAGATACACCAAATCCTCAAGATACTGACAAAGATAAATCTAACACTAACCTTTATTTTGTGGTTTTCCCAAAATGTGACTCCATATTTTCCTGGCAGCTTTCATGTCGCCCCTGTGCCCCAAAATCCTACTGAAAAGCCTGCCAACTTTGCACTGAGCGTCGTTTTCAAAACCAAGCTGTTGTATGGCTTGATTGAAGAGTTTATCCAGTTTTTCCGGGGATCCCACAACTCTATGAGTATATTCTAAGTATGCTAACCATAGTTCCAATCCAGGAGAAGGTGCGATGTTTGATATACCTTGCTCAAAGCATTCCATAACTTGGTCATCAGATTTTTCCAGCTTTTCCAAAACCCTTAGCTTAAAAATCCAAAGATCCTCACTCCATGGACAGTTTCTCAAAGCTTTTTTACATACGTTCAGTGCCAACGGACCCAGATTAAAAACGTAGTTGCAATAATCCCACCAAAAATCTAGTAAGACAGTTAAATTAAACATTTTGTAATACATGAAAATTAAGTGTCAGGCAAACCTGGTAAAAGACAAAGCTGTACAGCTGCTCTTTCATATAAACAGATAACTGTCGAAGGATCTGTCACTGTTTTTATATAATTTTTATAGGTTTCATACAGTTCTTCATTGGCTTTACATGCCAAAAGTTGCTCTTCAAATGGTTTATAAGTTTCTAGCAGCTTCAGAGCCTTTTTGTACCCATATTCAACCTGTAATATTAAATTTTAAAAGAAAAATATACATAGATTAAATGTAATAAAATATTTACTGGTTTTGGATGCACCAACCCTTCAGGTAGTCCTTTAACCCACTGTTCCCATTCATTATATGTATTTTCCATTTCCAACAGTGGAATAGATAGTTGTCTCTTAAATACATCTACAAGTTTTATTACCTACAACATGACCTAAGTGAACACTAAGACATGTTAATTTGTATTTGTAATCAAATTAACTTATTAAAAAATGTTTTAAAAAAAAACAAAAAAAAAACATGGGGGTGGGGGTCTTTGTTTTAAAACCGATAAATAGAAAATAAGCATCTTTTGTGCACTTTTTTTAGGAGACTTGTAACTATAAAAATATAATAAAGTAATAATGAAAATTTATGTACCGACCTGTTTGTTCCATTCCTCTGAACCTTCTGTATGCGTTGAAATATAAACATTTTCGATTTCCCTTAAGGTATCCCAAAGTAATGAACCTTTATCACAAACTAACCCTGCAGCATTTAACCCCCTTTCAAGTATAGACCTTGTAGTTTCTAATTCACTTGCTCCTATAGAGTACTGTGCATATTCAATCCATAAGTCTACAGCTAAAATAAGAGAAAAAAAATAGATACGACATATTTATCCAAAAAAAAAACCTGTAAATTTTACATAAATAATCTTCAGTAGCTTCGTCAAACAGTTTAAAAATGCCTTTTTGCTGTTCGGGAGTCGTGACCAAAGAAATTTCCGTTTTGATCCAGTCAAGCCATAAGTTGGGCGTAAGAGGAAAGTATTCGTGAAACCTTTTGTAAGCTGCTCTTAAGGAATTTAAATCAGTCAATTTACGGAATATATCGATTAGCTCGACGTGAGAGTCGTATAAATATTTGTTATCCGATATATCGTTCTCAAGTTGTCTTGCTCTATCGAGTAGTTGCTAAAAAAGGCAGAATTAAAAAGGTAGAACTGTTATTTTTGCATCTATATATTTACTTGTTCTTGCGCATCATTTTCGTCATCCAGATCACTTGAATCGGACTCGTTGGAGTTCTCTGGCTCATCGACTTCTATTGAAGAATCACGGTCGCTCATTTCAACCTTTTTCAAGTACAATTTGTTAAGATATCGATAATAAACAATCAAAATAAAAGGCGTTTTAAAAGACGCCAATTTTGACGTTTGAGGTTAAATATTTAAAAAAATAATCTTCTTTTTTTTTGGATGGCGCATTTTTGCAGTGGTGGCAGTGCCTACCTCCTAAGATTTTTTCTATTGGGCAAAATCATATATAAAAATATTTTTATGACTTTGGTTGACGTTTGTAGCCAACTTCAGGATTAAAACCTAACCTAATTTCTTGACCTAATTTTACGTTTTGTCTTCCTCATTCCTCGTTTGGCTTTGATCATGTTTTGATATTTTCAGGTTTTTCTAAGCTATTAAAAGATAAGAGTTTTCTTTTAAGCGAAAATGAGTAACAAGAGATCAAACGAGACGTTGGCCTCTAAAATTGCGGGTATATTATCCGCTGCACCTACACAGTTCAATCCGGACGATGACCATATCGACGATACCTCCGCTAAATTGACGAATTTTGATGATTATAGCGATGATGAAAGCGAAGAGATATTAAGTAAATTTAGAAAACAAAACATCGATTTACTAGGCGATATAGATCAGAAGTATGCGGGGAAAAAAAGTAACAGAAAAAGTTTAAAGGAAAGTTCAGATGAATATTCGGCAAGTGAAGAATGGGATACTGAAGGTAAATATATAACTTATAACAAGAAATATGTATTATGTATTGATGGGGTTTTAGATGATGTAGCTGAAGAAGATGGTAAACAAATTAATAGTGACAGCGAAGAAGAAGATAGTCAACAAGAGTCTGAAAACAGCGACGATGAAGAAAATGGTACGGAATCAGATGGTTCCGAGGTAGCATCTGATGCAGATGAAAATTTCCAACATATAAAAGAAACAAACGAGTCGCAGCAGGTTAAAAAAGGTGTCTCAGTAAGAAATCAAATGAAAATATGGGAAAGTCTACTTGAAGCAAGAATACAACTCCAAAAATGCTTGTCAGCTGCAAATAAACTGCCCCAAGGAGAATATTATAGAGACATGATCAAAGAAAGTGACTTAGAAATGGACTTTAAGAGTAAAATTGTCGATACAAAGAAGAATGTTGAGAATGTTTTAGATAAACTATTATTACTGCAAAAAATAGTTATTAAAAAGTATCCTGAAACCAAAAAATTAGGAAAAGATAATCAAAAAGAGCATATCAAAGAAGACGACGATGATGATGAAGATATCCCTAGTGATACTGATGAAGAAATCAATGAAAATGAAAGTGAATCAGAAACAGATGATGATTCAGAACCAAAAAAGAAGAAAAGAAAGTTCAATGATTTCGAGGTTGATATTGCCGAAATGCATGAAAAATATAAAAGTTACAGGAACGAGACTATTGAGAAATGGAATGCCAAAACTAGACTGTCAATTACTAAAAACGCTGGTCAGGTTCACTCAGTTCTAAACCAAATTGATCATATTTTGAATGATAAAGCAAAATTAAGGAAAAGAACTCAATTGAAGAGAACAGAATTCAAAATCTTGGGAGAAGAGGAAAAAGAGTTAAATAACGAAGATAGTGAGAATGCTAGACAGGTAATGTTTTTACCAAAAAAAAATTGATTCTTACTAAAATGTTCCTTTTTTACAGCCAGAAGAATATAATACAGAGATTTTTGATGACAGTGATTTCTATCATCAGCTACTTAGAGAGCTGATTGAGGTTAAATCAGCTGATATTACTGATCCAGTACAGCTAGGACGGCAGTGGATTCAACTACAAAATTTACGGAATAAAATGAAGAGAAAAATTGATACCAAGGCTACGAAAGGAAGAAAAATTAGGTACACTGTTCACAGTAAGTTAGTGAATTTTATGGCACCTTTGTATCAAGAAACGTGGACCGATGAAGCTAAAAACGAATTGTATTCTTCCTTGTTTGGTAAAATTAAATTGAAAAATAGTTAATTCTATTATAGCTTTATTATTATTAAAATATATGTTTTATTTATGTATTTATCCTAAATCCTCGATTTCTTCTATTTATGACAATGTTTATGACTTTCAATTTAGGCAACCAGTATTACTATAGTTGCGATTTGCGAGTTTCAAATTAGGTAAACAATATTACTATGGTTGCGATTTTGCTGCGATTGTGATTTTGTAAACTAGAACTTAGAACTGTGATAACCTTCTATCTGCTAGTTTGAATTTTTAGGCGTTGCGATTTTCGATTTTGTTGTCAATGAAATTTTATGGTCTTGAAGGCATTTTATAGTAAAATAGTATTTATTTATAGAGAAGGTATTATTTTCTAGGGCTAAGATCAATAATATACCGGGTGTTTCTCAAGAGTGGTTCGCCCCTATAACTTTTTAATTTTTTCTGATAAAAAAATCTAAAAATATCTGTAATAAAACTCGGACAGAGTGTATATACTTCTTTATTTTAATGTACAGTGGAATGGGAATATTTCTTCATTTATTTACAATAATATTTAGCTATATAGTTCAGGCAAATTATTATAAAACCAACCTAATAACCTTATTGTACTTAATACTATAAAAAAGTGGTCATTTTTTGTATGTTTTAATATGTAAGATATATGTAGGTATATTTAGTATCTGTTAACAAGCAACATATGTTTTTTTTCCTTACTATTAATTTTAAACGTTATTTTTTCTTTCTAGTCAACAAAAAATATCTTGCTAATACTGCTAATAGTCCAAAAAAAATATGTATTGAAATACGAAGTTGAAACTTCGTCTTTAAGGCTTATTTTCTTGAACTATAAAGGACCTCTCCAGACTATTTTTTTAAATTTAAATCTTATCAATTATTTGCAGCACCCTTTCTTAGGCCCTTTGCAAGGAAATTAGCAAGTATTTTGATAAACTAGGTCAGGAGACGACGTGATGTTCAAAGTATTTTGTGATATTTTGTAAGTTACACAATATTTTTAAAACTTTTGATATACTGTTACTTTAGTTTTACTAACTCTATATGATTTCTAATACATATTGACAAGAGTACACAGCTTGCCTCTAATTTCTAAGAAAATATATCTTCTAGATTTTTAAAGTAATCTCTAACAAAATTAGCAATAATCTCAGGTACAGCACAATTAATAGTAAAAGTACTTTTTATTTAAAAAAAAGGTAAATGTATACGTACCATAGTGGTATATGATGGAAGCGAGATTTGAGTAAAATAAATTTCAGATAAAAACGTTTGATATATTAATAATCTAACAGCTAAGTTGTTTTTTTTCTGATAAAAACTACGTTTTGACCCTTAACATCTGTTCCCGTACTAACATCATCGTGTTTTAGTATCAATTGTGCAATTCAAGGTCCTTTACATCACATATGCTATACAGGGTGTCTACAATAAAATAAACAATACAAAGAGAAAAATAAAAATGCTGATAATCTTTTTTGTAACTGTCAAATATATTCAAAGAGACTCGTCTGAAGTTAGTCAATGGCAAACGTCAAAAATTCAAGCGTTTGGCATTTCCTCACCGTTCATTTGAACTACTGCAGTTAATTTCGGTTTTTGACACCCTTTAAATGATAAATAACAGATCAATTTAGGTATATTCGCGAAAATGAATCTAATATGAAAGTTTTGAATGTATAGTTTACTGAAAAATAGGAAGGGTATTTTTTGGTATCGTTCCATGGTTCTTTTGTTCGCAGGACCTACTCTCTTATTTTTACATTTTGCTGCGAACTTCGTGCGCTTTCTTTACGATGGCTAGTTTGGAGTGGGGATCTAACACAGGGAGTTCCGTGTAGGGTGGATCTTTGGTACCGTGGAGCATCAAGGACCATTCTTTGAAGAATCCGCTTTGGGGTGTTTCGGAATTGAATTTTACCTGGAATTATAGAAATGTTTTTTAAAAAAAATTGGTGTATATTGTGCTTACGCACCTCTAGTGTCCAGGTACCCTGAGGGTACTCTCCCCACGTGTGGGTGGTCATAAAAGGCCATTTGGAAAAACCATCTCTGGAGTCGTCGTCGTTTTGTCTTCTACTCAAAATCATCGATCTGAAAAAGAAAGAAAATGTGTCTCATAAAATTGCAGATTATGTAAAAAGGTCTCGGCCGTATTACTGGTTGCATATCTACAAATTTAACTTTCAAATTAGCGACACAATCGAAATTAGAGTTTCGAATCATATGCCTTTTAAAATGAAAATATCCCTTTGAAAAGACAATCATTTTATGCAATTAACAGGAAAGGAAGCATTTTGAGCATTTGATTTCATCTAGCTAATTTTTGTCACATAAATTATAGGTTTATATCTAGTTTTAATTCTGTAATAATTAAAATATGTTTTAAACATGTATCCTTTTAATACCGTTGAGTATTTTACTCTACTTTATATTTTTTTATCTTTAATTTTTGTTAAATTAACAAAAGGTATATCACACAGCCACTTAGATTTTTTCACATAATAAAAATATACTGACGCAAAATCACAAAAATTAAAATATCGAGGAAAATATTTGGGGTATATACATCCCCCATTAACCACCGAAAAAATATACTGGGCGTTCCATTTAAAATAAAGGAGTAACTTGCTTTTAAAAGTGACCATATATTTTTTTTGTCTCACCCTCTATAAATTTTCAGGTCAAATTTTAATTTGGTTTAACATATAATGGTTACTGTAATTAAATATCAAGCTATACAAGGTCAACAAAAATTTAGATAACTGTTATCGAAATTTAAAATTTACTCTTCGTTTTCACAAAATGTGAAATATGTCAAAATCCTTACATTTTAGGTATATGCTTCTTTAATAAAACTTACGTTAATTTTTTTCCTAGAATCCGAAAATCAATTAATATATAGGGTGTTCCATTAGAAAAAACACAACTTTAATGTGTAACTTTTTTTGGGGACACCCTGTATAATTCTATATATCTTTATAAAATGCTTTCAGTTGACCTACATATGCTGCCAAAATTTCATTTCGATATAAACTCCGTTCTTCTTGGTTAGGCGTATGAGAGGCGCCACCCTGAATATAATATGATCTGGGGTAAAGACCTTTGGTATAGACCTAGTTCAAGGAACTAGTCTTCTGGAGGAACTAGAACTAAGGAACTAGTTCCTCCCAAGGAACTAGAATTCCTTCCTCTAAGTTAAAATACGCCTTTATATTTTATTTACTGTTTGTGTCTTACCTTGTGCCCATAGGCGATGTCAAGAACAGTTCGACATCTCCACGTCTGGTGGAGTTCAAGGTTATCACAGCTTGCACGTGTTCCAAGTACCGCACTTCCGTACTGTCGCCTTTGCATGCGTTTGTTGTTATTGATAACATCACCGAATCTTTGGATGGAATTTGCCTGAAAATATGAAGAAATGAAAGTTTAGCGAATTTGAGAATTTCAATTTCTTCATGCTAAAATTTCCAACATAATAGCTTTAGTGCTTTCCATTCTCAAATCAAAAGAGGAAATTTACAGCCACTCTTATGCTGGAAGTACACTCTCGCCGAGGGGACCCGAGACATTGCGCAAAAACACACCAATAAAATTTTCCAGTACATAAATAAATACATTCTGAAGAATAATTTTGTAAAAATAAAAACAATCAGGCGCTCAACGAGATAAATTTAATAACTTTTGGGAAAATTTGGGCAAAAATTTTTCTTAAATCCAATTTAAAACCGATCTGAAAGTCGAGAAAATATAAAAAACCAGTGAAATCCACAAAATCAAATTGCATGTATTAGTTTCAAACAGAAAAAGATAAATCCGCCTGTGATTATTTTTGTTTTCATTGTATTTTTGGTATTTTATAGACACATACTCATCTACGCTTTGTTTTTGATCCTTGGCGCGTTTTTTTATTTTAACTAATGAATGTTTATATTAGGTTGGCAGTTATATATTTGAATTTGAAGACTTTCCATCAAACTGAATGAAAAACATCGTGCATAGCTTTTAATAGACGTGTTTTTCTTTCTTAAACGGCCCGGAAAGTGACCACTAAAGAATCTTTTTTTTTTTCTATAGTTCTCTTAACAGATTTTTCGGTACTTTGACTAAAAACGACTGTATTAATTATATATTTATATTTTAATAATTTAAATACCGAAAATAGGCGTCAACTCGAAGGCAGTTCAGAAGACGAACTAAGGAATGCCGAGATCTCCCGAGAGCACCGTGTATATTTTCGCGGGACCTCCTACTTAACGCTTTCGCCATAGAGAAATATAGAATCTGTTGTGTCTCCCGTCTCCTTTGACTTGTGCTGGAGACCGCTTCTAGACCGAGCGCTCCCGAGACGAGGCGAGAGGCACCGAGGCAAGACGAGAGCCCCAAGTACACAATCGCCTTGTCTCGCCTCGGGTCTCCCCGGCGAGCGTGTACTTGATACAAAACGTTCAGAGTGCGAGGCGAGAGCCCCAAGTACACACTTGCCTCATCTCGGCGAGTGTGTACTTGCACCATTAAATTTATGGTAACTTACCTCAATTCCGAGACGGACCCTGCTTCGCAGTGGTACCTTGGCGGTACCGTTTTCCACTGCTTGGCCAGCGCTACCATGGCGCCGGCGTCAAGTACACCAAAGCCGAACAGATGGTTGAATTCCAGACCAACTCCGTTCATGGTCCAATGGAAACGACCTTTGGCATCGAAAAGGGAGTTCCTTTTTGACGTTAGTACCGTGAGATGCTGAATATCCCTCCACGTTAATTTATTACTAAGTACATAAAAAGAAATTGCGTTAGTTATTATTAAAATCATTAAAGTATTGGAACCTACAAGGTGCCTTTCAACCCTCAATTGGCGTGGTGGGGTCCAACGGACCCCAAGCACTATTTAAACCTCTGCAAAATGTTTACGTTTAAGAATTTGGTCTTGCCGCGCCATTTACCTTTAAGTTAGGGTACCAATATGCAACTGTTAAAGTCGCACTTGATTTTATCAAGTATTGTTCCTACCAGCGGGGCTAAAATTTCATTGGGGTCTGTGTGGCACCACTACGCCAAGAGTGTTTCATTATTAAGATGGTGGGTAGTCTAAAAGTGTGCCTCACTAGGACGCTAATTTTGGCAAAGCATTAATTGAGTGGTTTGATGAACTTAAAGAGGCATAAGTGAGATGAAGATCATCGAGACATTGATTTTCCTCCGAAGAGTAACCATAACTCCTATTTTGAATATCTTACTTATAGAAGAGAGAAAATTGAATAATCAATACCAGAAAAGAAAGAGATGTGGTATATGGCAACAATATGTCAATAAAGAAATGACAAAAAAACAAAAATCTCATGAATCAAATGTGCACGATCCATGTGTGGCAAATGCAGATCCTATATTAGCATGAACTGTATTTGAAAAAATTATGTACATTCAAGGTTTGCAGTTTTGTTGAAAATAATTTATGTTTATTATTTTAGCTTCACATTTCAGTTGTTTGTACTTTTAATAATACGGTAAAATCATAAAATATATATGTTTTTAATTTCTATGGGTTTCTTAGCCAAGTTATATTTCTGTTGTCAAAAGTTCCTAAAAAATGCGTTTTACTTTACTTTTGTATCCGTTTTTGTTAATTTGTTGAAAATTAATGAAATTGTTTGTTCACAAGTTTGAATATATTGTAAACAGTGTTAAAATAACAAGCTTTTTTTAAAATCTCTTCATCATGTATTTTTAACTGAAAAAAAATAGCACAGCACGCCATAAGCGTTACAAAAATTCACGACGCCAGTTGAGGGTTAAATAAGAACAAGTATTTTAAAGGGTGGTAGTTCTCGACACAAGGAACATATTTTCAATTTACCATTTTCTAAATTAATTGAAAATAACCGAGCTATTTAGCTTTGAAAATTAAAAAAAAAAATAATGCTTTAATTTTGAGATCCATCACTTTATTCGAAGCCCTGTGTTGCCTTTTATATGTTCAACATAGTTGGGAAATAATAATATACTTAGGAAATAAAATATACTTGGGAAAAAAAACGAATATGATTGCTGTTCACTAGTAAAATTAAAAATTGAAAACTACTGAATAAATATAAAAAAATCTCAACAAATACAGGGTAGCGCACCTTTCAGTAAAGTTTATTTCTTTACCTTTAAACTCAGCACAAGAATTAATTCTGAAAAGTAATGTACAAGGTGTTAATAATCTATTCTATAGTAGCTTGCAAATTTAAATATCTTTAAATATCTCAAAAACCAAAGATTTTAAATATATTTAACTCTTATAATAAATGCCTTTTTTTGGGCCCACGAATCAAAAAATGCAATAAAATACCATAAGAAAAAATATAACTTTGGTATGATTCTTAGTTCTGAAACACCCTGTATATTTCAAAATAATTTTAAATTGTGCACATTGTCTCGCCACATATACCCATAAAATATTTTGTTTCTACATCTTTCCGTTTTCGTATAATCAACCGAGGCGAATGAGGTGCGCCACCCTGTATAAGTAAGATGTGTAAATTATGGACCTACTTGGCTTCTAAAGCTAGTGCAAATACTCCTGCGGCTTCTGGTGCGGCTGCGCTTGTTCCCGAATGCGTCGTGGTACATTTTCCATACAAATCTGTCGTAGCCTGTAAATGAAAGACTAATATTATTGCATGGGATTAGTTTTTGATTTGATTCTTTGCTTGAAGAACGTATTGTACTCCGTGAAATTAAAATTTAAAATTGAAAACAATATATCTCCAGGTTTTCCAGTCTTGTCGTATCCACAATGTGAGATTTTTCACAATCTTATGGTATATGATACATTTTTCTTCTGTTGAATACGTTTTGTTTTGTTTTTATCAAGACGTGCCTCAAGGTAATGATAACTTTGAAGCCAGTTCTACTACTATGTATAATATTAAGGTGCGTTTTTACAAGTCAAATCAACTGATCAAGTCAGTTGAATTCATACCGCATACATATACATACATACTGCCATTACTCGCTGACGAGTATTTGACACGCATCAGAAAATGGTCACACAAGGCGTTTTCTTTCATGAGCTTTTCTGTGACTGAAAAGCCCGATACGTGATGTTATCTGCCTACCGCACTCCGCACATTCAAAAATCTCATTGCTTTGTTGTTGATAAAAATCTCATTGCTTGACACACTTAATAAATCATATGCGAAAATGTCAAAAGTTGACATATGATGTGGTGCCATTTAAAAATGAAAACTTGTAGTCATTTCCGGTGAAACAGGAAGAATACATCAATCAATCCTGATTTTTGTCATATACCAACATTCCAAATTAAGTTCTAAATAAATAATGTAAATAGTAATAGTATAGTCGTCATATCTTAGTCATTAAATTAAAGGGATGGTATCAATCATTATTCAAAGTCCATTATTGTCAGTATTTTTTAGAAGAAATAAATATTTTTTCGTTTAAAGCTATCCTTTATTCCTGATTAATGAATACTAAGGACCAGAGTAAAAAAAACCGTACGAAGCAATCTCTTAACGATCTTCTTCCTCTTCGAATTCTATCATTTCGCATTTACTTTTGTAGTTGATTAAATATTTACAAATGATCGAACAAGTTCAATCAAGCAAAAACGATACCGAAGATAGACTAAGAATTTCCTTAAATGTGATTTAACGAAACGAGTTCTCTCGTTTATCGATCAATTTGCTAATGCTCTAAATTGAAAGAGAATGAAAATTATTTCCACGATTTTAACACGTTTTGAAAGAGGCATTTTGATGCGTATTGAACAAAAATTACTGAGTACCGAAAGAATCGGGAAATCCCGGTTCCCAAATGGCGCGATACCGGAATTCCCTGTTCCGAAAACCCTAGAGGAGATATACCTTCTGCAACGTTAAGCATTTTTTGTCGGTTTTTGATTTTCATAACCTTGCAATCTATGATTATCATTTATTTGTTTTAATGTTACACGGCTCACACTAAGAAAGTTCGCAGTAATAATCTTATACTAACGGCTAACAAAGGTTAGTCTTGGGTCGATATATCCGTATGTAAGAAGAGTACAATGCCTTTATAATGTACTGAACAAAGAGAAAACAGTAAACATGTTGCCAAATGTTGAAATAAACCGAGAAACTGTGCACATTGCTAAGAGACGTAGAAAGGGGTATAGCAGATTTGCCGCAGAAGTAAATCCCAATTAGTACCTCTGTCAGTACTTAAAGTTCTACGGAAAGGTGTACATCATGCGTTCAGCTTCACGATTTAATTACGTCTCGTGATATTTTATTTGTTTATTTATTAACGAGTCGTTGTAATTTTCCCTATAGCTTGAAAAGTGCAAGTTAGAAACACTCGCATTTTTTTGTAAAAATAAGTGGAATTGAGTTGGTGTTCGATCGTGGTCGCGCTATTAGAACTCTGAATTCAAAAATCGATATCTCGAAATCTAGTAGAAATAGTTGATTGTAGTTTTTTTTTAATTTTCTTAATATTTCGCAGACAGTATGTGAAAATTTTTATAAATAAAAAAGTTACACGGTTGCTGAAAATTGATATGCAATAAAAGTGTTGGGTTGTTTAAAATTTTTGAATGAAAAAAAAACAACCGTATTGAATTTTTCTTATTTAAACATATTATAAAAGATCTGCTCTTCAAAATAAAAAGAGAGTTTCAATATCTAAGTGGTTCTTAAGTTATAGCGTGTTGTGTTAAAAAGTAGAGTTTTTAAATTATCTGACGTTTTCTTTTTATAAAAAATGGAGACCCTAACGATATCCTTACAATTCCATTTCAGATGCTCAAAAACATATCTAATGATTTTATCTAGTTATCTTTTCGAAAAAAAGTCTTTTAAAAATAAGCGGTTTGCAATCGTGATTTTACTTTACTCGACAGAAAAAGGCGTACCGGCAACGCCGCAACAACACGCCGTTCGACTTAATAAGATTTACTTCCACACATGTAAATACCGACCCAGAAGTAACAGTTGCCAGCACGGTATTCGCATTTCTATGGTATTCTAATCAAATTCTAAAATTAACTTAAAATTAAATTCTGTGCCTTAAACTCGCATCACAGATAGTCTTGAGATTCTGCGAAGTGCGCTTTCCGACAGCATAAATATGCAAATGTCTCACGACTCTGTACGCCAAAGCGGGCGAGCATTCGTTTGTGAAATAGACGGTTGTTTTCTTTTTAGACTCGGTTCGAACAGAACAAAGACATGGAAATGCAATATAAATACCGTAGGAAACGTTTTCTAATAGTTTTTACTTAAAATAAACGGAAAGTTTATTATTTGCTTGAGTTTTTTTATTTAGTACAATATTTTTAGTTAGAAATCAAAAACCTACATCGATTAGATTGTATGAAGTGGCTTTTGGGACCATTCCATTGCGATCTTTTCACAGCCATTTTGTTTTTTTTGTCTAAGTTGCATTTTGCAGTCTTGATTAAATCTGAAACCAAGAGTGTCCTTTTTTCCTTTCCAATTCCTTAGTAGCCTTAGTAAATTCGTTGCATTACCTAAGTTATCTTCGCAACTTTGACCACGTCCCAGAGGTCCCTGTTCTAAGTTTTGCTTGACTGACCGCGGTATATGTATGTACAGGTTGTCCCACTAAGAACAGCTCTCGGCTGTATCTCGGAAAGTATTAGCCGTAGGTCCTACGGAAAAAAATGTTTATAACTAATGGGGCTATGAGAAATTGCTGCAAATTATTTTCAAGTTTGTAAAATGGCTGCTAGGGGGCGCAACTGCTTTGGAAAATAAGAAAATAGAATTTTTACAGAATTTTGCCTAGATAATGGATACTATAAATAATAGCTTCGTAATCTTCAGTAAATTTTGGATTTTTTTTGTAGGAACCATTTTTCCCTATCTGCTAAAATAAAGTGGCGGGGAATGGTTAGATCTATCTTTATTTAAATGTTAATAACTCCGGACTGGATGATCAGAATCCAACAAACGAGGGTTCGTTTAAAAGAGCGTTTCTTACTCTATATTATACCTTTAAAATAATAATAATAAGGTTTTGAACGTAGACGCTAGGGGGCGCTTTCTTACAATTTAACAAACATGGCGCGTTTTTTCAAAAAAATTAAATACGATAGTATCTGTAATTTTAGCTGATAATAAAGAGTAGTAAAAGCTTAAAAATTCAGCGTAAACCGCATCTTGATATCTTCTTTCAAACCGAAGATATTAGCAAAATTATAATAAATACCAAAAATAAACCCTTAATTACCTTATTTTTACAATACGGTATCAGTAGCCCTCTTGATTATGCCCATTCTATCAAAAAAAATAAAATATAAACAGTTAGTTTATTTTGAAATCGACGAAATACCAAAATACCATAATACCAGATGTATTAATATCTAATAATTAAGATATTAATAACAGTGAACAAGAAACGATGATTCAGTGAAATCATGGTGGGCTTTGGGAAAAAGTTGCTTTTGACGTAACAGTATAAACGTCAAATTGTTATTAGATCAACATTTTGATAGTCTTTTATCTTTTATTTTTCAAAATGCCAAAAACTTCAACTACTTCAAATAATAAAGGCATTTTGAAAAAGTAATTAAAATATAAAAAAATGCTGCTAAGACTATCAAAATGTTGATCTAATAACAGTTTGAAGTTTATACTATTACAAAAGCCTTTTTCCAAAGCCCACCATGACTCTCACTGAATCATGATCGTTTTTTTCACTGTTATTAATATCTTAATTATTAGATATTAATACATCTGGTATTATGGTATTCTCCTGTATTTCGTCGATTTTAAAAATGAACTAACTGTTTTTTTTGTTAGAATGGGCATAATCAAGAATACTACTGATACTGATTTATTATAATTTTGCTAATATCTTCGGTTTGAAAGAAGATATCAAGATGCGGTTTTTCGTTGACTTTTTAAGCTTTTACTACTCTTTATCAGCTAAAATTACATATACTATCGTACTTAACTTTTTTGAAAAAACGCGTTATGTTTGTTAAATTGTAAGAAAGCGCCCCCTAGCGTCTACGTTCAAAACCTTATTATTATGATTTTTATGGTATAATATAGAGTAAGAAACGCTCTTTTAAACGAGCCCTCGTTTATTGGATTCTGATCATCCAGTCCGGAGTTATTAACATTTAAATAAAGATAGATCTAACCTTCCCCCACCACTTTATTTTAACAGATAAGGGAAAACGGTTCGAACAAAAAAAATCAAAAATTTACTGAAGATTATGAAGCTATTATTTATAGTACCCATTATCTGGGCAAAATTCTGTAAAAATTCGATTTTCTTATTTTTCATAGCAGTTGCGCCCCTGAAGCGGCCATTTTACAAACTTGAAAATAATTTCCAGCAATTTCTCATAGCCCCTTTAGTCATAAATATTTTTTCCGTAAGCCCTACGGCTTAATACTTTCGAGATACAGCCGAGAGCTATTCTTAGTGGGACACCCGGTACATAACTACCTTAATCAACTGTCCAAAAACTGGTTTTGGTAAATTCAGAGAAATTTTCGGCGCTGCCTCTTAGACTACTAGATCAATTATCATTTATCAATTTTTTGGCATTATTTTTATAAGTTTCAATTTTGACTTTTACGTCAGATGGATATTTTTACGTAAGAGACACCTATTTATAAATCTGGTCTAGATTTGAATAAGAAAACTAAGGAAGGAGCATATCAAACATCTTAGGTACACCGCGATGGGCCTCAAATATGGCCGACTTAAATTCCGGTTTATCAGTGTCGTTCTAATTTTATTTATAAAATGTAAAACTATGATGTAGGGTAGACGTGGGGTAGACTCAATAATTTGTTGTTTTATTTTACGTTGTGAATAAATGTTGGTAGTTATTAAAATTGTTATAAAAATATATAATTCTAATAAAAATAGATAAGTTATAATAAGTATTTGTTACCACAAACATCCGATACGCTACTGAAGCAGGTAAGTCAAATTAACGTATCTAAATTTTTTGACATCTAATCTTTGACAAGTAATAAATAAAAGCTAAAATGCAAGAAAAATATATAATTTAGTTAATTTAAGTGAATTTCATAAATGATCGGTTTACTACACGTATGTATATTATATAGTCACTTACTAGCGAAAAGTTGTTCCATTATTTCACTCAATTTTTGCCGAGATCTACCGCACGCTACACAACCAACTATTTTAGAGTTTTTCGATAAATCGCGATAGTGTCACTGTTAATTTAAGTTCTGCCACAATTTCCATCTAGATTTACTACCTTTATACAACTATCCGTAGTAGAATAAATAATAAATAACATAAAATAAGCTCCGTAAAGACTGACAAATCCACAAAATTTCAAATCAAATTCAAATGTGTCAAATGAATCGTCAAACAGAACTGTCAAGGATCCCCACCCTAGAGTGCTTTTTCTGCCCACCATGCATGAATACATGGATAGCATTATGCTCCTTGCTTAGTCTTCTTATTCAAAGCATTAGATCAATTATCAATTATCAATTTCTGGCATTACTTTTATAAGCATAGATAAAAGAAAATATGGATGGATATTTTTACGTAAGAGACACCTATTTATAAATCTGGTCTAGACGATTTTTTTCATTAATATTGTAATTAACAAAACTGTTGTTATAGTATATTGACTGTTTACGATCAAACTCGATTACTTTACACCCACTAATATGTGGAGGTGTGAAATGCGTTACGCACATTTTAAGATACTGAATATCGGTTGTTCACGTCAACAAACATCCCAAATTTGAAATCGAATCTTAAGAATTGATATACAACTATGACAAAAGAATATTTAGTTTTAATCAATGTCTAATATTATTAACTAGCGTGTGCCAGCGACTTCGTTCGCGTCGAATTAATCATTTGTAATGGTGATGATAAAGCAAAGCAAAAATTTCCATTAACATACAAACTGGAGAAAATTTTCTCACATTTATGTCAGCATGAGAAAAAACAATATGCCGATATTATCATATAACTTGTAATATTTGAGGGGTAGTTTCATCTCGTTGGAATTTGACTTTCGAAAAATCCGTTTGCCAAAAATAAGCTTTTTACGTCAAGTAGTTTAAGCAGAATCGTCGTGGTTAAGAAATTACCCAACTTTTTGGAACACCTGTATGATTTTTTAAAAAATTTCAAAATATATAAAAAAACCAAATAAATTATGCTTGTCCAAGCGTTTTTCCGAAAGACTAACCGTTTTTTAAATAACAAATATTGTAATATTTGAGGGGCGTTTTCACCCTCTTGGAATTTGAGATTCGGGAAACCCCTCCTTATCGAACCTCTGCACCCCACAGTCAATCCGTTTGCCAAAAATCAGCTTTAAACGTCAAGCAGTTTAAGCAGAATCGTGATTACTCAATGGTCATATTTTATGAAACACCCTGTATAAATTTATAAAAAATCTTAAAATATGTAAAACAACAAAATAAAATACACGTGTTTAAGAGTTTTTCCGAAAAACTCACCGGTTTTTAAATAAAAAATATTTTAATATTTGAGGGATAGTTTCACCTCCTTAGAATTCGAGTTTCGAAAAATCCCTTCTTATCGAACCTCTACACCCTAAATTCAATCTGTTTTCCAAAAATCAGCTTTTTTCGTCAAGCGCTTTAAGCAGGATCGTGATTAATCAATGACAAGATTTTTCGAAACATCCTGTATACATTTTTAAAAAATCTTAAAATATGTAAAAAAAAACAAAATAAAATATACGTGTTTAAGCGTTTTTTCGAAAACTTGACCGTTTTTTAAATAAAAAATATTGTAATATTTGAGGGGTGGTTTCACCCTCTTGGAACTGGAATTCCGAAAAATCCCTTCTTATCGAACCTCTACACTCTAGAATCAACCTGTATGCCAAAATTGAGCTTCTTACGTTGAGTGGTTTGAGCAGGATCGTGATAACATAACACGAGATGTAATTAACGAAATATCATCGTAACAACAGCTATTTTAGAAACGTCTAGGTTTATTTATTTCACTGAGATTTATGAAAAAAAATCCTTTGCCTCCGATACAGATACCGCCACGTTTTGGAAGAGGCGACAAAAAGCGCCAAAAAAAAATCCCCCCTCGCTCTCCTCAGTTTTAATGCGCTTTTAAGAATCGAAAGTAGGTCGAGGTAAAGCGAAGACAAGACAACTGGAAATAAATCGAAATGATACAAAGTTGGGCAACGAAATGCGACCTTGACATGTTTCGGGTTGCTTCTAGCATAGTGTGTACGCTGTTTTAAAAGTTTCTCTTAAGAAAAAATGAAATATGTAAAAAAGAACTTACCACACCGGTGTTTGGATCTTTGGCACCATTACTGAACGTACTAGCCAGTGTACTGGAACAGCTCTCATCGTAGTGCGCATTCTGGCCATCGTTGATAGCGCTGTTGATGCTCACAGTCCACATACTAGCTGCGTACCCGTCACAGTTACAGTCGTCATCTTCACCACCGTCTCCGCTAGCCCAGACGTAGATGTTGCCTAACCCGTTTCTACCCTAAAATAAAGAAAAAAAAATTGGTCGCTCTTAAGGCTGCCTGACTATCAGATAAGGTGGCTATTTTTTTTCCGATAGCTTCTATCTAATGAAAAAAAGATAAAGTTTTCTTATTACTGAACACGGTTCCTAAAAAATTCGGTTATAACTGTCATCAAACTAACCAGCGCGAGAAGGCTGTTTTTTCTGGTTTTGTTTGTCAATCAATATGTCATTTATATGACAAAAATCAGACAAAAATCAAGCAAATATTGGAAGTTCGGGTGAAATTCTCATATAATTTCTAAAATTTGTATATAATATTTTGTATTTACATCTAAAAGCAATGGAGGTAGGCAGTAAAGGTAAATACATTTCATTAACTAAATAGAATGACTTTTAGGACCATTTAAACTTATCGTGCAGCCATTGTTTCTAAAGTCAGGAAAATTTAAAGAAATTTTGAACAAAAAGGATGGCCAGCAAGAAAAAAATATTTTTTCTTTAAAAAAGCAGTGGTGTACCATTTATGTTAAGCAAAAAAATCGATTTTTTTTTAATTTTAACACCCTGTAGATCTAAAAGGAAGTACTTGAGACCTAATGGTTATATAAAAATTGTTTTAAGAACACATGAGGAATCACACATATTTTTTTAGACTAATTCGAAAACACCCTGTATATTGTCAACTTGACAATGACTGCTGATAAATCAAAAAATACCTTTTCAGTGAAAAAAGCCTGATTTTCGCAGGAAAAATTTTGATTTTTATTGAAATTGGGCCTGCGTTTGCAAATACTGGTTTGTTTTTTAATTTTCTATCTATTTAAATTTTAAATATCATAGTCAGAAATAGTTTTATTATTTATTAACTGTAAAAATGGTGTTTTCTTGTTGTGTTGCATCTTGCAAAGAAACTAACAAAACTGCAAAAATGTACGTGTTTCCAAAAGACGATAAGGTATCTTAGATAAAAGAAAAATATATGGTATGTATATTGGTTGATTTTTTTTCGTTCGCTTTAAAATCTTTAAATCACGGTCTATTCATTAGACAGCTAGTCGACATTTACATGAAACTCTGTAAAATAAATAAACAAATAAATTGTAAAATATATATATTCTTATGTTTTATTAAAGTTACTCTGATATACTAATATATCAGTGTAACTTTAAAAATAAATCCTTTGAATTCAAATATAAACATAAAAAACATTTACAGCAGAAAAGGCGAAGGCGCTGGGTTAAACGTAGTCTTCACTAAAAACACGGAGGGGCGCTTTGACCCAAAATTTTACTATTAAGTTTCATATCTATCTTAATTGTAGATTATTTTCTTTTATCTATGGTTATAACTGTCATCAAACTAACCAGCGCGAGAAGGCTGTTTTTTCTGGTTTTGTTTGTCAATCAATATGTCATTTATATGACAAAAATCAGACAAAAATCAAGCAAATATTGGAAGTTCGGGTGAAATTCTCATTTAATTTCTAAAATTTGTAATAATATTTTGTATTTACATCTAAAAGCAATGGAGGTAGGCAGTAAAGGTAAATACATTTCATTAACTAAATAGAATGACTTTTTAGGATCATTTAAACTTATCATGCAGCCATTGTTTCTTAAAGTCAGGAACATTTAAAGAAAACATGAACAACAAGACAACAAGTAATCGTGAATGTTTTGTAAGCTATAAAAATATAAATATTAATTAGATTTGTTTATTTATTATTGATCTGTTTTAATATTGGACTTGCAAATCTTCACTTGAGCTGTATAACGAGTTTAACAGTTTATTAATGAAGTACTTTTCAATATTAAACTCCATTGAAAAGAAGAAGCAAACGTAAAAGCAGAGAACAGGTACATTAAAAATGCATAAAAGATAAATTTTATAATAGAGGTATTGAAATTTAGAAAACGTCAACATTTGACGTTTCCAGTATTTTACCAAACCGTTCCGTTTTTCAGGAACCGCTCTTTACCGTAGTTTACCGGTCTGATTTGCCTGGTTTTGCAACGGAATACAGCCAGGCTTTTATTTTAATACCCCAATTTAATTACGCATGTGTCTTTTTATTGAATTTTATGCAATGCATGTAGTTATTTATTTATTAAATCCATTAACATTGTTTTCCAGTTTCTATATAATGTAAATTCGATTAAATTTATATTTATGGCTGTGTTTGCGAGAGGTTCAATAATACCCACAATATTATGCGGATTTAATCTGTCAGACACAGCAGATGGCGCATATATATTCCAGACATTATTTTACGGTTTATGTGCTATATTCAGTCGCCAATTTATTATAATACATAAATACACTAGTCGACTTTATATATTACCTATGGGTTATATATTAAGTCCAGTGGAGGCGCGTGTGGTGGCGCCAGAGTACTTTAAACGTTTTTAAATTTAAAAATAAAGTTTCACGCGACAAACTCTATAACTAAATAGCGATCGGTGGCGATGAAGAATACTGTTTTTGGCTATAGAAACTAAATGGCAAGTGTGTTTTATGGGATTTCTCGTTTATGATTAGAGACACAATGATGTCATTTTCACTTTACTTTGCTACTTTTTTATGAAACTAAATATGTTACACATAGGGTTGTCCTAACCTCCTTGGTTCCTGAAATACAGGGCGAATTTGTGATGCGCAGTAGTGAACAGATGTTGAATACAGATATGGGGATGCGCAGTAGTGAACGCAACGTCTACCGGTGGGCCAAGCATCTCACGCCACTCAAACGTGGAGCGCAAAAGACTGTCATTTGCACCCAGCACAGCCTTTTAAAAATTAATTATCATTATTGACAATATAGCTACAGACATGTACTACAATTAAATAACATCAATATAATAAATTTGAAACAAGTTGTTATAACATACACCGGAAAAATCTAAGGATATCATTTTATTAAAGTTAAAAATAAATGTTTTGAACAAACAACCACATATTTGTAGGCCGATTTTTTCTACTTCGATTGAAACGAAGTAGTCACACTAGTTATTTCTAAATTTGGGATATTTGCAGAAGTGTTTGTGCATTTTTTGTCAAATGTATAAGAAGCACCTTTCATCAATTGTTCGAATTTAACCTGTACTGGCTATGTTTTTATGATAACTGGCCAGAATTAATTCAAATAACTCTGTTTAGTATTAAACAATATTATGGAGCGTAGACATCTTAACAGAGACGAAATGCTAAGGGCCATGGGTATGGTCGAAGCTGGAAGGCGCCAAATCGACGTAGCTAGAGCATTAAATACAACGCAAAGTGTAATATCGCGATTAAGTGCACGCTACCGTGCGAGTGGTGATGTTGCTGAAAGGCACACAGGGCGGCATCGCATTACTACCCCTCAGCAAGATCATTTTTTACAATTAAATGCTCGACGCCGACCGACTCTTACAGCACCAGAGCTTAGTTTATTTCTCCAGGAAACACATAATGTAACCGTTAGTCCTGACACTGTTCGCAATAGATTAAGAGAGGTCAACTTAAGACGCCCCTGGAGAGCTCAACCCTTAACGAGAGGGAATCGAGAGGTACGATATTTGTGGGCTCATGATCATGTTCAGTGGTCGAATGAACAATGGGCCAATGTTTTCTTCACGGATGAGTCACCTTTGGAATTCATCCGGATTCGAGAAGGCTTAGGGTATGGAGAGAACCGGGAAATTTTATTCGGTTTGATCATGTTCAGGAAGTGCACCCTTATCAAGGTGGAACCGTTATGGTCTGGGGAGGAGTCCTGTTAGGCCGAAAAACCGATCTCGTTTTTCTTGAAAGGTTTCTAACAGGAATCACATACCGTGATTTAATTCTTGAGCCTGTCGTGTTACCATATGCCAATGATTTTTGGAGAAACTTCATTCTCATGCATGACAATGCACGGCCTCATACAGCCAGAGTGGTAAGTGAGTTTATCAATGCTCATCAATTAAACATCTTACCTTGGCCGGCACAATCTCTTGATCTCAACCCCATCGAGCACGTATGGGACGCGGCCCAAAGAAGAATTTTGAGAATGGGTATGGCTCGTGAAACTCGTAGGGATCTGGTTCGGGCCGTGAATGCAGCGTGGCAGGCTGTACCTCAAGAAGAGATCGACAACCTGCTCAGGAGCATGGAGAGACGATGTAGGGCTGTAATGAACAGTACAGGAGGCCATACCCTTTATTAAGTAAAAATGGTTTTATCTTTTTTTTTAATTCACAGTTTAGAATAAAAAAAATGTGTATATTTTTGTGAGTTCAATAAAAATCAAGGTAAATTTGAAAAATTCGGTAAATTTCGCCTTTTTACTTCCAATACGTCCTGTAAACTATTTGTTTATTTTAATTTTATTATATCAGAAATGCAAATAATAAAATTACTGATGATGGCTGGATAAAATTGTAATATCCCTAGACTTTTCCGGTGTGTGTAAATTGAAAACAATATTTTTTTCTACAGATCGATGTAGGTAAGTTCAATATATTTTTTCCATAGCAACTGTTAAAATTGCCTTATATCTATCAAAAACAGTAGGTAGATAAAATAGTACTTTAACCGCAAGGGTAGATTAAATGATAATTTTAACAGCGAGGATAGGTTAAAAATTTTATTTCTTCTCGCACGTTTTTTAATTGTTTCCATTTTTGAAAATTTTTGTATTCCTTTTCATAAGTTATTCGGGATTTAAATGGAAGTAGTTTGGATATGGCGTGTGTCGCCTCAGCCTGAATATCTGTTGGTAATTTACTTATTTCGTTTTGAGCCATTTCTGGCTCCAATTCGATCAGCAATCGACGCGAAAGAGAATTAAAAAATATTGACTCAAAACTGACAACTAAAGAGACAGCTTTATTTATTTGTCAAATTGCCTAGAAACCAACGCCAACCCAGCACAATATATTTTCTACTCGTAATAAATTCCTTGAAATAATAATTTCTGAATATTTTTTAAAACGTAACTCGTTATGGAAAAAAATATTAATTATTGACCACAGCTTTGTTGTCGAGACCATTTACGTTAAGTAATTCTTTCAAGTAGCTTAAAGTATGTGCAATTGGTACGCTTGAAAACTTACTTCTAGAAAACATTTTATTTTTAGCAAAAAGTTTTATCCTATTATTTAGTATTCAATAAACAATTCTATTTAAGTTTAATAAGACTGTTTTAATCTCAAGTAATAACGACAATAAAAAGGATATAAACGCTTTTTAACAGAAGCTGAATTAGGAATTATAAGCATAATGCTTAATACCAATTAAGCATCCCCCAAACGTTAAAAGTCTGAAAAGCCCTATCAGTCTCCATTTTCTTCACTAATTAGCTTCCATTGTGCCTTTAGCTGATTGAATTAAACTGAAAAAAAAACAAGCGAGTAGGAGGGTATTCAATGGAAATATAAATGGAGCTATTTGAGATAAATAAGAAAAGATGATGTTGGGTAGGCAGCGAAAGATGTCGCGGCATATCGTTTAAGCGCTCTGTTTGTTGATTAAAATTATAATTGAGCAATGAGGAGTTGATAAAATTAGATGGTTGTTTGTTTTCTAGCTAGTCTTAAAGGTCAGCTATTTTTAGAACTAAAAATTACATAATACGGCTGTTTTAAAATAAAAATATCTTCTTTTAGAGCTCGAACACACTGACGGCCAGGGCGCACCGGCCAGGCCGCTGCTATAAGTTATTAAGATCTATACAATGTTCTTTATCAACAACAATTTTTAATTAGAAAACGTAGGTATAGGTTTAATGATTTCTGAAAATTCACTTTTCAAGTGAAGAAAGATACGTGAAAATATTTTTCAATACCGTTTGATAGACAGTTATCCCGTGGTCTAAAAGAAATTTTTAAGAATGTCAATTATAAACTTGTGTATAGTGCTAATAATAAATTACAACAATTATTAGGTAATCCAAAGGATAAAACACCTCTACTGGAAAGGTCGGGTATTTATGAAATTTCTTGTATAGATTGTAATCAGAAATATGTTGGGCAAACTAGAAGATCAATATTAACTAGATTTAAAGAACATTTAGCTCAGATAAGATATGGTAGACCGGATAAATCTTGCGTTGCCGAACATATTGTTGATAAAGAACATTGTATAGATCTTAATAACTTGAAATTAATTAAACAAGTCTCAAATTACAGGCAATTAGATGCATATGAAAGCATCAGAATTAATAAATGTAAAGATAGTATGAACAGAGACAACGGTCCAATTCCTTCAAGTTCTTTGTTCCTACTACTCTAATGGCGGAAATCTAACTGTTACGCTCGGTGGGTTCTGACTCGGTTGGCTAGATCTTGCCACGCCCACTCTGAGCGAGTATATAAACGCTCCAATTGTAGATTGTATTTTAGTTTCTAATCATCTGCTGATGATGCTAACATGGTTAGCGAAACGCGCGTCCAGTGTAAAAGTAAAAGTGTTTTGGTGTATTGTGGTGATTTAGTGTTTTATTTTGCGGATATTTTAACATTTCTGAAAACAATATTTTCTAATTGGTAAAACGTAAAATATCGTTAGATCTGGCTAAAATCGCCAGGTCGTTGCGACCTGGTCGTCAGTGAGTTCGAGCTCTTAGGTGACTTAAAATTAAAAAAAAAAACAATATTTCCCTAAATTCCAGGATTTTTACGAAGTTTGGCAACCTCGTATTTTTTTATTTTAGTAAAAGTAAACCAAACTACTCATTTTAGTTGACTTTAAACTCGAAAATCCAATCGGCACAACATATCGTCCTAAAACGCCGACTGACTGTTTAAAATTTCACGCCGCTCCTAAGGGCGGCTTTACTTAGAAGCACGAGCGGGGATTTACAGCTTTGATTAAATTGACGGGAAGCAGCGTCGTTAGGGCTGGTTTACGGCCGGAGTTACTACGTAATTACGCAGTTAGAGAAAGCCGTTACAGAGCTCCGAGCCGTAAAATAAGAACTGGCACAGGTGCAGCAGGAGAAATAAGACAAATAAATTTTTCATATATATTTTTAATCGGTTTTCGGCGATAAATATCGGATATAATGTGTTAATAGAAGTTAGAAGTTCGTAATATACGACTATAGATCAATAAAAGAAGTTTAAATTGGAAAGTTACCATAGACTGTAGAATGTACGGATTATAGATTACCTTCATATAACCAGTGAATGTTTTTTTTGTGAAAATTAGTTGTTTTCTAGTTTTCTAAAAAAGTTCTAAAAGTATTTGTAAAGTTAGGTTAATTCAAAACATATGTTTTATGAGCGCAGGTGTAAACTTACTAGAATATTCTTAAAACAAGTAAGGGGTATGAACCCTAGATCATATACTTACGTGGATAAATCAACGCCATAAGTTTAGCATTAAAAAATATGTCTCCAACATCACGACATGCCATTTTCAAACCTTCTTTATTGTACATATGAAACGTTCAATAGGCTTGTCTTTCTCGAGGACCTTACTTTGTGGATGCGCATTAAAAGTTGGACGTATCTCCAAAATAATCACAATTTTGTACGGTTTAGAAAGTAATTAGATTAATTTTTGTGACGGTAAACATTCAATTTATGGTTCAAATATAAGCATTTTACAAATTAAATTTTTAAAATTAAAGTTCAAATTTGGCGCGCGGACGATAGGTCCTCGACAAGGATAGATAGAGTAGAAGCACTGGGTGTGCAACAAAAAAAGAAGATAAATGGAAGTCGTTGATATGTTTGAGACAGTTTCCATACTGTTTTACTTATCCACGTAAGTATATATGATCTAGGGTTCAGGGTATGAACGGTATTTCTTAAGTTCTTAAGGTTAATTTCTTAGGGTTAATGTTAAGGGTAAGGTTAAAAGTCTTACTTCGTTAACTCCCTTCACTATTGCCCTCATAGTGGCGTTTCTAGGACCGTCAACAGTTTTTCCATCATCGGTGGGACCCCAAGAAGCACTGTAAATGTCGATCAAGTTGGGTTCGTGTCCCATAGAGTTAGCCTCAATAAGGTCCGTCATGTACGGCTGATCAAGCATTCTTATTCCTGAAAAGAAATAGAAATTCTTAAATAATCTTTATGTTCTTTAATTCGAAGGGTCTATAAATGACCTAAATAAAATATGGTATCTGTCTGTCTGTCCGTCTGTCTGTAACACGACAACTCAAAAACCGCTAAACCGATTTTAACCAAATTTGGCACAAAAATACTGTAGCACCCGAGAATCTGGCCATTAGTTTTTGGTGGCGGTGGGGGGCTGGTAAGGGGGTATGGGAGGGGGTTAAAAATTTTAAAAAATCGTAACTCCAAAATTACAGTAGCTAGCGAAACGCGATTTTCAATTTAAGATTAGGAATAATATTTGCAACAAAATTTGTAATAACATCAAAATCAGTCAAAGTTGCAGTTTTTAAGACAAAAAAATAGGAAAAATTCCTTTACTTTGAAACTAAAAAAACTGCCTACCAACTTTTTATTAACATATTTTAGTATGGGCGGCTATACGTGCCACCCAGCGCCAATTTTTTAATTTTTAACTAGGAGATTTTATTGATTTAATTTGATTCTTTGATTCAGTGTCAGACACGTGTAGTTAACGAGCGAATTGATATATTGTATTGGTATATTCTTCATACTGGTGTTGGACAAAAGTGCTGTGAAAGTGACTTTTTGTGAGGGTGTTCTAAGTAAATTATTAAACATGTTCTTGTTGGCCTGCTTCCCTGGCTGTCTCTCCTATCTTTCCACCCTTAATCTCCGGCGTTTTTTAGACGGTTTTCCGAAACGACGACCGACGCCTATGACGTCACGGGGCATCACGACGCCTTCGTCAAACAAAATTAGCGCGTCGAGTCGGCCGCGAAAACAGTTTTCGTTACTTGGCGTCGCCCGATTCCATACATAATTCATCGCCCCGGCAAATTGATTCGTCGCCTCCTCTTTCCCGGCCAGACCCCATCTTTCGTTATGAATTTTCCATTTTCCATAAATATGTACACGTCGATTATATTTTCGGATGGAGAGCGTGTATACATAGACACGATGTGCCAAGAATTCGTAACTTTTCGGAAATTGAAAAGTTTAAAGGCCGATTGCTAGTCAAGCATACATATCTCTATGAAAAGCTTCTTAAGATTACCGATAGTGGAGTGCTTTAAGCCCTTATGGGATTCAAACCTCGGAATTCTTTTAATGTGAACGAATTTTTTTAAAACTTTTTGCATTGAATTTTTAATAAGATATATTACAAAGTTTGGTTTGGTTTGGTTTGGTTGGTTACTTAGAAAAAGAAATTAAAAAATCCAAAAATTAAGAAGGAAATAACTAAGAATTTACTAAAATTACTAAAATAAAAAAATAACAGCAACGAAAAAAAATGGGTAAACATTTTAGTATTTTATCTATAAAATACAATACAGAACCGATTTTGCTACGATTGTGATTTTGTAAACTAGGAGCGTGATAACTTTGTAACTGCGAGTTTGACTTTTTAGGAGCTGCCCAACACACTGTATTTTTTAAGATTTATTTGCAGCAACTTTTAAATTTATCCTAAGTTCTAATTTTGTACGACAGATATTTTAAAATTATAAAAGTGAGTTTAATATACAAATATATTGTGCAAAAAAACACCCATGCAATATAGTGTACGCTTCAAATTTTATAGATATTTTGATGACAAAGTTGTTTTAAATTTCACTCGTTTAAAAAAACAAATATATACACCCCTATCAATAAAATACGCGGCGTAGGCGTTAAAATATCTGAAACTGGCAAACAAATTCAATATCAAAAGAGAAGATGTTTCAGCAAAAATCTTTCGGAAAACTTATAATGAGCTGAAATTTTCAAGGAAAATTGCTTTGTAAACCTTTGAAAACCGTTAATTTGAAAATTATCCTTTAAGTTTGCTTCTTAAGGGAAGTATTTAGTTTTTAGTTTGGATTTCGACTCAGGTTTTAAAAGAGAATTTACGTTTTATGTACAAAACTTTACTTTGCTTTCGAGAGAGAACAAACTAAGCAATAAATTATTGCGAATACTAACAAAGTATTATCTCTTTATTGTTTGTAATCAAGCATGGTCTAGTCAATCTACAATTTTTATATAAGTATGGGCTATAATCTACAACCTAATATGTAATAAAACTTATAACGTATAATTTCTTTAACTCTACTTATTTCTAGTCTTAAAAATTAAGTATTAATTTTATTTGTTTGTTTTACTAGCTGAATAATTTTGCCGCAAAATGTGTGTATGGGCCTAATTAACAATCCTTCCCTATCTAAATCGATGGACTAATAACGAAGGCTTAATGATGGGTTTCAATATCGATTCTGAGCCAGTCGCAGGCCACAAATTTATCTGCAAATTGCCTGCTGCCAGGCCTCAAACTTGTAATTAAGTACAATTTTCAAGGCCACACGGGTATTGTTTAATTGATATTGATGACGGGGATCATATTATCCTCCAATCGGTTTTATCAAGAAATTATTATACTGTAGGGATGTATAGAGTTTCAAGAAAATCGATATTATATTGAATTAGTTTAGTATCGCGTTACCTTTAGGCTGTACTTAAACTGCCGTTAAACGGTAGCCTACTGAAATGCCGTTAATAGGTATGACGTCGTTGATGTGACGAACTAGACGGCTTTTTTATGCTTTGGTTAAAATGGCGTCGAACCGTCGCGTACTAAAATACCGTTAATCGTGAATGCAGAGTAGGCTACTGATTAATACTTAATAATTTGTAATGTAATGTTGTCCAAAATCCGTCATGGCTTATTCTGAATAAAATTAACTTGAAACGGTGTATATGTAGGTAGACGTATATGTTGCCGTTGTAGGTTTGAAAATGTATTTGCGATAAAATGTAATATATGGCATTGGTTTTCAGGTTTTTATTGCAAATTATAAATTGACAACTTAAAAATAATACTACGTCAACTTAAAAATAATAATGCTACAGATAGCATTGCAAAACCACAGTTTTGATTTAGGTCGCTTAGTCAATCCTGCACAACGGATATGTCTCCATAGAAGGCATCTACTGCAACAAAGTGACATATGATTTTTCTGCGTGTCTTCACTGCACACAGAACAAAACTTAGGTTATTTTTTCAAAGGCTTTCTCGGTGCAAAAACTTCTAAAAATCGTAATTTACATTTTAGTTATTAATTTGGTAATTATTAGGTATTGCTAGACTTACCTTATCATGTGGATATCAACACAAGAGCCTCATCAAGAACGGCATGTGATATTTCTTCGGGGAGCATTTTAAGGTCTACAGTTTCAAGAAATTTCCCATTTGTGATGTCTCTAACGATGTTACGATCCTTAACGAAGCGATTCAGGATTACATTTTGTTTTTCATGATAGGATTGTTTAGCAAATGCTACAGTACATCTTCTCTTTTTCTTTGGTAGTCCTATGACTGTTAAGTCCTGTCCTTTTGGATGTCTTTTATGAGAAAAACAGGTAATCCTATTTTAAGTAATTTATATGTAGCATCTACTGCAAGAAATTCTGGAAAAGTACTTTTCATGGTAGGACTTTGAATGAAAAGTCCTCTGAAATTATTGTCTTCATCTCGCAAAACAGCTACATTGGCACCTGAAAACAGAGTAGTTATTGGGACTAATAAGACGATAATAGAAACATTAAATCACCACAACACACCAAAACACTTTTATTTTACACTGGACGCGCGTTTCGCTAACCATGTTAGCATCATCAGCAGATGATTATAAACTTAAACTTTTTTTTTGCTGTATCATTTTTCTATTGGCCTTCATATTCAAATAATCCTTGACACTTTCCTTCATGTTACTGGAAAGTTTTCTTTGGCTAGGGTTATGCGCATGTAGAACCTACAAAATATATCTTTTATGAATAAAATACTGTTCAAGCTAGAATTCTAAAAGCATACTATATGTCAACTAATTTGTAAACTTACCTTCGAAGTGACTTGATTGTGCTTCATTTGAACCGATGTTACCTCGAGTGCTTTTCCATCAGACGATGCTTTGAATCTTACATGTACTGGGCAATCTTCTTTAAATGTCCAAGACTGTCGAATTTTTTTCCCACCGCCCTGAAACTTCTTTCCACCGTGATTACATGCATATAGAAGTTGATAATAAATCAAAGAGCTTTCTATTGGTCTCACAATTTTACTGCTTGCAATCGTACGGGCATCTCGTTTCTAAAATGTTGTGTACGTATTTTCACCAAGTTCCTCAATCGCTTTCTTTACGTCAGCGAATGAGCTGAACCTATCCCCAATTTTCAGCATGCTAATTTCAGTCATGAAAAATAATTAGGTACTTAACTAACCTAAAAATGTTTATAGATAAATTAACAATCAGAAAACTAACTGAAACACTTACTCCATCCTGAACCGATAATATCCAGATGTACACCTTAATTAAATCAACTTATAGCACTTAACTAAAGCATTAAAAAGCCGTCAAGTGCGTCACATCAACGACGGCATATCTATTAACGGCATTTCAGTAGGCTACCGTTTAACGGCAGTTTAAGTACAGCGTTACCTTCATTGATATTTTTTAACGCAATATGTATTTTTTTATTCTACTTAAAATTTTGTTCTAGTGGGTCGATTTTGATAATTTTTTTAAGCAATTTGTAGATAAATTATTTGATTTTTTAGTATCTCTTTCTAAATTAAAAGTTTCCATCTGTCAATTATACGAGGGAAAACTAAATATGTATTGATATTTGGTGAAAGTTTGAAACACCCTGTGGAATATGTTAACAAAGCCAGGAATTTAGGTCTCTTTACAATACGAAAACAAAGTAAAGTTCTTCAATATAAAAGATAAAACTCCTTTTAATATCTGCTTGTAAAACTGAGCTAAAATCTAAATAGTTTCCTTAAGTACCAAACTTAAAAGATAATTTTCAAAGGTTTACGAGGTATTTTTCAATTAAAATTTTAAATTTTGTCATCAAAATATCTATAAAATTTAAAGAGTACCCAATTTAATTTTGCAAAATATGTTTGTATATGATTCTCACTT